TGGCCCTGAGCGTGAGCGTTTCTTTTTGGTGGTCGTTGACGACTACTCCCGCTACACCACAGTGTTCCCCCTGGCGAGGAAGTCTGAGGTGACTTCTACGCTGATCAGGTGGTTGCTTACCACCCAGGACACTCGTGGTCGTCGTGTCAGCTGTCTCCACTCCGACCGCGGGGGCGAGTTTCGCTCCGGCATTCTCGCTGGATTCTGTCGCGAACAGGGCATTCGTCAGTCCTGGACGCTTCCGGAGTCCCCACAGCAGAATGGGGTTGCTGAGCGTCGCATAGGCCTGGTCATGGAGATTGCCCGCACCTCCTTGACTCACGCCCGTGCCCCCCATTTCCTGTGGCCATACGCGGTCAGGTACGCCGCGCACCAGCTGAACCTCTGGCCACGCGTCTCTCGGCCGGAGGCTTCACCGACCAGTCTTTGGACAGGGTCCCCTGGTGTCGCGTCGAGGTTTCGTGTCTGGGGGTGCTTGGCTCTTGTCCGCGACACCTCCGCGGACAAGCTCTCGCCTCGCGCCGTTCCTTGTGTCTTCCTTGGTTTCCCTGAGGACTCCTCTGACTTCACCTTTTACCACCCTCCCTCTCACCGGTTCTTTGACTCCCGTGACGTCCGTTTCGAGGAGTCCACCCCCTACTACGTCAGGTACCCCAGTCGAGGTCTCCCGGTCCCTCCCCCCCCTCTCTTCCTGACCGCCGCTCCCCCGCCTGCTCCCCCGGTACAGCCTCCCCCCCCTGGTCCAGCCCCGTCTGGTGTGTCTCAGGCTAGCCCTGTACAGCCTCCCTCCCCACAGTCTTCCTCGCCGCCTCCTGCAGGTGCTCCCTCTCGGGAGGTTGGTCCTGCGACTGTCCCTGTACAGGTCTCTGGTTCTGGGGGTGCTGGAGTTGGAGCTGAGCCGCGGGTTGCAGAGGACTCTTGTCTTCCGGGGGCTGGTACTGGTCGTGCGGAGTCTGGGGGTGCTGGTGCGGAGTCTGGGGGTGCTGCGTCTGGGGGTGAGGGTGTCCCTTCGGTTTCTAGAGAGCCTGGGTCTGGAGCTGGTGTTGGTGCTGCCTCTGGGGGTGGTGTACTTGGTGCTTCGGAGGTCGACTCTGGGGCTGCCGCTGCCCCGGACACTACTCCTTCCCCCCACCCCTACCCGACCAGGTTCCAGGCTCGTGTTCGCCGTGCTCGTGAGGAGCAGCTGGAGTTGGAGAGAGAGGAGAGAGAGTTGCAGCGGCTCGAGGAGCAGGAGCGACAGCAGCAGGAGCAGCAGCAGGGGCAGCAGCCGCTGGAGCAGCAGCAGCCGCAGCAGCCGCAGCAGCAGCAGCTGCCGTCTCCTCCTCCTGTCTCGGGTCTTCGGACCCTTGGTCTCCCCTCTCCCTCTCCTTCCTCCTCCCCCTCTCCTCCCGTCTCTGGTCCTCCGCTTCCTCCTCCTGACCCCTCTCCCGCTGTTTTCCCTCGTTCTCAGTCTTCGTTGTCTCCTCCTCCTTCTCAGACTTGGGCCTCTCGTCGCTCCCCTCGTGCTCGTCCCTCGTCTCCTGTTCCCTTCACTGACCTTCGTACAGCCTTCCTTTGTTCTCGTCCACCTCGTCCGTCTCCGTCTGTGCTTCCGTCTCCTCCTGAGTCGGCCCTCACTGTGTCGCTTCCTTCTCCTGTCACTGACTACTACCGCACGTACCGTCCTGTTCTCTCTCGTGTTCTTGCCTCTCTTGTTACCCACCCTCGTGCCTCTGTGTCCTCTGTGTCCGCTCTTACTGCCGCAGTCACTGAGTTTGCCTCTACCCGCCGCCTTGACTTCGCCACCGCTCTTGTGGCTGCTCCTCCTTCCAGTCCTCTGGCCGTCGGGGGTGTGTCTGCCCTTGGCTGTGACGCCCTAGAGGACAGGCAGTTTGAGCTAGAGTTCCTGGCGGCCGCTTCCCCTCATCTCTGTGCCATGCTCCTCGCCCCTGAGGGTGACCCCGACGCCCTTGACATTCCGACTCCTCGCACTTACGCTGAGGCAGTGTCAGGGCCTTGGGCCTCTCAGTGGAGAGCTGCCATGGACGCAGAGATGGCCTCCTACAGATCCACAGGCACCTACGTCGATGAGGTTCCCCCTCCGGGGGCGAACGTAGTCGACGGCATGTGGATCTACAGGGTGAAGCGGCCACCGGGATCTCCTCCGGTCTTCAAGGCGCGCTACGTGGCTAGAGGTTTCAGTCAGCGCGAGGGAGTTGACTTCTTTCAGACCTTCGCGCCCACCCCGAAGATGACCACTCTTCGGGTGTTACTACACGTAGCAGCACAGAGAGACTACGAGTTACACTCTCTCGACTTCTCTACTGCTTTCCTTCAGGGCAGTCTTCACGAGGAGGTCTGGTTGCGTCGTCCCTCTGCCTTCACTGGCTCTTTCCCTCCTGGGACCCAGTGGAGGCTGAGGCGACCGGTTTACGGACTTCGTCAGGCTCCTCGTGAGTGGCACGACACCCTGCGTTCTACCCTGTCTGACCTTGGGTTCCAGCCGTCTTCTGCTGACCCGTCGCTGTTCGTTCGTCGTGGCCCCACACCTTTCTTTGTTCTGGTCTACGTTGACGACCTTGTTTTCGCCACCCCTGACAGGGTTGCTTTGGCACACGTGAAGTCCGAACTGCAGAAGAGACACACCTGCACTGATCTTGGTGAGCTGCGCCACTACCTTGGCCTGCAGATCACCAGGGACAGAGCTGCTCGCACCATTACACTTTCACAGTCGCACATGGTGCAGCAGGTCCTTCAGCGGTTCGGGCTTCAGCACTCCACAGTACAGCGCACACCTCTTGCTGTTGACCACAGACTCACTGGACCCTTTCCTGACGAGCCGTTCGAGCCTAGTGGTCCCTACGCTGAGCTTGTGGGTTGCCTCATGTACCTGATGACTTGTACTCGCCCGGACCTCGCCTTCCCTCTCAGCGTTCTTGCGCGCTTTGTTGCGCCAGGGAGACACCGTCCTGTTCACTGGACAGCAGCTGTGAGGGTGGCGAAGTACCTAGCGACGACGTCAGGCGTGGGGCTAGTTCTTGGAGGGCAGCAGTCTATCGTACTTACTGGTCACTGTGACTCCTCTTACGCTGACGACGCTGAGACTCACAGGTCTACTCAGGGGTACTGTTTCAGCCTGGGTTCTGGAGCTGTTTCCTGGCGGTCCACGCGCTCCTCTTCGGTCTCGACCTCTACAGCTGAGGCTGAGATCTACGCTGGTGCCATGGCGGCACAGGAGCTGCGTTGGTTGACCTTCTTGCTCACCGACCTTGGTGAGCGGCCGAGCTCTGCACCGACCTTGTTCACTGACAACAAGGCGTCTATTCTCCTTTGTCGAGAGCCACGACTGGAGAGCAGAGTGAAGCACATTCACGTCAGGTACTTTCTTCTGCGAGAGTTGCAGAGGCGTGGACAGGCTCGCTTTGAGTTTGTGGAGTCCGAGGCCAACACTGCAGACATCTTCACCAAGGCGCTTCCGCCTTGTGACCACCAGAGGTGCTGTGTGCAGTTAGGCCTTGTTGACACTGGTTCTCGTGTTGCTTAGACTTGAGTGTACTGTTTACTTTGCTTTCTATATACCTCTGTTACTTCTTGGACTGGCCTTGTGGCCACTGTTGTTTTTTTAGCTCAGACTGTGTGGTGACGTTGTGATCCACCCTGAGCTTCGTTTTTGTGTGCGATCTTTTCTGGTAACCAGCCTGGCTCGGGAGGTCAACTGTGGGTTCGGTAGGCAAACTGTGCACAGTTTGCCTTCCTTTTTTTGTAATTCAGGTCTTGGGCTTTAAGAAAGTGTTAGGATTGAAAGCAGCTACTTTTTAAAGTACAATAACAATCTCAACTTATGCCGTAACCCTGAGTGGAGCAGTTCTTCAATGCTAGCAAGTCGAACCCATCAAACTCAACAATTTTAAAACCTACGGTACGACCTCGACAGGCTTCGTCCCAACAACATGAGGTCATATATTTAACTTACTTCACACTATGGTCGTTCAGTGTGTATAAAATTGAGTTGATTTCACTAGCAGATCACCTAGTGGTGACTGAACCTAAAGTTTTCTATTTGTTTTTAGCTTCCGTATACAATATTAGTGAATGAGCTGTAGCATGTGTCGTAGGTGGTCTGATTTCTTGCTTGTCAATGAGGTGGTCTCAAGTGTATTTCGTGCGAGTGACGTGGCTCTGCATGACTCGGTCAGCCTGCTCAAATAGGATGCTAAGTTAGTATGCCCCTGAGCTCAAACGATTGGCGACAAGATTTTGTTCGTGGACAACAGAGTAAACATGGACCGATTATTCTTCAGTCGTGGCATATTCCACCTCCTTCCAGCGTCAGATTCTGTCGCGCAAGCGCTGGTATTCGCTGAATAATTATATTCGGTTTATTCCTTCGCGTTTAATCAGCCAATCATCCAAGGCCACCTGACCAGCCAATAACAAGGGCAGGCTTGTGACGAGAAGTTTCCCTCCAAAATATTTTCAAAACCGAACCAGAAACTGTGACGTGATTGGTACCATACCAGAGACTATTGGTTTTCCCTGCCGGAACCAAGTGATAGACTTGCGACATCAAAGTTCATAATCACGAGGCGCACGTTTTACCTAGATTCCAGCAACACCCAAGAGCTGTAGCTTGGGTAGACTGTTGCTGGAACCAGGCATAATTCAGCCGTAGTTTCACGCTGATGCTAATCGGACACGGACACTACTCAAGGATCTGTAAATATTACCCAACTTAGTTGAATCTGCGGTCTCCAATTTCCGCAGCCAGTCACTTAAATCCTGCTGATCCATCAGCTGCTAGAATTCCTGCCATGTCTGCTCAATTTGCGGCGTGCCATCCTGCGGCTGGCATCTCCACCGCGCTAATAAATACCACCCAATATGCCAGTGTTTCGAGCGTGTCCCACGCCGTGAAGCCCGCTCTTAGCCTTACTTCTCATGTGCGGAGGCGCGTGTCGCCCGGCAAGGGTTCGGTCTCCAAGCCACCTGGCCTAGTCCACGTGGCCGCTATTTCCGCGTCTATGTCCGGAGATGTGGAGGGTCATTATCGTTCTTCCGAAGCAGAGTCCACAGCAGCAGCCCTTTCGAAATTAACTTCGGGGTCGGAGATTTCACGTTCCGCTGGGGACGATTCTTCGCAAGCTGCTCCGTCGACTCAAGAGGGGCCCGCTGTAGCGGCGACAGCTGTAGCAGAGCCGGCTGTAGCGGAGCCGTCTGTGGCAGGGCCGGCTGTAGCGGGCCCGAACGAGTTGGTGGAGGACGGCGCGGTGATCGTTCGCGACGACCTGGACGAGCTGCTGCACTGCCTGCCGGGGAACCTTCGCGGAAACCTGCTGCAGCACCCTCGCAGATCCGAGCTGCTCGAGGTGCGCTTAGGAGCTCCGGGTCCTGTGTTATTTGAATTTTGGCGGAGATTACCTCGACGTGCGCTGGGGAGTCACGCGCCTACCATTCCGTCGGCACCCGTTCCACCTGTTCCCCGACCCTTCCCATGTACCCCATCCGTTCTCCTCCTCGAAATCTTCCCTGGATTACCATCCCTCCTCCTTGTATCCCCCTTCCCCCTTTCCCCTTCCCCCGTCCCACATCCCCCTTCCTCCTCCCCCCTTCTCCCTTCTCCCTTCCCTTTTCCCACCTCTTACCAGTTACCCCTTCTCCTTCATACTTCCCCCTTTCCCCTTCCTGCTCCCTCCACCTCTACTCCCGACCGTCCGTATCAGGTGGTGTTGGATCTCGGCCGTCGACCCGAGGCGCGCTTTCTGGGCGATGGCGGGGCTGAGTACCTGCAGGATGCAGAGGTAAGTAGGATTAAAGAGGTAAGTTGGCTTAGAGGGGTAGGTATTCTCATTGAAGTGGTGGGTTGGTGAGAGGGGAAGGTAGGATGAGAGAAGAAAGCAGAGTGAGAGAGGAAGAAAGGTTTAAGAGGTAGTTGAAGTAGTTCTATAGGAAGAATTACTGACACGTGCGTGTTTTTCTTGCCCTGCTGACGTGGCACAGGTCACCCGCGCGGATCTCGAATCCGCCTGCGAGTCCATCGGCGCGTTTGGCGGCGACAATCGCGCTGGCGTGGAGGGAACGCTTCACCGCATCAGCGCCATCCGCAACCGCAAGGGTGACGTGGTCGGGCTGACGTGTCGCGTCGGGCGCGCGGTCACCGGCCACGTGGACATGGTCCGCGATCTGCTGCACCACGGGCAGAGCCTTCTATTTCTTGGAAGGTTCGTGCTGGGTCAATTCCTATACTCTGTTATCCTTTCTGTTCACCTTCCATGAAACAAGAGCGTCTCCCTGAACTTTAACCTACTTTCTGAGCTCGAGTCTACTCCCTGTATTTAAATTTTGAGGCGCCTCAAAACTAGACTTCCTGAGCTCGAGTGTACTCCCTGTATTCGAAACTGCCATTCTTCCCTCCTCGTCTTTCTCGTTTCCTCCTTTCCTTCCCGTATGTACAGGCCCGGCGTGGGCAAAACAACAGTGATTCGCGAAATAGCGCGAGTTTTGGCAGACGAGATGCAGAAGCGGGTAGTCATCGTGGACACGAGCAACGAGATCGGGGGCGACGGGGACGTGCCGCACCCCGCGATTGGCGGCGCGCGGCGCATGCAGGTGCCGGATCCTGCTCTGCAGCACAGGGTGATGGTGGAGGCCGTTGAGAATCACATGCCGCAGGTGCGATGACTGACCTCATGGGATGTTGCAGTGTGGATGTGTTGACTCAATAAGTGCATGCAGGTACCGGATCCCGCGCTGCAGCACCACGTGATGGTGGAGGCTGTGGACAACCACATGCCGCAGGTGAGAGCTGGGATCTTGACTGACTGGGAGCAGCAGCAAGTGCGTTGACTTGGGTGGTGGGTGCATGCAGGTGGCAGATCCGGTGGTGCAGCACTCCGTGATGGAATAGGCTGGTGAGAGTCACGTGACTGTGGTGATTGTTGATGTATTTGCTGACACGCGCCTCTTCCCTGCATGTGGCTGCCTAATTTCTGGTTTTTGCTGCCTTGCCTACAGGTGGTGATAGTGGACGAGAGTGGCACAGAGGCAGAGGCGCTACCATGCAGGACGATAGCATTTTGAGACGCTTAAAACTCACACCCCTTCCCTGCCTGTGCCTACCTCTGTCCTCCTGTGCCCTCCTGTACCTCTCCTGTGCCCCTGCCCGCAGGTAGTGATAGTGGACGAGATCGGCACGGAGGCAGAGGCGCTAGCATGCAGGACGATAGCAGAGAGGGGCGTGATGCTGGTGGGCACGGCGCACGGGCAGCTGCTGGAGAACCTCATCAAGAACCCCACGCTCTGCGATTTGGTGAGCCCATGGGGACATGGAATGTGATTCTGTAACCCGGTTACCCTATGTGTCTTGAGGGATGCTGGTGGGCACGGCGCATGGGCAGCTGGTGGAGAGCCTCATCAAGAACCCCACTTTGTGTGCTTTGGTTCGAGCCAGAAACCCTGGGTTTGGAGTTCGCAACCTGGTAACCCTATGTGTGTGCACTCGTGATACTGGTGGACACGGCACATGGGCAGCTGCTAGAGAATCATATCGAGAACCCCACGCTCTGCGATCCGGAGAGAATGCAGGACGTGATTGTATTTCTTGGTAATATGGGAACAGGGTCGCCCCCCTTCGTTCCTCTATCTATCCAACCCTCCCTCCTTCCTTCCTTCCTCTCCTCTCCTTTCTTTACTTTCGTTCCAGGTGGGCGGGGTGCAGACAGTGACTCTGGGAGACGAGGAGGCGAGGTCGCGAGGCACACAGAAGAGCGTGTTGGAGAGAACAGCGCCGCCCACCTTCCCTGTGTTGATAGAGATGCGCGAGCGGCACTTCTGGGTGGCCCACCAGGTGCGTTGATTATGGGGCAGTCTGAAACTAGCCGACGAATCACTTCAACACATCGCTGCCGGCCTTACCCTGTGCTGATAGAGATGCGCGAGAGGCACTTCTGGGTGGCCCACCAGGTGCGTTGGTTATGGGGCAGTCTGAAACTAGCTGACGAATCACTTCAACACATCGCTGCCGGCCTTACCCTGTGCTGATAGAGATGCGCGAGAGGCACTTCTGGGTGGCCCACCAGGTGTGTCGCGTACGAGGTGCTTTGGAACTAGTTGTGCTTTGAGCGTGTTGGAGAGTAGTGCCGCCCACTTTCCCTGTGCTGATCGAAATGCGAGAGAGGCACTTTTGGGTGGCCCACCAGGTGCATTATTTATTCGTGATGCGCCTCAGGATTCAGGGTTCCAGCTGGTATGAAGACTGAGAGTTCATATCAGCACCGCGGCGTGCTAGTTAAGACGTGCTAAGAAAATCTCCGCGCCCGTCGTCCCGATTCCTTCCAGACTGACAGGAGTGTGGATGCATTGTTGCATGGCAAGCGCCCTCAAGTCGAAGTCCGCACAAGGGACGAGTCCTTTCACGTCACCATCGACCGGCGACTCTATGACCGCAACGGCACCTCCTCCTCCTCTTCCTCTACTTCCTCCCCGGCCAATCCTAGCAGCAGAGCAGGCGCTGTGGGGGAGGGGATGGGCGGGAGCATGTTTGGGGCAGGGAGTGCGGGTCCCGGCGTGGTGCTGGGAGGGAGGGAGCGGGAGAGGGACCTGTATTGGATGGCTGGGAGCGATGATGAGGGGTTTGACTGGATGGAAGGCGGTACAAGCACACGGTATGAGTTCAGCTATGGGCGGAACAGCAGCGGCGGGAATGGGAAGGGGGCAGGGCGAGAGGTGGCAGTGGAGCAGACATATTCCTGGGCTGCAAAGCTTGGTGAGTGCTATGTGCCTCAATTGGGCTGTGGTGATGGGGGGTGTGACTGGATGGGAGGGGGCACGAGCACACGTTGTGAGTTCAGCTATGGGAGGAATAGCAGTGGGGGTGGGAGTGGGAATGGAGAAGGGGTGGGGCGAGAGGTGGCATCGGAACAGAAGTATTCCTGGGTTGCTATGCTTCGTGAGTGCAGGCGTTTTTTGCTATGGCTCACTTGGGTGTGAGAGATCATTCCAAGCTTCATGTGTGCGTCCTTCCCTGTATTCATATCCTCGATCCTTCCTGTGCAGGTTATGTCCCCGACAAGGATGCTCTGATGGAGGCCAGTGCTGCTTCCCCACGAAGCAACTCCAGCAGGAGCAGCAGCAACAGCGGCATCAACAGCAGCAGCAGCAGATCTGCGTCTTCCTCCCAGACTACCTACTCATGGACGGATTTTGATGAGGATTTTCACTACGTGGGTGGAGGGAGGGGCGCCCATGGGGGGTATTCTGGTGCGGGGACGTCGGGAAAGAGGGGCAGCAAGAGGGGGCCAAGGGGAATTCGCCCTCGCTAAATGTTGCCAGGGCTATTCACCCTGAGGTTGGCTGTCAAGAGTGTGCCTTTTGGTCCCAACCTGCAGCGCTTTTCCTGGCACTGGCCCTGGGCATCAAGAGGTGTCTCTTGAGGAGCTTCGTGAGCTGCTGCTATGCTTCGTGAGGGGATTTGATGCTTGAGAAGCAGCTGGAAAACAGCCTGAAGCAGCTACGCATGCACATAGTCAGCTGTCACATTCCTCCCACACATGCACGTGTCAACCCTGTTCACCCTAGTCGCACCCCTCCTCTCAACCAAGACTGGCTCATGTGCAACCATTTCAGCCCAAACTCTGTACAGCCCCCTTCAACGTCTCGACTGCAGCTCTCCACTCCCTTGCAAAATAATTTTGGCAATCATTTCTGATGTCCCGGTATCTAGCAGAAGCAGCTCACTTTTGTAACACTATTGAGAGTCCTTCACTGCGAAACCCTTCCAACTTGTGCTCTGGTGCTTGTTCATGGAAATGCCTTCGAATTTTGTGCTCCCTCATTTCACTTCAGATGCATCAACATGGTTATGTTGTATCAATTGTGCAAAAAAAAAGGGCTGACTGTTGATTTGCATGCTTGCTTACTAAGGTGCAACCTGTTGGTACAGCCGTGGACCCCAATAGGCAGAACTACAAAACGTGTTGACTCCAGAACGACAAAATGTGCGCAAGGCACTACCATCTAACATCTGTGACTCTTTGTGCCAATGAAATGGAGGAGCAATTGGAGGGGAGGAGTGTTACAGGGAACACGGTCTTGGCTGAATCCTTTTCATAGATGCAATGCTTTTGGCAATGCCTTTGCTAAACAAGTGTGCTGTTAATAATCAACAGCAGCCTATCAAACCTACGTACGTGTGGGTTACTGCAGTATATTTATAGCGGTACAGAGAGTATTCGTCCCTGTACCTTTGTTTCCGCTACAGGGCTGAGCTGCCCCCCTGAAACCACCGCTCGAGCGTCGTGAGCTTCTACGTTACCATACCCTTTATTAGCAGCTTAGTGTCTCTTTTAAAGAGCCACAGCGGCAGCTACGGCACTGGCGAGCAGCACCAGAGCAGCGGAGACCAGATTCGACGCAGCGCCCTTCGGGCCAGGAGGAGCCATGGCGGTCGCGGGAAGACCGCTGGGTGTGCCGGGATTGGCGGCGGGCGTAGCGGGGGTGCCGGCAGCATTCGTGGTCGGCTTGGGCTGTCCTCCGCGGGGAGGTCCGGTCGCCGCGGGCGGAAGCTCCGGCGCAGCAGTAGCGGGGAGGGGCGCGCGCTTGAACGGGACGGTGGTGGCGGAGTAGGGGAAGTCCGCGCAGATGGCGGCGGCGGGTTTGCGCCCGACGATCCCCGCGGAGCCGGTGAGGTTGACCGCGCCCTTGGGGCATTGGCGGGGGACGTTGAGCGGATCGCAGCAGAGCGGAGTGGCGGGAACCTGCTCGGGCCCGCCATAGCAGCCCACGTCCTGAGAAGGGTTTGCGCGCAGAGAGGGAGGGATCAGCGCCCGTGTTTAGATGGGTGTGACGATGTTTCGAAATAAGGAGGATGTAAGCTCGGCTAGAAGCGGTCAGGAGCAGTTAGGAGCAGTTGGAGCGAAAGGGCGAAATGCATGTACTAGAGGAGTTGTGAGCGACCTGGCGTGATACTCGCGACAGTGTTCCAAATAAGCTTGCTTACATTGATGCTGGCGTTGAAGTTGGGAACGGCGGAGCTAATAACGGGGACGAGCACAGACTGAATCAGATCTGCGGGCGTGAAGAGGAAGTCGCCCACTTTGAGCTCGCCCACTGAAATAAGCGTCAACATAAGAGAGAGAAGGGAGGGCATGCATCATGCAACGGCACGAGCGTCAACATTTCCTCGTCAGAACCAGCTGCGGTGAGGGCGCGGCATACGGCACGAATCACGCAGCTGCGGGGGTAAATCCAGGTCAGTATGCGAGACGAGTGTGGAAGCTGGTGAATAGATTTGGTTGCGAAGAGGGATGGATATGGAATATTAGTGAACACGTGAGGCTACCGCACGCGTGTTTTGAGACGTCTCAAAACACGTGAACATGTGAGGCTACCGCACGCGTCGTACACCTATTGCGCGAAGCCAGGTTCGGGAGGGACCCTGCCCAGTATGGAATTGGACGTTGGAAAATTCGGAAGAGATCTTACACGAGAGGGTGCCGCAGGCGTCGTACACCTGCTGCGCGAAGGCAGGATGGGGTGCAACTTGTGCGTGCAAGCTACGATGGGATTGGATCAAAGATCGAAGTTGGACGTCGGGAGGGTTGGGATGAGAGCTTACACGAGAGGGTGCCGCAGGCGTCGTACACCTGCTGCGCGAAGGCGGTGCAGATGTTGAGGATGGGGGCGCCAGTCGCCTTGCTGAAGTAGTTGCCCGAGTCTGGCGCGGAAGAGTGGGGGGAGGTGGAGGATAGAGGGGGAAGGAAAGAGGTGAAATAAGAGGGACAGGGGAGGGAGGACGGGTGGTAAGAGGAACCCCGTAGTGCGCGACCGTCAGTGAAAGAGGAATCGGGGTCAGAGCGTCATTGAGAGAAAAAAGAAAAAGCGTCATTGAGAGAAAAAGAATCCGGCGAATTTTTTTGGGACCTATTAGCAAAAGACGATGAGAGTCTTTCACACAACACCTCATTAGGGTGGCTTTTGAGTCGACTCGGAACTCACCGGGGTTGCAGCTGACAGCGCACACGAGCTGCTCGACCAGCAATTCGCACGTTTCTGAGCCCTTGAAAAGCCCGCACACGTCGGCCGGCACACCCAATTGCGTTCCCATGCCGCCCGTGTTCGCGTCGACGACAGAGGTAACATTCGTTGCTAACGCCCGAATCGCGTAGTTCAGGTCGAAGCAGTCCTGGCAGCACGACATCTTCGCGGCTGCTGGGCAGCGGGTGTGGATGACTTTAGCGGGCTTGGGGAGTTTTCCCGTGAGTGGGCATTTTGGGTAGGGTTGGGCGACTGCCAGTGGGACGAGGACGAGGAGTAGGAGCACAGCGCGAGAGACGGCCATGTCGGACGGGATGTTCCTCAAAGAATGTCCGTCTCTCAAGGGAAAGAATAAAAGACACCGGGATTTCAGGTTGGGATAAACAGACACTGACTAATGGTATGAAGCAGATCAGTGCTTTGATGGGAATATGAAAGAATTAGTGATTGTTGCAGGCAGCTTAGGTTGATATCTTTGATCTCCCTTGCCTGGATGAGCAGAAGAGGGCGCGAGGGCGGAGATTGGGAAAATCGAGTCGGCTCGAGGTAGACAGGAATAAATTTCCGACGCGTTGATTCCAAGCGCCCCGGTTGGGGCGGACGCGACCCGGTCACATTTCTGGTTCGATAACATGGAGGTTGGGTCTGGCTTGGTCTGGGCCAGTTTCGGCGAACCTTATCTGGTCCGGGACTGGTTTGGATGTGGCTCGCCGAAAAGTACGAGTGGCTTTGGAACGAGAACAGAAGACCGCCATGCCTTCGCTCGCGCGGGTAGTGGTGTCCGTTTTCGCGTGGCGCATCGCAAATGTAGCCGTCGCAACCAGGCGACTTCGCGAAAGTGTCGTTGCGCCAAACAACAGCAGCATGGCGAGCCGAACGGGCGGGAAGACCTGTCAGGAGCAGGTACATTCTTTAAGCGGAAACGAGTTTTTGTCCACAAGATGCCGAACTTGTCGGCAGCAAGACCACACTTCAGTTGAACGATCACACTTCGGGCAGGTCAAGTGGAGAGTGTAGCATGCGATGAAGAGTGTAGCATCGATCGCGGGAAGCGGGTAGGCTACTACTCAATATCTTCGCTATAAGAATCAGAGTGCACATGCTCATCGCAAGTCCTGCATATGATTGAAGATTTCAAACCAGAACACTCGAAGTAAAAAAAAAAAAGTAACAGAACTGTTTTCCGAATGTTGACGATTTTCGACTATATTTAAACCGATTTGTTCAATCTCTGTAAGGATTGCAACCGATTTGTGGAATGAGAGGGTTTAGGTTGGCCGCTAGAAAATGGTACATGGCACTTGCATCTCCAGCGGCCAGGCGCACAACCAGCAAATCGTCCTGCAAATTGAATTAGATGAGGATGAAATGGGGAAAGAGCCAAAAGGGAAAGAGAAATTCTCACATATGGCTGGCAACATTTGCATGCTTCTGTCAAAGAACAACATTTACGAGAATGTGCACCACAAAAAAAAACCAGGAAAGAACAACATAGTTACTGTCCATGCCACAACCAGCACAAATAATTACTCACATGTCCCATGTCAGACGAATAAATACTCACATGTCCCATGTCAGACGAAGAGCCCCACACTGTGCTCTCCACACCTCCAGCTCCCATCGAAGCACTTTGGCCAGATGAACCAGAGGCGACAGAAGGGGTAGGAGGAGCAGCAGTGGAATAGTTTCTGCTCCTCCTTGGGTTGAACGCTGCAGCTGCTGCCCGTGCCACTGCTTCTTTCAGGTGGGTCCTTACAGCCTCTGTTCGTGGACTGGATTGGGGGGAGGGAGGGAGGGGGGAGGAGGGAGGGAGAAAGGGAGGGAAGCATGTGGTGGTGGGAGATGAGAACGGGACACAAAGGGCGTCGTGCTGCTGGGAGATGACGCAAGGGAGTGAAAGGAACGTGTGACACACTCAATTTGCGGCGATAAGACAAATATAGTAACAGCCCATTAATATCAAGGGTGACCCAGCACTCACCCCAGGATAATGATGGTGGTGAGCACGTGAATGCCCTCCAGCTGCTGTCCAGGTGGCACCACCGCATTGGCTGACAGCTTCACCTGCAGCATTGCCATTGAACGCACGGAGAGAAAAAGCAAATTAATTCATAAATGAAGCACCGATCTGCCATAACACTAGTTACAGAACTCCAGCAATCAAACTTGAACAGAGCATCCCATAAGAGCATGAAGTGAAACTAACCTTGTCAAAGACTAGAGGGATCTCCTCTCCTTTCCGGTAGACCCGGTTACAACTCTCGTAACACTCCATCTCCCACACCTCCCCTCGATCTCGCCGCCCGCTCGTCAGCCAGTCGACCAATACAAGGCTGCCACCTGGCGCCACATGGATGCTCTGCAGCTGCTGGTACTGCGACGCTCGGAAGCACGTGATTGGCTCGGGGAGCACCGCCAGCAAGGCGCCAGGCTGGATGGTTGCAGTGATGAGCTGGCGGGCTGGTGGGGTGCCTGAGAGGGCAGGAGAGGGAAAGGGATGTAGAGCAGGAGAGGGAAAGTGTTACATAGCAGGAAAGAGGGAAGGAGGGAGGGGTGAGGGGCAGCAGAAGGATGAGATAGAAGGAGAGAGAAAGAATCTGGCACCCCTCACTGAATCTCCAGTGAGAGTGGAAAAATATTCAGTGAAAGCAGAACGCACTCACCCGGCAAGGAATGGAAGATCTTGGTAGATGCCTGAGAGGCGAACACGGCGGTGGCACCGCACTGCACCGCACAGGAGAGCGTGACCTTGTCGCCTGCCACTATGCCGCCCCCGTAGGTGATTATGTACGCCCAAACTGCATCCACCCCTGAGGCCGCAACCTGGAAGGAAGGGGAGTGGGAGAGTGAGAGAGGGTGGGGGATTGAGAGAGGGTGGGGGATTGAGAGAGGGTGGGGGATTGAGAGAGGGTGGGGGATTGAGAGAGGGTGGGGGATTGAGAGAGGGTGGGGGATTGAGAGAGGGTGGGGGATTGAGAGAGGGTGGGGGATTGAGAGAGGGTGGGGGATTGAGAGAGGGTGGGGGATTGAGAGAGGGTGGGGGATTGAGAGAGGGTGGGGGATTGAGAGAGGGTGGGGGATTGAGAGAGGGTGGGGGATTGAGAGAGGGAAGCGTCAGGGGAGACTGTGTGTGCAGTACTGCTGCCACTATGCCGCCCCCATAGGTGATTATAACACTGCATCCACTCCTGAGGCCGCGACCTGAAAGGCAGGAGACGAGGGAAGAAGGGGGGTGAGGGAGGAATGAAGAAGGGCGGAAGGGAGATGGGAGGAAACTAAAAAGGGCACACATAGACTTGATGTGTCTCCCACCACTAATGCGTCACTGCGCACGTTGCACAGGACACCAAACACATTGCACAGGCACCAAGCACATTGCTCTGCTCATGAGTACACAGGGAGACATGGCGCTATGCACCTTGGACGGCAGCATGACCTTGAGCGGGTAGCGACAGAAGCTGCTCGTTGCTGTGCTGTGCATGCCACATCGCACAAGATACCAATCACACTGCTGTGGTCATGAGTACATCGGCAGCTATGCCTGCACGTACCTTGGACGGCAGCATGATCTTGAGCGGGTAGCGACAGAAGCTCCTCGTTGCCGTGCTGCGGCCGCCCACCAGCTCCACCACCAGCACTCCAGTCCAATTCATGCCGCCCCGCCACACACCCGCACACGCGGTTGCAGCTGCTTCTGTCGCTGCCACTGCTGCTGTTGCTGTCGCTGCCGCTGCTGTTGTTGCTGTCGCAGCCGGTGCTTCTGCCCCACCCACGTGCACGCCTGCCTGCACACTACCATGCACACTGCTCCTTTTACGCACTCCTCCTGCTGCCCCTCCTGCTGCCCCTCCTGCTGCCCCTCCTGCTGCCCCTCCTGCTGCCCCTCCTGCTGCCCCTCCTGCTGCCCCTCCTTCTCCTCCACCTGTTTCTACACATGTTGCTCTCCGTGCTTCTATCTCTGACTCCACACACGTTTCCCTCCCTATTCCCCTCCCTCCTCCTTGTGCCTGTCCCTCCCCCCCCGCCTGCTCCTCACCTCCTTCTTCCTCCATCCCCCCTTCCTCACCTCCTTCTTCCTCCATCCCCCCCTCCTCACCTCCTTCTTCCTCCATCCCCCCCTCCTCAACCCCTTCTTCCTCCATCCCCCCCTCCTCAACCCCTTCTTCCTCCATCCCCCCCTCCTCAACCCCTTCCTCCTCCATCTCCCCCTCCTCCATCTCACCTTCCTCTGCTCCTTCATCTTTCATCTCCCCCTCCTCAACCCCTTCTTCCTCCATCCCCCCCTCCTCACCTCGTTCCTCCTCCATCTCCCCCTCCTCCACACTTTCCTCTTCTACCTCCCCCTCCTCAGTTCCTTCCTTTTCCATCTCCCCCTCCTCCATCTTCCTCTCTTCCATCTCCCCCTCCTCACGTAATCCCTCCTCCATCTCCCCACCCTCTCACACTGTATTAACTGTTCAAGTCACACCTGAGAATGTTCGGTTACGGACTTCTCAAGGAGAAATGAGTGTAGGAAGGGCGGACTGAGAGTTTCAACGCTGGTCAACGCTGATCTTTACGGGTCAACACGGCTCAACAGTTGGTCAACGCGGGTCAATTAAGAGAGGAAGAGTCTGCTGGTGAGTGCTGCATGCCCTGCCTGAATGATCTCCACCATGGGACCCACCTGACATGCCGCATCCATACAAAATGGTATGGCTGTAACAGCATTGATGCCACCATCCTTCTCCCCACCGGCCCCATCCCATCCCCCCACGTCTGCCACTATCCTCTCAGCATCCCTCACCATCTCCCTCTGCAACCCCGCAGCCTGCAGCGGGCCAATCAGGTTGAGCCGCGTGGCAGCAGACAGGCAGTCCCTGAGAGCGCAGTAGACGAGGCCTCGCAGGGCGGAGGGCAGGGGGATGGAGAGGCACCCGCAGAGGGATCCAAATATCACCGCGTGGTGGCCGTAGGCCCGAGGAGATGAGGGGGTTTGAGAAGGTTGACTGGGTTGACTCGGTTGACCCTGCTGACGTGTCCTCGTGCGATAGGTCGAAAGCAAGGGAGAGGCTTCGGGGAAGACTGTGGAGGCGACTCGAAGCAAGGCAGAGCCCTGAGAGAGGGAGACCTGGGGTGATGAGAGCACAGTGTTGGGGCATGGGGGCATTGGGTTGGAGAATGGGCTTGAGAACTTATGTGGCACGTCACACCATGTCCCCGCATACTCAACTCCCCCCTCCCCCCCCCCCCAATACCTTGCGTGCCACGTCATTCGCTAGCATGGCGTTTAAACAGTTGTCGGCCACTGCCAGGGCATCACCAAACGCGCCACGTGCCATGTGTCGCGCCACGATTGGCTGAAGAACCGGCTCTTCAAAAACAAAACGCCCATCTCCTAATCCTGTTGCAATTGTCCCTGCAACTGATGTGCCTGCTGGTGCAGCTCCTGCTGATGCAACTCCTGCTGGTGCTGCCACTGCATTTGCTGCAGCTGCTGCAGCAGACCCACTAGCCGTAGCATTCATGCTAGCACACGCAATCCCATGAGCCGTGGCAACAAAGGGCAGCAGCAGAGCAGCGTTGGCATGCACGGCCGTGAGCACAAACACCCGCAGCGACGCCACCATGTCACTCCTCCCCTCGCCCCTGCCACCCACACTGCCACCTCCCCCTGTCCCACCTGCCCCTCTCCCTGCCCCAACAGTTCCTCTCTCTGAACCTCTCCCTGCGCCACCAAGGAAGCCTGCTCGTGCTGCTGCCTCCAGCCCCAGCGAGTGAGCAAAGCCACCAGCAGGCAGCAGCGAGTCCAGCAGCTGCCACACCGCCCAGTCCGATGGCAGGGGCGGAGGGGAAGCTGTTGGCCCCTTGTCCTCCTCGCCTTCCCGCTCCATGCTGCTCGTTTCCTGACCCGGCCCCTTGGCTACCTCACCCAATAGCGACGCTTGGGTGATGCTCCCTCGTCTCTGCTGCGTCTCCTGATGCTTTGGACCCTTTGCTTGCTGCTCTTGAGGATCTATTCAGTAACTTCCCTCTCCCAATTTCCCCTCCCTTGTTCTACAAAGCGGGACAAAAGTGAAGTGAAGCACTCACCAGCAGCAGCTACCCTCCTGCTTTCTTGCTACCCCAAGTGTTTCAGTCTCTGAAAACTACAAAGTATTCCCCTAATTCCTATTTATACCACCCCGTCTTAATCCTCTATTTCTTCCCCCTTTCCCACCCCCGGCCCCTCCCCCTACCCTCTTAGAAGAGGAAGTAGCTCTGAGCCAGTGGCAGCTCGCCAGCTGGCTGACACGTCAGCGGCGCCCCGTCAGCGGTGACCTGGTAGGTCTCAGGGTCCACGTGGATGGTTGGGAGGGCGCCATTGTGGATCATATCCTCCTTGCAGAGGTTGCGGCAGTTGTATACTGGGGTGAGGGTCTTGGAAAGACCGAGATTTGCTGCTGATCCTGACTCATGGCACAGCTGGTGAGAAGGGGCGATAGGGACGGGGATGGAGAGGGGGGGGATGAGAGGGCGCCGTTGTGGATCATATCCTCCTTGCAGAGGTTGCGGCAGTTGTATACGGGAGTCAAGGCCTTGGTGAAGCCGAGATTCGCTGCTGATCCTGACTCGTGGCACAGCTGGTGTCAGAGGGAAGAGGGGGGAGAGCAGGGAGGGTCGTGAGGTGTTTTTTAAAGACGATCAGAAATCGTGGCACACGTTTTGAGGCGCCTTAAGATTAACTTTTGAGTCGACTCAGAAGTCAATAAGGAGGGTCGTGAGGTGTTTTTCAAGACGATCAGAAATCGTGGCACAAGTTTTGAGGCGCCTCAAGTTTCAACCGGAAAATTGTGGCACAGCTGGCATCAGAGGGAAGAGGAAGGAGAGCAGGTGGGGATGTGAGGTGGGGAAATAGCAGCAAGCCCTTTTTGCACATTACCCGGTAAGTAGCAAGTGGCTACATCAACGTGGTGAATATCTATCGCCATCCGTCACCATCACACCTCCCCACCACCCCTCCTCACAGCTCAACTGGCTGACGAACGCCAAGCAGCGTCCACCACTGCCTTGCTTATCGCACCCCCCTTGCACCTCACCTGGCTACATGAACAATATCTATCGCCATCCGCCACCATCACACCCGACCCAACCCCCCTTCTCTCCACCTCACCTGGCTGACGAACGCCAAGCAGCGTCCCCCCACTGCCTTGCCGCTTGCTGCAAATTGCGGTCGCATGATGACCTGAGGGGGCGGGACGTGGGGAAGGAGCGGTGGGATGAGGTGGGGCATGAGCGAAATGCAGGAATCAGCCTGATAACCGTGGGTGAGGTACGACGAGAGATTATGGGAGAAAATACAGTTAGCCACCAAAACAAGGGCAGCAGTGGGTGGGTGTGATACAGTGCTGGAATTATTTTGGAGGCGCCTCAAAAATCAAAACAAGGGCAGCAGTGGGTGGGTGTGATACAGTGCTGGAATTGCAATAGCCCATATGCAGTGAGGGTGTTTTTGAGACGTCTCAAAAACACCCTCACTGCAAACGGCAGCAGTGGGTGTGATACAGTGCTGGAATTGCCATAGCCCATAAAACTGGATATGCGGCAGTGAGCATGGTAGTACCCGCACATAAAACTCACCGGCTCCGGGGTTGGAATGCTGGCATTATCATCACCCATCTGCACCCACGCAATCACTCACCCCTTCACCACGATCTCTGACTTCACAAACACCAAACTTACAGTTGAAAAAGGAACAATCACCAAACATAAACCTGAAACAGGCACACTCACCGGCTCCGGGGTTGGAATGCTGGCATTAGCATCACCCATCTGCGCCCAGGCGATCGCGCCCCCCTTCACCACAATCTCCAGCTTTGCAAGCACTGAACTTACATTTGAAACAAGCACTCACCGAACATCAATCAATCCAAAACAGCTACTCACTGGCTCTGGAGTGGGAATGCTCGCATTGGCATCACCCATCTGCACCCACGCGATCGCGCCCCCCTTCACCACAATCTCCAGCTTTGCAAGCACTGAACTTACATTTGAAACAAGCACTCACCGAACATCAATCAATCCAAAACAGCTACTCACCGGCTCTGGAGTGGGAATGCTGGCATTAGCATCGCCCATCTGCGCCCACGCGATCGCTCCCCCCTTCACCACGATCTCCGGCTTCGCTCCAAAGAACGCCGGCCGCCACAGCACCAGATCCGCCAGCTTCCCCACCTCCACGGACCCTACCATGTGCGAAAACCCATGCGCGATCGCGGGATTAATCGTATACTTCGCCACGTATCGCTTCACCCGGAAGTTATCATTCGGAGCGGTGCCAAACCCAGGGTCCTTATCCTCGTTAAGAGGCCCGCGCTGCACTTTCATCTTGTGCGCGGTTTGCCAGGTGCGGGTGATGACCTCGCCAATGCGACCCATGGCTTGGGAGTCAGATGACATCATGCTGATGGCTCCCATGTCATGCAGTATGTCCTCTGCTGCAATGGTCTCGGCCCGGATACGGGATTCTGCGAAGGCAACATCCTCCCTGTTGTTGCTGTCCAGGTGATGACACACCATCTAAGAAAATAAGGGGAGAGGACGGAGGGGAAGAAGCAAGGGGGGGCGCAGGGGAAAAAGACATTGACATGACATGGCTTGGGAGTCTGATGACATCATGCTGATGGCTCCCATGTCATGCAGTATGTCCTCTGCTGCAATGGTCTCGGCCCGGATACGGGATTCTGCGAAGGCAACATCCTCCCTGTTGTTGCTGTCTAGGTGATGACACACCATCTGGGGAGGGTGGGGGGAGAAGAAGGGGAAGCAGGGGAGAGTGCGGTTTGCCAGGTGCGTGTGATGACCTCGCCAATGCGACCCATGGCTTGGGAGTCTGATGACATCATGCTGATGGCCCCCATGTCATGCAGTATGTCCTCTGCTGCAATGGTCTCGGCTCGAATTCGCGACTCTGCAAAGGCAACGTCCTCCCTGTTGTTGCTGTCCAGGTGATGACACACCATCTGGGGGGAGTGGGGAGGGGTAGAACGGGGAAGGGAAAGCGGGGGGATGAGAGGGAAATGAGGAGAATGCGCCACTCAGCGAATGCCTCGCCCTCCCTGTTGTTGCTGCCCAGGTGGAAGGAGGGGTGGGGTGAACGAAGGGAAAGATACAAGGAGGTTTTGCGTGCAACACACCCACCAGCTCATCATTCTATTTAATGGTGCTGGTGGTAAACGGCCGAGTGGGGTTCACTTTTGAGAATTCTCACGTGTGATGAGGTTGTTTTTGAGACGTCTCAAAAACAACCTCATCACACCCAGCTCATCATTCAATTTAATGGTGCTCGTGGTAAACGGGCGAGTGGGGTTGGTGGGTGAGGGTAGCAAATTCCCAGGTAGGTACTACAGTACGTCGTCGTTATAGTAACCAAGCATAACAGCATATCGAGGTGTTCGTCGATGGTGTTGCTGGTGAAGGGGCGCGTGGGGTTGGTGGAGGAGGGCAGCATACCCTTATTAATATACTTGTTATAAAACAACCCACATCCCCGTTATAATAACAAAGTGCATACCAGGATATTGAGATGCTTGTTAATGGTGTTGGTGGTGAAGGGGCGAGTGGGGTTGGTGGAAGGCAGGAAGTAAATCTCTTGGTAGGTACTACAGTACGTCCTCGTTTTAGTAACCAACATACCAGCATATCAAGGTGTTCGTCAATGGTGTTGGTTGTGACGGGGCGAGTGGGGTTGGTGGAGGACAGGCAGTGAATCCCTAGGTAGTTACTGCAGCACGTCCTCGTTATAAGTCAAGAACCCACCAGCATGTCAAGGTGTTCGTCTATGGTGTTGGTGGTGAAGGGGCGAGTGGGGTTGGTGGAGGAGGGCAGCACGTTGCTCTCCCCGCAGATGCTGATGATGTCCGGCGCATGCCCGCCCCCTGCTCCCTCGCTGCAAGAGAAAGGCAGCACAAAAGCAGAGAAGAATGAAAAGACAGAGGAGGGGAGGTCGGTGGAGGAGGGCAGCACGTTGCTCTCCCGACAAACGCGGATGATGTCCGATGCATGCCCTTCCCCCGGCTCGCTCTCTGCAAGATACAAAGAGCAAAGGGAGAGAACATATAAAGGACAGAGGAGGGAAGGTTGGTTCGTGGAGGAGGGCAGCACGTTGCTCTCCCCACAGATGCGGATGTTGTCCGGCGCATGCCCGCGGCCGCTCCCTGCTCCTTCACTGCGAGGCACACGCAAGGAAAGGGGGGTTGGGGTTGAAGAAGGTAGATTAGAGGAAGGAAGGTTCGTGGAGGAGGGAAGGAAGCTGTGCTCTCGCCCCACAGATGCTGATGATGTCCGGCGCATGCCCGCCTCCTGCTCCTTCACTGCGAGGCTCACGCAAGGGGGAGGGTTGGGGTTCGAAGAAGGTAGGTTACTGGAAGGAAGGTTGTGGAGGAGGGCAGCACGTTGCTCTCCCCAGTAAGCAGCGATGGACTGTTCCACGCATGCGGACTCATCGAGTGTGTCTAGTTTTGAGGTGCCTTAAAACCAGACTGTTCCACACATGCGGACTCATTGACTGTGTCTGTGTGTATCGTCACCTGCACGTCATGCTGCTCCTCCACGCCCAGGCACCCCCAATTCCCAGGCCACTTCAAGCAAGTACCCACCATAGAAAACAGTCCCACGCCAACCTTTTCCCCCCTTTCCTCCGCTCCCCCTCTCTCACCTGTGGTAGGTGTGGATGGTGCGGTTCTTGAAGGCAGCGATGGTCTGCTCCACGCACGCCGACTCGTTCAGAGTGTCCGTGTGAATCGTCACCTGCACGTCATGCTCCTCTGCCACGCCCAGGCACGTGTCAATGGCTGTAGGCGTGGTGCCCCAGTCCTCGTGCAGCTTCAGCCCGATGGCTCCTGCTTTGATGATGTCTACCAGGCCCTCAGGGCTGGACGTGTTGCCCTGGGGGGTGGGAAAGGGAAGGGAGAGGTACTGCTATGAGCCCTGGGTCGTCACCTGCACGTCATACTCCTCTGCCACGCCCAGGCACGTGTCAATGGCTGTAGGCGTGGTGCCCCAGTCCTCGTGCAGCTTCAGCCCGATGGCTCCTGCTTTGATGATGTCTACCAGGCCCTCAGGGCTGGACGTGTTGCCCTGGGGGGTGGGAAAGGGAAGGGAGAGGTACTGCTATGAGCCCTGGATCGTCACCTGCACGTCATACTCCTCTGCCACGCCCAGGCACGTGTCTATGGCTGTAGGCGTGGTGCCCCAGTCCTCGTGCAGCTTCAGCCCGATGGCTCCGGCCTTAATGATGTCTACCAGGCCCTCAGGGCTGGACGTGTTGCCCTGAGTGGGAGGGGCAATAGGAGCGAAGAGGCGCTGTCAGAAGAAGTGCAGTTCTTGTTGCGTGCACAGGAGGGTTGCAATAGGAGTGAAGCACAGGAACAACCCTCCCTCTCACCTACACTGAAGTTGACAGGCGCATTGCCTGTAACCTGCAGCATAAGCGCCATGACATCGGGTTATGATTCACACCCTCGCAGACATCCACAAGCGTACACTTACTTTCACAGACACTCACTCACAAACTCACTCACACCCTTCTAACCATTCACCTTCTCCGTCAACCCAAAGTTGAGAGGCATATTATCCGTGGCCTGCAGTATGAGGCGCCTACACACCCTTCCACCGCACCACACCGATAGGTAACCGTCACGGCGTCACCACCCATAGCCACAGCAGCACTTACCTTCCCCGTGAACCCAAAGTTGAGAGGCATGTTATCCGTGGCCTGTAGCATGAGCGCCATGGCATCGGGGGATGGCGTGCACGTGGTGGCCAGAGTGCCATGTGCCGGACCCGTACCTCCTCCCACCAGTGTGGTGAGACCTGCATGCGCAGAACATAGAAGCAAAGGAAAACATAATTGATTTGATGGTGATTGTGGCAGCAGTGCAGCATGAGAGCCATGGCGTCGGGTGATGGACGTGCACGTGGTGGCCAGAGTGCCATGTGCCGGCCCCGTGCCTCCTCCTACTAGCGTCGTCAGACCTGCACACATGGGGAGAGGGCGGGGCACAGGTGGGGAGAGAAAGGTATGAACAGTATGGCGATTGTGGTGATGGTGAGCAAACTATCCACCTTATGGTGATGGTGATGGTAGCTTGCAGCATGCGAGCCATGGCATCAGGGGATGGTGTGCATGTGGTCGCTAGTGTGCCGTGAGCATGAGAGCCATTGCTGATTCACAACTCACCACCCACCACTCACCACCCACCACTCACCACTGTAAATGGCCTCGTCCGCCAGTCGGGGGCAGATGAAGTGCACGTGCGTGTCTATGCTATGCATAACCTACTGTTAGTGTTAGCCCTCAATCTCACACTTTGTATTTTGCACTTTTTATATCGTAGCATAGTGTAGCTTGCACTTTGTGTTTGGTTGGGTGTACACCTACATCCCAACCAAACCCAAATGTAATCTCCAAGCAATCTCCAACCCACCAATTGGAGATTGTTTTGGGATTACCCCCAATCCCTAGAGATTGCCCCCGATTCCCTTCCCCATCCATTGCTTGCCCATCTTGGATGTACTTAAAGAGCTTCAAGCTCATTACTAATGTATCAGTTCTAAGCTTAAGTAGTGTCACCTACGCTACTCACTGCTCCCGCTTCCTGCATCACCACCACACTGCACCACACACCACCTACCACGCTGATCTACCACCCATAACCCACCACTCACCACTGCAAATGGCCTCATCCGCCAGCTGGGGGCAGATGAAGTGCACGTGGGTGTCGATGCCTCCTGCTGTGAGAATCAGCCCCTCGCCTGCTATCACCTCTGTCGTCACCTGCATGGGGGAAGAGGAAGGGGCAGAAGTAAAGAAGTTGACAGCTTTGGGTTGAGAACTTTTCATAGTAGGACTTAAGTGTTGAGAATGTTCGTCAAGTCCCGACTCCCATGATTTCCGGCTTGTACGCCACTAGACTCACCCCCACCACCATGTCCTCGTCCACGCCATCAATCACATCAGGATTGCCGCCCTTGCCAATGCCAGTGATGCGTGTACCCTTCATGCCCACACAGCCCAAACCACCCTTCACGAGTAGACTCACCCCCACCACCATGTTCTCGTCAACCCCATCCATCACATCCGGGTTGCCGACCTTGCCAATGCCTGTGATGCGCGTGGCCTTCATGCCCATACAGCCCACACCACCATTCACGAGTAGACTCACCACCATTCACGAGTAGACTCACCACCCTTCACGAGTAGACTCACCACCCTTCACGAGTAGACTCACCACCCTTCACTAGTAGACTCACCACCATTCACGAGTAGACTCACCACCCTTCACGAGTAGACTCACCACCCTTCACGAGTAGACTCACCACCCTTCACGAGTAGACTCACCACCCTTCACGAGTAGACTCACCACCCTTCACGAGTAGACTCACCACCCTTCACGAGTAGACTCACCACCCTTCACGAGTAGACTCACCACCCTTCACGAGTAGACTCACCACCATTCACGAGTAGACTCACCACCCTTCACGAGTAGACTCACCACCCTTCACGAGTAGACTCACCACCCTTCACTAGTAGACTCACCACCATTCACGAGTAGACTCACCACCCTTCACGAGTAGACTCACCACCCTTCACGAGTAGACTCACCACCCTTCACGAGTAGACTCACCACCCTTCACGAGTAGACTCACCACCCTTCACGAGTAGACTCACCACCCTTCACGAGTAGACTCACCACCCTTCACGAGTAGACTCACCACCCTTCACGAGTAGACTCACCACCCTTCACGAGTAGACTCACCACCCTTCACGAGTAGACTCACCACCCTTCACGAGTAGACTCACCACCCTTCACGAGTAGACTCACCACCCTTCACGAGTAGACGCACCACCCTTCACGAGTAGACTCACCACCCTTCACGAGTAGACTCACCACCCTTCACGAGTAGACTCACCACCATTCACGAGTAGACTCACCACCATTCACGAGTAGACTCACCACCATTCACGAGTAGACTCACCACCCTTCACGAGTAGACTCACCACCCTTCACGAGTAGACTCACCACCCTTCACGAGTAGACTCACCACCCTTCACGAGTAGACTCACCACCATTCACGAGTAGACTCACCACCCTTCACGAGTAGACTCACCACCCTTCACGAGTAGACTCACCACCCTTCACGAGTAGACTCACCACCCTTCACTAGTAGACTCACCACCATTCACGAGTAGACTCACCACCCTTCACGAGTAGACTCACCACCCTTCACGAGTAGACTCACCACCCTTCACGAGTAGACTCACCACCCTTCACGAGTAGACTCACCACCCTTCACGAGTAGACTCACCACCCTTCACGAGTAGACTCACCACCCTTCACGAGTAGACTCACCACCATTCACGAGTAGACTCTGTTAGAATTATATATTGTAGCATGCTAAGCACATGTGACTGTACACCAATTGTGGTGTACAGTTGGGTTGGGACTACACCCAACATTGGGTGTAGTCTTGCACTTTGGGGTGCCAATCCACCCAATTGTGGTGGAGCCCCCAAATTGCAACCCTCTTGACTTTTGGGTACCTCACTTCCCAAATTGAGGTCACCACAAGCCAAGTGGGCCTAGGGTTGCCTCACTTCTTCAAAGTGTGGACAACCCAACCCAACTCACCTATGGTTGCCTCACTTCCCCAAGTGAGGTCAACCCAACCATAGGTTGGGTTCTTCCTTCCCCTCCAATCTTTCCTTCCAACTATGTATGCTAGGTTTGTCTTCCAATCTAGTTACTTGTTCAATTTACACTCTTCACAGACTCACCACCCTTCACGAGTAGACTCACCACCCTTCACGAGTAGACTCACCACCCTTCACGAGTGGACTCACCACCCTTCACGAGTAGACTCACCACCCTTCACGAGTAGACTCACCACCCTTCAATGCACGTGCCCTTCATCCCCACGTGCTCCACAATTCTCTGATCTGAATGAGCCTCCAATTAACACTCACCCGTACATCCGTATCCCCTGATACTCACCCCCACCACCATGTTCTCGTCCACCCCATCCATCACATCCGGGTTGCCTCCCTTCCCAATGCCTGCGATGCGTGTGCCTTTGATGCCCACGTCCGCCTTCACTATGCCCCAGTGATCCACTATAAGCGCATTCGTTATTATCACGTCCAGTGCATCCACTGCCTTCACTCCCGTCGCCTGAACACAAGGAGAGGAAGTGGAAGGGAAGAGGCAAGGGAGGGAAAAGCGCAGTGAGGGCTTGGGAAGGAGAGAAGGAGGGAAAATTCGGAGAGAGCAAGGAGGGAAAGGGCATGGGAAGGGAAGTACAGGGCTCAGGCTCTCCTGCCGCCCCTCCTGCCCCACTCCTCATCCGCCCCGGCACAGTCCCTCACTACCCCGTTCCCACCCTGCCCCAGTTTTCCCCTGCCCCAGTCCCCCCTTGTTCCGGGCCTCATCTGCCCCATGCCTCACCTGCCCCATGCCTCATCTGCCCCATGCCTCACCTGCCCCATGCCTCACCTGCCCCATGCCTCACCTGCCCCATGCCTCACCTGCCCCATGCCTTCGCGCAGCAACTTCCCCCCTCCGAACTTGCACTCGTCGCCCAGCACTGTGAAGTCCCTCTCCACCTCCACCACCAGCGCCGTGTCTCCCAGCCGCAGTCTGTCCCCCACTGTGGGGCCAAACACACCTGCCCCAGTCCCCCCCTGCTCCAGGTCTCACTCACCTGCCCCATGCCTTCGCGCAGCACCTTCCCCCCTCCGAACTTGCATTCATCGCCCAGCACTGTGAAGTCTCTCTCCACCTCCACCACCAGCGCTGTGTCTCCCAGCCGCAGTCTGTCCCCCACTGTAGGGCCAAACACGTCCGCGTACCGCTCCCTCTCCACTCGCACTGTGAGGGCCTCGTCCGTCCCCACCACTCCCTTGCTGCATGCACAAAAGGATGAGAGAGGCGGGTAGGGGAGAAAGTGAGGAGGCGACACCCCCCTTGTCTCCAACCCGTACTCTGTCCCCCACCGTGAGCCCAAACACGTCAGCGTACCGCTCCCTCTCCACTCGCACTGTGAGGGCCTCGTCCTTCCCCACGACTGCCTTGCTGCATGCATGAGAGGAGGGGAGAGGGAGGCGAGTACGAGAGGGAGTGAGGAACTGGGAACACGGGGGGAACAAATGCATCCCCGTACCACTCTTAATCCACTCGCACTGTCGGTGCTTCGTCCGTCCCCACAACCCCCTTGCTGGGTTGACGAGGGAGAGAGTGAAGGAGGCGGGTAGGAGAGGGACTGAGGAACCAAGAAATCCTATTGGGCCACATTTGGAAAATCTCATTGAAAGGTTTGACGTCAGGTTTGACGTCAGGTTTGAGGTCAGGTTTGAGGTCAGGTTTGACGTCAAGTTTGACGTCACGTTTGACATCAGGTTTGAGGCCAGGTTTGAGGTCAAGTTTGAGGTCAGGTTTGACGTAATGTTTGAGGTCAGGTTTGACGTCAGGTTTGAGGTCAGGTTTGACGTCAAGTTTGAGGTCAGGTTTGACGTCAGGTTTGAGGTCAGGTTTGAGGTCAGGTTTGACGTCAGGTTTGACGTCAGGTTTGACGTCAGGTTTGACGTCAGGTTTGACGTCAGGTTTGACGTCAGGTTTGAGGTCAGGTTTGAGGTCAGGTTTGACGTCAAGTTTGAGGTCAGGTTTGACGTCAGGTTTGAGGTCAGGTTTGAGGTCAAGTTTGAGGTCAGGTTTGACGTCAGGTTTGAGGTCAGGTTTGACGTCAAGTTTGAGGTCAGGTTTGACGTCAGGTTTGACGTCAGGTTTGAGGTCAGGTTTGACGTCAAGTTTGAGGTCAGGTTTGACGTCAGGTTTGACGTCAAGTTTGAGGTCAGGTTTGACGTCAGGTTTGACGTCAGGTTTGAGGTCAAGTTTGAGGTCAGGTTTGACGTCAAGTTTGAGGTCAGGTTTGACGTCAAGTTTGAGGTCAGGTTTGACGTCAAGTTCAAGGTCAGGTTTGACGTCAAGTTTGAGGTCAGGTTTGAGGTCAGGTTTGAGGTCAGGTTTGAGGTCAGGTTTGGGGTCAGTGTTGAGGTCAGGTTTGACGTCAGGTTAGTGGTCAAGTTTGACGTCAGGTTTGACGTCAGGTTTGAGGTCAGGTTTGAGGTCAGGTTTGAGGTCAGGTTTGAGGTCAGGTTTGACGTCAGGTTTGAGGTCAGGTTTGAGGTCAGGTTTGAGGTCAGGTTTGAGGTCAGGTTTGACGTCAAGTTTGAGGTCAGGTTTGACGTCAGGTTTGAGGTCAGGTTTGACGTCAGGTTTGAGGTCAGGTTTGAGGTCAGGTTTGAGGTCAGGTTTGACGTCAAGTTTGAGGTCAGGTTTGACGTCAAGTTTGAGGTCAGGTTTGACGTCAGGTTTGACGTCAGGTTTGAGGTCAGGTTTGAGGTCAGGTTTGAGGTCAGGTTTGAGGTCAGGTTTGAGGTCAGGTTTGACGTCAGGTTTGAGGTCTGGTTTAACGTCAGGTTTGAGGTCAGGTTTGACGTCAAGTTTGAGGTCAGGTTTGAGGTCAGGTTTGAGGTCAGGTTTGAGGTCAGGTTTGAGGTCAGGTTTGAGGTCAAATTTGAGGTCAGGTTTGACGTCAAGTTTGAGGTCAGGTTTGACGTCAAGTTTGAGGTCAGGTTTGACGTCGAGTTTGGCGTCAGGTTTGAGGTCAGGTTAGAGGTCTGGTTTGACATCAGGTTTGAGGTCAGGTTTGACGTCAGGTTTGACGTCAGGTTTGACGTCAGGTTTGAGGTCAGGTTTGACGTCAAGTTTGAGGTCAGGTTTGACGTCAAGTTTGAGGTCAGGTTTGACGTCAAGTTTGAGGTCAGGTTTGACGTCAGGTTTGAGGTCAGGTTTGACGTCAAGTTTGAGGTCAGGTTTGACGTCAGGTTTGAGGTCAGGTTTGACGTCAGGTTTGAGGTCAGGTTTGACGTCAGGTTTGAGGTCAGGTTTGACGTCAGGTTTGAGGTCAGGTTTGACGTCAGGTTTGACGTCAGGTTTGAGGTCAGGTTTGACGTCAAGTTTGAGGTCAGGTTTGACGTCAGGTTTGACGTCAGGTTTGACATCAGGTTTGAGGTCAGGTTTGACGTCAGGTTTGACGTCAGGTTTGACGTCAGGTTTGACGTCAGGTTTGACGTCAGGTTTGACGTCAGGTTTGACGTCAGGTTTGAGGTCAGGTTTGAGGTCAGGTTTGACGTCAAGTTTGACGTCACGTTTGACATCAGGTTTGAGGCCAGGTTTGAGGTCAAGTTTGAGGTCAGGTTTGACGTAATGTTTGAGGTCAGGTTTGACGTCAGGTTTGAGGTCAGGTTTGACGTCAAGTTTGAGGTCAGGTTTGACGTCAGGTTTGAGGTCAGGTTTGAGGTCAGGTTTGACGTCAGGTTTGACGTCAGGTTTGACGTCAGGTTTGACGTCAGGTTTGACGTCAGGTTTGACGTCAGGTTTGAGGTCAGGTTTGAGGTCAGGTTTGACGTCAAGTTTGAGGTCAGGTTTGACGTCAGGTTTGAGGTCAGGTTTGAGGTCAAGTTTGAGGTCAGGTTTGACGTCAGGTTTGAGGTCAGGTTTGACGTCAAGTTTGAGGTCAGGTTTGACGTCAGGTTTGACGTCAGGTTTGAGGTCAGGTTTGACGTCAGGTTTGACGTCAAGTTTGAGGTCAGGTTTGACGTCAGGTTTGACGTCAGGTTTGAGGTCAAGTTTGAGGTCAGGTTTGACGTCAAGTTTGAGGTCAGGTTTGACGTCAAGTTTGAGGTCAGGTTTGACGTCAAGTTCAAGGTCAGGTTTGACGTCAAGTTTGAGGTCAGGTTTGAGGTCAGGTTTGAGGTCAGGTTTGAGGTCAGGTTTGGGGTCAGTGTTGAGGTCAGGTTTGACGTCAGGTTAGTGGTCAAGTTTGACGTCAGGTTTGACGTCAGGTTTGAGGTCAGGTTTGAGGTCAGGTTTGAGGTCAGGTTTGAGGTCAGGTTTGACGTCAGGTTTGAGGTCAGGTTTGAGGTCAGGTTTGAGGTCAGGTTTGAGGTCAGGTTTGACGTCAAGTTTGAGGTCAGGTTTGACGTCAGGTTTGAGGTCAGGTTTGACGTCAGGTTTGAGGTCAGGTTTGAGGTCAGGTTTGAGGTCAGGTTTGACGTCAAGTTTGAGGTCAGGTTTGACGTCAAGTTTGAGGTCAGGTTTGACGTCAGGTTTGACGTCAGGTTTGAGGTCAGGTTTGAGGTCAGGTTTGAGGTCAGGTTTGAGGTCAGGTTTGAGGTCAGGTTTGAGGTCAGGTTTGAGGTCTGGTTTAACGTCAGGTTTGAGGTCAGGTTTGACGTCAAGTTTGAGGTCAGGTTTGAGGTCAGGTTTGAGGTCAGGTTTGAGGTCAGGTTTGAGGTCAGGTTTGAGGTCAAATTTGAGGTCAGGTTTGACGTCAGGTTTGACGTCAGGTTTGAGGTCAGGTTTGAGGTCAGGTTTGACGTCAAGTTTGAGGTCAGGTTTGACGTCAAGTTTGAGGTCAGGTTTGACGTCAAGTTTGAGGTCAGGTTTGACGTCAGGTTTGAGGTCAGGTTTGACGTCAAGTTTGAGGTCAGGTTTGACGTCAGGTTTGAGGTCAGGTTTGACGTCAGGTTTGAGGTCAGGTTTGACGTCAGGTTTGAGGTCAGGTTTGACGTCAGGTTTGAGGTCAGGTTTGACGTCAGGTTTGACGTCAGGTTTGAGGTCAGGTTTGACGTCAAGTTTGAGGTCAGGTTTGACGTCAAGTTTGAGGTCAGGTTTGACGTCAGGTTTGACGTCAGGTTTGACATCAGGTTTGAGGTCAGGTTTGACGTCAGGTTTGACGTCAGGTTTGACGTCAGGTTTGACGTCAGGTTTGACGTCAGGTTTGACGTCAGGTTTGACGTCAGGTTTGACGTCAGGTTTGACGTCAGGTTTGAGGTCAGGTTTGACGTCAAGTTTGAGGTCAGGTTTGACGTCAAGTTTGAGGCACGTTTGATGTCAGGTTTGAGGCAGGTTTGATGTCAGGTTTGAGGTCAGGTTTGACGTCAAGTTTGAGGTCAGGTTTGACGTCAGGTTTGACGTCAGGTTTGACGTCAGGTTTGAGGTCAGGTTTGACGTCAGGTTTGAGGTCAGGTTTGAGGTCAGGTTTGAGGTCAGGTTTGAGGTCAGGTTTGAGGTCAGGTTTGACGTCAGGTTTGACGTCAGGTTTGAGGTCAGGTTTGACGTCAAGTTTGAGGTCAGGTTTGACGTCAAGTTTGAGGTCAGGTTTGACGTCAGGTTTGAGGTCAGGTTTGAGGTCAGGTTTGACGTCAAGTTTGAGGTCAGGTTTGACGTCAGGTTTGAGGTCAGGTTTGACGTCAGGTTTGAGGCCAAGTTTGAGTTCTGGTTTGACGTCAGGTTTGACGTCAGGTTTGAGGTCAGGTTTGAGGTCAGGTTTGACGTCAGGTTTGAGGTCTCGTTTGACGTCAAGTTTAAGGTCAGGTTTGACGTCAGGTTTGAGGTCAGGTTTGACATCAGGTTTGACGTCAAGTTTGAGGTCAGGTTTGACGTCAAGTTTGAGGTCAGGTTTGACGTCAAGTTTTAGGTTAGGTTTGACGTCAGGTTTGAGGCCAGGTTTGACGTCAAGTTTGAGGTCAGGTTTGACGTCAAGTTTGAGGTCAGGTTTGACGTCAGGTTTGAGGTCAGGTTTGAGGTCAGGTTTGAGGTCTCGTTTGACGTCAAGTTTGAGGTCTGGTTTGACGTCAGGATTGAGGTCAGGTTTGACGTCAGGTTTGACGTCAGGTTTGAGGTCAGGTTTGACGTCAAGTTTGAGGTCAGGTTTGATGTCAAATTTGAGGCCAGGTTTGACGTCAGGTTTGAGGTCAGGTTTGACGTCAGGTTTGAGGTCAGGTTTGACGTCAAGTTTGAGGTCAGGTTTGACGTCAAGTTTGAGGTCAGGTTTGACGTCAGGTTTGAGGTCAGGTTTGAGGTCAGGTTTGAGGTCAGGTTTGACGTCAGGTTTGAGGTCAGGTTTGACGTCAAGTTTGAGGTCAGGTTTGACGTCAGGTTTGAGGTCAGGTTTGACGTCAGGTTTGAGGTCAGGTTTGAGGTCAGGTTTGAGGTCAGGTTTGACGTCAGGTTTGAGGTCAGGTTTGACGTCAAGTTTGAGGTCAGGTTTGACGTCAGGTTTGAGGTCAGGTTTGACGTCAGGTTTGAGGTCAGGTTTGACGTCAAGTTTGAGGTCAGGTTTGACGTCAAGTTTGAGGTCATGTTCGTCAGATTTGAGGTCAGGTTTGAGGTCAGGTTTGACGTCAGGTTTGAGGTCAGGTTTGACGTCAGGTTTGACGTCAGGTTTGAGGTCAGGTTTGACGTCAAGTTTGAGGTCAGGTTTGAGGTCTAGTTTGAGGTCAAGTTTGAGGTCAGGTTTGAGGTCATGTTTGACGTCATGTTTGAGGTCAGGGTTGACGTCAGGTTTGAGGTCAGGTTTGACGTCAAGTTTGAGGTCAGGTTTGACGTCAAGTTTGAGGTCAGGTTTGACGTCAGGTTTGAGGTCAGGTTTGACGTCAAGTTTGAGGTCAGGTTTGACGTCAGGTTTGAGGTCAGGTTTGACGTCAGGTTTGAGGTCAGGTTTGAGGTCAGGCTTGAGGCCAGGTTTGACGTCAAGTTTGAGGTCAGGTTTGACGTCAAGTTTGAGGTCAGGTTTGACGTCAAGTTTGAGGTCAGGTTTGACGTCAGGTTTGAGGTCAGGTTTGACGTCAAGTTTGAGGTCAGGTTTGACGTCAAGTTTGAGGTCAGGTTTGACGTCAAGTTTGAGGTCAGGTTTGACGTCAAGTTTGAGGTCAGGTTTGAGGTCAGGTTTGACGTCAAGTTTGAGGTCAGGTTTGACGTCAAGTTTGAGGTCAGGTTTGACGTCAAGTTTGAGGTCAGGTTTGACGTCAAGTTTGAGGTCAGGTTTGAGGTCAGGTTTGACGTCAGGTTTGAGGTCAGGTTTGAGGTCAGGTTTGACGTCAAGTTTGAGGTCAGGTTTGACGTCAAGTTTGAGGTCAGGTTTGACGTCAGGTTTGAGGTCAGGTTTGAGGTCAGGTTTGACGTCAAGTTTGAGGTCAGGTTTGAGGTCTAGTTTGAGGTCAAGTTTGACGTCAGGTTTGAGGTCAGGTTTGACGTCAGGTTTGAGGTCAGGTTTGACGTCAGGTTTGAGGTCAGGTTTGACGTCAAGTTTGAGGTCAGGTTTGACGTCAAGTTTGAGGTCAGGTTTGACATCAGGTTTGAGGTCAGGTTTGACGTCAAGTTTGAGGTCAGGTTTGACGTCAGGTTTGAGGTCAGGTTTGACGTCAGGTTTGACGTCAGGTTTGAGGTCAGGTTTGACGTCAGGTTTGAGGTCAGGTTTGACGTCAAGTTTGAGGTCAGGTTTGACGTCAAGTTTGAGGTCAGGTTTGACGTCAAGTTTGAGGTCAGGTTTGAGGTCAGGTTTGACGTCAGGTTTGAGGTCAGGTTTGACGTCAGGTTTGAGGTCAGGTTTGAGGTCAGGTTTGACGTCAAGTTTGAGGTCAGGTTTGACGTCAAGTTTGAGGTCAGGTTTGACGTCAGGTTTGAGGTCAGGTTTGACGTCAGGTTTGAGGTCAGGTTTGACGTCAAGTTTGAGGTCAGGTTTGACGTCAAGTTTGAGGTCAGGTTTGACGTCAGGTTTGAGGTCAGGTTTGAGGTCAGGTTTGAGGTCAGGTTTGAGGTCAGGTTTGACGTCAGGTTTGACGTCAGGTTTGAGGTCAGGTTTGACGTCAAGTTTGAGGTCAGGTTTGACGTCAAGTTTGAGGTCAGGTTTGAGGTCAGGTTTGACGTCAGGTTTGAGGTCAGGTTTGAGGTCAGGTTTGACGTCAGGTTTGAGGTCAGGTTTGAGGTCAGGTTTGAGGTCAGGTTTGACATCAAGTTTGAGGTTTGGTTTGACGTCAGGTTTGAGGTCAGGTTTGACGTCAGGTTTGAGGTCAGGTTTGACGTCAAGTTTGAGGTCAGGTTTGATGTCAATTTAGAGGTCAGATTTGACGTCAGGTTTGAGGTTAGGTTTGACGTCAGGTTTGAGGCCAGGTTTGAGGTCAAGTTTGAGGTCAGGTTTGACGTCAAGTTTGAGGTCAGGTTTGACGTCAAATCGAGACCATCCTGTTTCATATTTATTCTGGGAAAACCTCTAAACTGCGAGCAGAAAGTGGAGTGGAGAGACGAGGAGCCTACAGTGCGTTGGGCCCTGGCACATGGCCGAGTTTGGGCCATGGCCACAGCTGTACGGTGCGCTGGGCCCATGGCCACAGCTGTACGGTGCGCTGGGCCCGTGGCCACAGCTGTACGGTGCGCTGGGCCCATGGCCACAGCTGTACAGTGCGCTGGGCCCATGGCCACAGCTGTACGGTGCGCTGGGCCCATGGCCACAGCTGTAAAAGCCATGCCATAAGGCTCACAGCCGCCTCTAACTACCAGCACCAGCAGCACCCCTGGTTGGCTCGGGCACATCGCCGAATCCCATGGCAATGGCCTTAGCAGCCACCTCGGCTGCCCTGCTCTCGTCCAGCCCACTTGCCCGTTGCCCCTCATCATCACCAGCACCACCAGCAACATCCCTCAGTGACTCACGTTGCGTTGGGTTCGGGCACATGGCCGAATCCCATGGCAATGGCCTTAGCAGCCACCTCGGCCGCCCTGCTCTCGTCCACTGGCCCGCTCGCTATCCCGTTGCCGCCCCGAATCACCCTCTTGCCGCCCATCGCCACCAGCACCACCTGCTTTGTCTCGCCAGGCTGTCGACAGGGGGGGAGGAAAAAGGAGAGCGTGAGACGCAGGGAAGGGCTAGTGAACAGCAGCACCAGAAGGAAAGAGAGTAAAAGCCAGGGCGAGAGAAAGCAATCACAGGCAGTCGTTCGAACGGCAGCATGGTAACACAGTAGTAGGGTAACGTGGTAACAGGGTCGCATCTGGGACAGAGTGACTTGCCTCGAAGCGCACAGCAGTGCCGGGGAGGATGTTGAGGTGGTAACCGTACGCCAGCTGGCAGTGGAGGAGGAGCAGCAGAACGGGAAAAGCGATAGGAAGGAGCACCAGGCCTTCACATCGGGTGACCCACGTCATATGGGACAGAGTGACTCACCTCAAAGCGCACGGCAGTGCCGGGGAGGATGTTGAGGTGGTAACCGTACGCCAGCTGGCGGTCGAAGAAGAGCAGCGGATTGGTCTCCACGAAGTGGTAGTGGCTGCCCACCTGGGCATGAGAAGTTTCGGGTTTAGGGTTGAAGGTTGAGGGTCGTGGTTTGCTTCGAGGGGTTGAAACTTATGAGCAATGAAGATGGGGGATGAGGATGATATGATTATGAGAGGGTATAACGAGAGATATGATGTGATGCGATGCGATACAATGCGATCGCCGCTACGATACGATAAGATATGATACGGATGAACACGATACGATCCACATGCACACAGCTTAAGTGCCTCACCTGAATAGGCCTGTCGCAGCGGCTGCTGACACTGAGCCGCACGGCAGCCCTGCCAGCGTTGAGCAGCAGTGGGCCCGTCTCTGCCACTATGATCTGCCCCGGTACGCTGGAGCCACTTAGCGGCGTGGTGGTGACAGGCGTGGCGAAGAGGTCAGGCGAGGGGACTGGTGGAGCAGGGGGGGGGAGTGGGGAGATGGGATGAAGGGTCAGCAGCCCTGCCAGTGCTGAGCAGCAGCGGGCCCGTCTCTGCCACTATGATCTGCCCCGGAGCAGCAGAGCCACTCAAGGGCGTGGTGGCAATAGGCACGGCAAATAGGTCAGGCGAGGGAACTGGAGGGACAGGGAAAATTTGAGGGGGGGGAGAAGATGGTAGATGATGGGATGGGATGGGATCCAGCATTGAGCAGCAGCGGGCCCGTCTCTGCCACTATGATCTGCCCCAGAGCAGCAGAGCCACTGAGAGGCGTGGTGGCATTAGGCGCGGCAAAGTGAGCAGCAGCCCTGGCAGCATTGAGCAGAAGCGGGCCTGTCTCTGCCACTATGATCTGCCCCGGTGCTACAGGGCCACTCAGGGGCGTGGTAGCGATAGGCACGGCAAAGTAAGCAGCAGCCCTGGCAGCATTGAGCAGCAGCGGGCCCGTCTCTGCCACTATGATCTGCCCCGGTGCTACAGGGCCACTCAGGGGCGTGGTAGCGATAGGTGTGGCGAAGACATCAGTCGAGGGGACTGGTGGGACAGTGGCGAGATGGGGGGAAACTATGTCACGATTGGGATTTATGTTTCACAAAGGCCGAGATAACGTAGGAGGGCAACAGAGTCTACCACCAACAAACACAAGGAAGAGGCCGGCCGAACTGATGGCGGAGGGAAAGGTGGGGAGAGGTGAGCTGGCCAGAGGGAGAGGTGAGCTGGCCAGACACTGACATGCGAATAAGGAGCCGTGGAGGGCGAGGGAGAGGTCTCTGTCCTCACGGCTGATGGGGAGGTGCACCGTCACCAGCTTCGTGCCATCCGCATCCCAACTCGGAATGAGCAAGGCCAGGGAGAGAGTGGAGAGGGAAACGGGAAACCGGGATACCGGGAAACCGGGAAACCGGGAAACCGGGAAACCGGGATACCGACAAACCGGGAAACCGGGAAACCAGGAAACCGGGATACCGGGATACCGGGAAACCGGGAAACCAGGAAACCGGGAAACCGGGAAACCGGGAAACCGGGAAACCGGGAAACCAGGAAACCGGGAAACCGGGAAACCGGGAAACCGGGATACCGGGAAACCGGGAAACCGGGAAACCGGGAAACCGGGAAACCGGGAATCCGGGAAACCGGGATACTGGGATACCGGGAAACCGGGAAACCGGGATACGGGGAATCCGGGATACCGGGAAACCGGGAAACCGGGAAACCGGGATACCGGGAAACCGGGAAACCGTGAAACCGGGAAACCGGGAAACCGGGATACCGGGAAACCGGGAAACCGGGATACCGGGATACCGGGAAACCGGGAAACCGGGATACCGGGAAACCGGGATACCGGGAAACCGGGAAACCGGGAAACGGGGATACCGGGAAACCGGGAAACCGGGATACTAGGAAACCGGGAAACCGGGATACCGGGAAACCGGGAAACCGGGAAACCGGGAAACAGGGAAACCGGGAAAGCGGGATACCGGGAAACCGGGAAACCGGGAAACCGGGAAACGGGGATACCGGGAAACCGGGAAACCGGGAAACCGGGAAACCGGGAAACCGGGATACCGGGAAACCGGGAAACCGGGAAACCGGGAAACCGGGATACCGGGAAACCGGGAAACCGGGAAACAGGGAAACCGGGAAACCGGGATACCGGGAAACCGGGAAACCGGGAAACCGGGAAACCGGGAAACCGGGAAACCGGGATACCGGGATACCGGGAAACCGGGATACCGGGATACCGGGATACCGGGATACCGGGAAACCGGGAAACCGGGAAACCGGGAAACCGGGATACCGGGAAACCGGGATACCGGGAAACCGGGATACCAGGAAATCGGGAAACTGGGAAACTGGGAAACCGGGATGCCGGGAAACCGGGAAACCGGGAAACTGGGTAACTGGGAAACCGGGCAACCGGGCAACCGGGCAACCGGGCAACCGGGCAACCGGGAAACCGGGAAACCGGGAAACCGGGATACCGGGAAACCGGGATACCGGGAAACCGGGAAACCGGGAAACCGGGATACCGGGAAACCGGGAAACCGGGAAACCGGGAAACGAGGAAATCAGGATACCGGGAAACCGGGAAACCGGGAAACCGGGAAACCGGGAAACCAGGAAACCGGGAAACCGGGAAACCGGGAAACCGGGAAACCGGGTAAGGAAAACCGGGAAACCGGAAACCGGGAAACCGGGCAACCAGGCAACCGGGCAACCGGGCAACCGGGAAACCGGGAAACCGGGAAACCGGGATACCGGGAAACCGGGAAACCGGGAAACCGGGATACCGGGAAACCGGGAAACCGGGAAACCGGGAAACTGGGAAACCGGGAAACCGGGAAACCGGGTAAGGAAAACCGGGAAACCGGGAAACCGGGAAACCTGGATACCGGGAAACCGGGAAACTGGGAAACCGGGAAACGGGGATACTAGGAAACCGGGAAACCGGGAAACCGGGAAACCGGGAAACCGGGATACCGGGAAACCGGGAAACCGGGAAACCGGGAAACTGGGAAACCGGGCAACCGGGCAACCGGGAAACCGGGAAACCGGGAAACCGGGAAACCGTGAAACCGGGAAACCGGGAAACCGGGAAACCGGGAAACAGGGAAACCGGGAAACCGGGAAATAGTGAAACCGGGAAACCGGGAAACCGGGATACCGGGATACCGGGAAACCGGGAAACCGGGATACCGGGAAACCGGGAAACCGGGCAACCGGGAAACCGGGAAACCGGGAAACCGGGATACCGGGAAACCGGGAAACCGGGATACCGGGAAACCGGGAAACCGGGAAACCGGGAAACTGGGAAACCGGGAAACCGGGAAACCGGGAAACCGGGTAAGGAAAACCGGGAAACCGGGAAACCGGGATACCGGGAAACCGGGAAACCGGGAAACGGGGATACTAGGAAACCGGGAAACCGGGAAACCGGGAAACCGGGAAACCGGGAAACCGGGATACCGGGAAACCGGGAAACCGGGAAACCGGGAAACCGGGCAACCGGGCAACCGGGAAACCGGGAAACCGGGAAACCGGGAAACAGGGAAACCGGGAAACCGTGATACCAGGAAAACGGGAAACCGGGAAACCGGGAAACCGGGAAACCGGGATACCGGGAAACCGGGAAACCGGGAAACCGGGAAACAGGGAAACCGGGAAACCGGGAAACCGGGAAACCGGGAAACCGGGAAACCGGGAAACCGGGAAACCGGGAAACTGGGAAATAGGGAAACCGGGAAACCGAGAAATAGGGAAACCGGGAAACCGGGAAACCGGGATACCGGGATACCGGGAAACCGGGATACCGGGAAACCGGGAAACCGTGAAACCGGGAAACCGGGATACTGGGATACCGGGAAACCGGGAAACCAGGATACTGGGATACCGGGAAACCGGGATACTGGGAAACCGGGAGACCGGGAAACCGGGAAACCGGGAAACCGGGAAACCGGGAAACCGGGATACCGGGAAACCGGGATACCGGGAAACCGGGAAACCGGGAAACCGGGAAACAGGGAAACCGGGAAACCAGGAAACCGGGAAACCGGGAAACGGGGATACCGGGAAACCGGGAAACCGGGAAACCGGGAAACCGCCGGGACACCGGGAAACCGGGAAACCGGGAAACCGGGAAACCGGGAAACCGGGATACCGGGAAACCGGGAAACCGGGAAACCGGGATACCGGGAAACCGGGAAACCGGGAAACCGGGAAACCGGGAAACCGGGAAACCGGGATACCGGGATACCGGGAAACCGGGAAACCGTGAAACCGGGAAACCGGGAAACCGGGAAACCGGGAAACCGGGAAACCGGGATACCGGGAAACCGGGAAACCGGGATACCGGGAAACCGGGAAACCGGGAAACCGGGATACCGGGAAACCGGGAAACCGGGAAACCGGGATACCGGGAAACCGGGAAACCGTTAATACTGGGATACCAGGAAACCGGGAAACCGGGAGACTCCTCGCACTCACACCACTCACCTGGGAGGAAGGAGCCGTGCAGGGCGAGGGAGAGGTCGCCGTCCTCCCGGCTGATGGGGTGATGCACCGTCACCAGCTTGGTGCCATCCGCACCAGTGGTGCTTTGAGACATCTTTCACACTCAGAGGTGCAATTGATGGCAGAGAGGAAGACCACGCACCTGGCAGAAACGAGCCGTGCAGAGCGAGGGAGAGATCACCGTCCTCGCGGCTGATGGGGTGGTGCACGGTCACCAGCTTGGTGCCATCCGCGAAGGTTCCCTCCACCTGCACCACGTCTAGCAGCACTGGCACCGCTGGCAGCACGTTGCGCCTGGTGGGGGGGAGGAGGAGCATAGAGGGAGGGGTGAAACAGGGGAGGTGAGGGGAGGGCAGGAGGGAGAAGGGGGCTTGTGAGTCGACTCAAGAGGTTCCTTCCACCTGGATCTTGTCGAGAAGCACTGGCACCGCTAGCAGCATGTTGCGCCTGGTTGAGGGGGAGAGGGAGGGGTGAAACAGGGGAGGGAAGGCGAAACAGGGGAGAGAAGGGGCCTTATGAGTCGACTCAAGAGGTTCCCTTCACCTGCACCACGTCCAGCAGCACTGGCACTGCTGGCAGCACGTTGCGCCTGGTGGGTGGGTGTGTGCGCGGGAGGGGAGGGGGAGGAATGGGAGGAAAAATCATGCGGGGGGAGAGGGAGAGGGGGAAACAGACAGGGGGGGGGAGGGGGAGGGAAGAGAGAAAGGCGGGTTTGTGAGTCGGCTCAGAAGGTTCCCTCCACCTCCACGCCCAGAAGCACTGGCACCGCTGGCAGCACATTGCGCCTGGTGGGGGGGAAGGGGGGAAGAGGGGGATGGGCGGGGGGGAGAGAAGGGGGAGACAACGGAGGGAGGGGGTAGGAAACAGGGGGATGAAGGGGCTTATGATTCGACTCTAAATTTCCTTCCGCCTGGAGCTTACCACGCCGAGAAGCACTGGCACTGCTGGCAGCACATTACGCCTGGTGGGGGGCCAGTGAGGGTGGGGGTCGCGGGGAAAGGGATGAATCATGGGACCAGTAATCAACCCCCCCTTCCCCCCCCGCATCCCTTGACGGTCCTCTCCACCTGCACCACGTCCAGCAGCACTGGCACTGCTGGCAGCACATTACGCCTGGTGGGAGAGTAGAGGGGGAGGGGGGGTGAGGGGGGGTTGGGCTGATGATACGGCGAATATTCGTGCATCCCCCACCGGCAAGCATCGATGCAAACCCTGATCCCACCATGCACCCCTGCATCCCCCCACCCCTCCTCCATCTCCTCCCCCACAACACCAGGAGGAAAGCTAACCTTCCCAGAAGCTGCTTGCCGAGGTCCATGAGCTCTGCAACGCTCTTGCCATCTCGAATAAACTCCAGCACCTGAAACAGAGGATGATGACGATGGTGATAATGATGAGGACAAGGGGTGAAGTGAGAGACAAAGGACAATTAGGACAAGTCCTGATGATGGGAGAAGTAAGGGTTCGAAAGAAGGTGCAGCGACCGACAGAGGAGCATTGTCGAAACGAGTTATAAAAAAAAAAAAAAAAAGATGCCAACATTCTCCGCCCACTAGAAAAAGAGCTCCAGCACCTGCGTGGCGATTAGAGCCACCGCCTCAGGGTAATTGAGCTTTAATCCGCGTGCCAGCCGCTTCTGCGCCAGCGCCCCTGCTGCGTGCAGGCGCAGCTTGTCCCCCTCGCGTACGCTCAGCCTCATGGCTGCATCGGCGGAGGGGAGGGGGGGCGAGGGAGGGAGTAGAGATGGAAGGTGAGGGATACAGATGCACAGATGCAGGTTATGCCAGCCGCTTCTGCGCCAGCGCGCCTGCTGCGTGCAGGCGCAACGTTGTCCACCTCGCGCACGCTCAGCCTCATGGCTGGTGATGGGGGTGGGAAGAAGGAATGGAGGGTGGGTGGGTGAGGGGAGAGGAAGGGGGAATGTGAAGACGAAAAGGGACAATGCATGCGCAGCTTGTCTACCTCCCGCACGCTCAGCCTCATGGCTGCACCAAAGGACTAGACGCGAGAGGAATAAAAACGGAGAGGGAAAGCGAAGTGCAGAGGAGAGGAACACAGAGGGAGGAAAATGCAAGGAAGGTGCAAGAGGCTCCCACCCACCTGCTACTGTTGGGCCGCCTGAGCCGCCTCTTTGAGATCTGATTCCACTCAGAGGTCGGAAACGACAAGCAATGCCACCCTCGCGCCGCTTCCAGACCCGACCAGGCAGTTCCAACCGCCGACTGCAAAGTTCGAACTCCGACCTCCTGTTTCCAAAAAGATTCTGCTCCTGACGGAACGGCTGCTGGTTCCACGAGCCTTCCTCGAGGCACTGGCAGCGGCGACGGCAGGCTGTGGGAAGACCAGCTCGTTTAGCGCAGTCCTGTAAACCGCTTTTGTACTCGCTATAAGCTTCTTCGCTATGCCCGTACTGCGCGTAGCGAGGCGTGGGTCGGAGCGGGATAAGCGCCAGTGACGCGACTGGTCAGAAGTCTTGGTCTGACCAAGGCTAGCGGGTCGCCGCTGGCAGCGCTTTAAGTTCCGCGCGCGGAAGAGCTTGCGCCTAGGCGCAGGGGTCGCGAGGACGGATGCGTATGTTGGACTACTGAAGTATGCTTCCGATTGAGACGGAGACGGAGACGGAGACGGAGACGATGACGGAAACGGAGACTGAGAAGAAGGATCTGGAGAGAGGAGTGGGGAAAGAAGACAGGCGGAGGAGGCGAGAGGCGAGGATACGTGGATGGGGGAAGGAGCACCGGAGAACGTGACACTAGGGAGGGTGACTGTAGCGACGATTGGTGACAATGGGGTGAGTCCGAGTCGCAGAGAAAGCACGCGACGAGAAGAAGTGGAGGATGTAGTTGACGGAATGAGACTGCCAGACGCAGGGGAATTCGGAATGTCGGAGCTAGTACTAGTAAAGATTTGATTCTGCACTGGATTCTGAGCCGTGAACTGCGGGAGCGACGTGAAATTCGAGTGACACGTGGACACTGATGGTGCTGTCCAGCTGGGCAAAGGCGGGAAATGCTGGAGGTTTTGCAGCGATGGTGGACGGGAAGGAATCGGAAAAGCGGCGAGCAGAGGCATGAACGCACGTAAGAGTCAACGCATGAGGTGCGCAGCTGATCTAACGGCGTGGATTCAGGAAGCTCAGGCAGCCACGGAGAAGGGCCAATCAGAATCAGGGGATGCGGTATCTGAAAAGCTGACAATGAGAATAACGCGTAGGTTCTGGTGAAGGCAGGAAGAAGACAATGACGATTTCAAGCACTAGCGTCGAGCTGATACGAAACATAGAATGGCGACAACTTCAAAGGAGTAGAGCACATTTACCCATTTAAACCGTATTATAATGTATAAATGCCTACTGAACCGTACTGTGCAATCAGCAAACCGTAGAAAGAAATCCGGAAGTCGCAGAAGGGGGTGCGGCTGGCCTGCTGCTCTGCTTGCTTGTGAAACAGGATTGTTATCTCCACGTGGCTATAATATCTGCCAATGGGAAAGCCTTCACGTGGTCCCTCTTTTTGACATTTTTCTCAACTAATCACACTTCGAGGATAAACATAGGCTTCCATGGTGAAGTGTACTTAGCAGCTTAACATTTTCTGCAGTCGTTTTCTGCACATCAAAACATCATGCATTCCAGTACTATTGGATTAAATGGAATATAAATGTAAATTTAAATTCCTGATATAACATGTCCATTATGTCTTAATATTATTGTTAATATTGCCGTTCATTCATTTACATAAGAAAAACTTGTCTACTAATGTCAAGGTGTTATTGCATCTTTGCGGTACACGCGCTCTTGTTTTGATCGCACGAGTACACGCGGTCGTGACTCCGCTGTCGCCGAACCAGCAGCAACCCGATGTTTTCGCAGCTTCCTGCAGACAAGTTTTTTCGCCAGCCGCCGAACTGTGTCGGTGGGGAAACGACCCGCTCGCGATAAAGCCGCGTCATCGCCTCACTTCGTTTCCCCTATCAGCAAGCTCAGAGTAGATCCACGATAAGTACCTGCGAAACCGTGCGAAGCTCTCAGCAGCCAAACCTTCAGCACCTCAAGCAGACTCTGTTTGCCAGCCGTCGTGATTGTTGAGAAAATTCTGTGCGGTGCAGTGCGGCATAGCCTGGACTTTGTTCCGTTCGTACCAAAACTCATTTGTTGATAGAAACCTGTGGTCTTGGTAGTTTGAGGGTGAAGCCATTGTCGGGTTGGTCAGTTGCTTCTACCACCTGACAACCGAGGCTCCTCGAGACGCGCCTGTCATGGATCGTGCGCGCATGGCCCCGCTCCTCCTCCTCCTCCTGCTGCCTTTCGCAGCAGCCGCCCCTACCGCAGCCCCCACGGGGAAATCCCCCCCCGCAGCCGCAAAAGCGCCCGCGCCCGCTCCGCCGAAGACCCTCCCGGCGTGCCCGCTCACGGGGAAGCCGGCGACGAAGCCGACGATTCCGCACTCGCGCTGCGTGGAGGCGCAGCAGCTGTCGTGCTGCGAGGACTGTGCGGATCTCACGTTCCCGATACAAGCGCTCGCGGTTAATGTTACTGCTGCCTTGGAGACGGTGTCGCAGGGATATCTTGATATGACGAAAGTCTCGCCAGATGTAGGTGGTACTCGCTTGGGTGCTAATGGTGCTTGGATGGGTGATAATGGTACTCGCATTGGTGCCAGTGCAGCTCGCGGCATGAATGCTCTGCGCGTCACGCGATTCCTCTTCGCGCTTTTTTTACAGCGAATGCCACACATTGCTTCTTTTTTCTTCTGGGGAATTCTCGAAGACCGTTCCGAGCCTCGGGGCCTGTAATATCATTCACTTTTTGATCTCTTCCCATAATGCTGGTATATCGCCTCTCCCACTTCTGCCCTCTCCCGTTCCCCGCTCCCCGCTACTGTTCCATTGCTTGTTGGTTTCAAACCAACCCTTGCTTGTCTGCTCCGCTTATCGCGTATTTTTCCCCCTCCGCGCGCAGGTGTGCAAACTGTTTCAGGGCCTCGAGGAGTGCGAGCAGCTGATCGAGCAACTCGTGTGCGCCGTCACGTGTAACCCAGGTGAGCTTTTCTTTTCGCGAATGAGTCGCGATTGTACTTTAACAAGAAATGTCGCACACTTGTCGCGAAATATGTTAGCATCGCCCTGCCCGTTTTACTATACCGGATCGTGCCTGGTCATGCGAGGCGCTCATACCAAGGAGCGACTTTTGCCTTCGTAATGTACATTTATTGGTACACTATTTCAATGATGGTATGTTGTTTTATTTTGTTTTACCTCACTGCAGATTCCGGGTATTATTTCATTGACACGCCCACGGGTCCCAACATGCAAGTGTGCAAGGCCTTCGCACAGCAGGTCTACAACAAGTGCTCCAAATTCGAGTGAGTACATCGATGCCTTGCAATGCAAATAATATTTCTTGTTTATAAATAGGTACCGTTGGTTCGTATGCTTTCTGGTCTGCTTGACACCACTGTCTGTTATTCATTATTCAACTTCTCCACCGGCGTGTGATGAGACGATTTTAGAGTCGTCTCGAAATTCCTCTCCACCCTCCTGCTGCTCTCATTCTTTCAGCAACAAATTGCTTTCCCTTTTCTGTTCTCCATGGTCTTTTCACCTGCTTTTGTTTGCTCTTCAAAACTCTCTCGTTTCTGCTGCAGTTGGTGACCTTTCACTGAGCGATCTAATCTACACCCCGGAGGAACTTATCAAGCAAGCCATCGTCCCCCTTGTTGCACAAGCCGTTCCAGGCTTCACTGCTGGAGTCAGTGTGAGTACCATGCGCCCTGTAGTACAATGCACTATTCTATGCAATTCCACTAGTGACAAAGCCAAGCAGTATGTAACAGTAACGAGGCGCCCATAACAGTAACCAGGCACCCATCTGCAAAAGTGCACCGTGTATGAGTAGCCTTGTGAGTGCTTTCCAGCTCCTCACCTTTTCTTCTGGAGACGTGGATTGCTTAAAATCCATAAGAAAAACTCCAGCCTTGTTACTGCTTACCATTACCTTCTGTTCACCCCCTTCCCCCCCTCCCTCTACCCTCTACTCCTCTTCCCCCCTTACCTCGTCACAGGACGTGGGTTGCTATGGCGGCCCCCAGGTCATTCCTGCGACCCCCTTCTGCTGCGACCCTCTCACCATCCCCAAAACCTGCCCTGCTGGTTCGGTAAACACCACCGGAGCAGAGAAGATCCCGGGCCGGAAACCCGATGCGAAGATCTGCGCCAAGTACCCTTACAAGCCCGGAACCACCCCCTACAAGCGCCCCCCCCTGCCCCCAACTGCATATGACAAGCCTACCCTCCCGAAGGCTCCGTCCTCCGCGCCTGCCCCATCGCCAGGCTCGGCCGAAGCTCCAGCCCCAGCAATGGCCCCGTCGTCCGGAGATACTGTTGATGGGGGGTCTTCCTCCCCTACTGCGCCCCCACCAGCAGCCCCCTCTACCCCATCCTCCCCCTCTACCCCGTCCTCACCCTCTTCCCCATCCTCCTCCCCTACCCCGTCCCCTCCTCCTCCTCCCCCCAAGGGCACTGGGAGCGTGGCTGCCTCTGTGATGGTGACTGTGGGTGCTGCTGTGCTTGCTGCTCTGCTGTGATTGGGCAGAAAAGGGCGGCATTTTGAGGTCCAGTTGTCGCTTGAGTTGATGTCAAAGAAGGGCTGATATATGAAGGGTGTACTCTTGATTGACTAAATTGATGGCAACTTTGGCCTGATCTTGGGTAAGATAGGAGCATCTACCGCAAAATGAATCAGTGTGGCAACAATGACTGAAAGAGCTGTGATTTCTTGGTTTTCTTGGTTCTACGTATTTTGCAGCTTGGAGCAGCTGGTTCTCGCCAGCGTTTCCGATTACCTTATCACCAAGACAACATGTAGCCACCTGAATATGGGTGAGGTTAGCTAAACTAGAGCAAGTTGTCGATTAAAATGATAGTGGAGTCACCAGATAGGGTATGGGGAAGTGCCTTGTTTTGTTTCAGGTATTTGCAACCCAGTATTCCCTAAAAACTCGTCCAATTACCATACTTTCAGGCTCAGCAATGCCACATTTTGGTACTCAAATTATCACCCACGAAAAAAAGAAAAACTCGTGTACACCCATATTCTGTCTACTGAGGCAGCTTGATCCATCCATCCATCACGTAACCTGGCGCGACAACTGAATGATGAAACCGGTACAGTAATCCAGCTTGGCGCCGCGCTGAACTTGAAATGTCAGCAGCAACCTTGGTGCTGTGGAAAATAAAATCACGGCACGTGAGGTCAAGTGGGTCCGCACGGCGAAGAAGTTGTTTCTCTTTTGACCCCAATGGATTCCAAACAAGAAACCAGTTCTAGTAGCTACGCATTGAAAGGGTGTTCAAAGTACTGCACTAGCGACGTCGAAGTATGTCGGTGAATCGTTACGGTTGGAACCGTAGATCCAAGGGTTGAAATTCACCGACATCTCTCGACGTCGAGGGATGCAGTACTTTGAACACGCTTTTAACCCCTCACATCCTTCTGCTCGTAGGTTCCGTGACTATCTTAAGTCTTATTCTTGAATCCCCCTTTTCAAAGCTGCGTAGGAGGGCTGGATGGAAGAATTCAGACAAAGGGACTATCAACGAATGCCCGAAACCATCAGGGGGCAACATAAAGGCTTTACCCCCATTTTTTCATGCCGCCCTCTTGTCACTCTACCGCCACTGGGGCATTAAATCATTTATATCCCTGCATAAGCTGGGTAGGTTCTCATGATAGCTCTCGTGTGTCGTTGCGCTTCCCGCCAAGCTGTCCACCACAAGTATTTCTTGTCCGCAAGTTGCTTTGAAGAGCTCGCGCATTAGGGCGGGTCAGGTAGGTCAGGTTTTCACGACTTTTTAACCCGATTGGAGTATGTAGGTGTGCTTTCTATGCGGAATTTGGAAAACGAGCTCATGCAAGGTGTATGGAATGATATGTTGTTCTTCGGCTCTTTGCCCCAAAATAACGGTTCTGAACGGATGGCAGAGGAACCGATTTCACCCACCCAGCGTTCTCTCATTCACCGTTCACGCCCTAAGCAAGGCTTGTATTCCTCGTTGCTGGTCTGTGGTCAGGTGTGCTGTGCCTCCTCGTTGATTCGCTCCTTCTCCCGCAACCAACCCCTACGTTCCCCGCGCTCCATGTCACGCGCCTTGGCTGCCTTCTTCCTGCAACCAAACCTGGATTTCCGCAGGTTTCACCGTTTGAAATCACTACCCACCTCTCTCAACATTGATACTTCAACGGAAAACGCCAATGACAGACAGCACGCACGCCTTCCTTCCGTTCAACTAACTCAATCCCGAGAATACAATATCTTGGTGCAGCTCAACGTTTACACCACAGTACTCAACCCTACCCTTATCCTGTCGGCCCATCAATTACGCCGCAATGTCTTCCTCTGTGTCTTGCGTCTAGTTCGTAGACATCTCGGCTTCTACGAACGCCAGCATTCTTACCCTCAAAACTCTCAGCTCTTTGGTCGGTCTTCAAATAAGAAACGTGAACAACAGTTGGTTTTTATCGTCTGAGATTTTTACGAATTGATCAAGCACGATGCGGCCAAGATCCGATTCTCCGTCACATCGCAATGCCACAACCGGCGAGTCCATTCGTAACGGGGACGGGAGGACTGTTAGCCCGTTGAAAACGGCAGCCAGCGGCTCGACACTGCTAGAGCGCCGGCAGTATCGACCCCTCGCTGTAGTCACGCACGCACGGCCATCGTCCACTCGTTCTTCTCACCATTATGACGACGACCATCAGGATCGTGACGCTTCACATCACCAGCAGCAGCAGCATCACCATGATTATTCCAGCAAGCCCCCCCGCTCGCCGCTCCACTCCCCGTTTCACTCCCCCCGCGGCGGGGTTCCGCGCAACCATCACCCGATGACTCCCCCCGCCAGCTGGTCCATTCCCAGCGGGGGGGGTGATTCGGGGGGAATTTGCGGAGGGGGGAACGGCGGAGACGTCCATGGCGGAGAAAAAATGGGCGGAGACACACTTGGCAGAGATCATAGCAGCAGCGGTATTGGCAGCAGCAGCCGGCGCAACGGGCGGGAGCATCCGAGCTCCCGCCATTCTAGGTCAGCCGCGTCAAGCCCCGTAATGGATTCCGTTTCCGCGCTAGGGAAGGAGAGCAGCGGACGGCGGGCGTCTTTCGAGGAAGGCGCGGAGTCCTACGTGGCAAAGCCCCGCCACGTGCTCTCCAAAGGTTCGCTTAGCCCACATCGCCGCGCGTCTGTCGACGCGACGGATTTCGTCAATTTCGCCGGCGAATCAGGAGGGCGAAGGCGGTGCAATCGCGTGACCGAAGACTTAGATACAAGCCAATCCGATACTCGCTCGGCTGAACTACTACCGCATCCGCCGTCCTATGAAAATCTTGTTGAAAAGGGCGCGCAGTCAGTCGACTCGCGCGAAGCGCCCGTCTCTTTCCGCGAAATTTCCGCCGCCGTCGGTGACGCCAGCACTTCCGTCACCTTCCACAGCCCTACGGAATCTTCGGCGGTATCTCCGGCGCCGTCCCCGGCGATATCCCCGGCGCGATCTCCGGCGCTATCTCCGGAGGGATCTTCGGGCACAGCATCGCCAGTAACCGGCTCTCCGGGTCGGAAGAACATGTTTAAATACTCTGCCGTAAAATTCGCGTCCGACGGCGCGAAGAGGGAGGGTGTAACCCCGTCCGAGGGTAGGGTTACCAGACGCAGCCAACAGGTAGCGGGTGATCGCGCGGAGAAATCTAATACGGACAGAAAGCCAATAGGCGGCGAAATTCCCGCGTGGCTTCCCAGCGGGGGGGTGAAGCAGGCGGAGCGGGATCTCTGGGGCCCGCCGCGCGGGGGAAGCGGAAGCAGGGGCGGAGGGGGAAGCGCGGGGGTTCCTCTCGCCTTCTCCGTCTCCCCGCGCGGCTCCCCGCGCGGCTCGCCTCTGCGGCCCGAGAAGCAGCTTGTGTCTTACGCGTCGCTAGACCCGCCTGGCTCTTTTAGGAGCCGAGGAGGTAAGGACGGTCTAGATTGGCTGGAGGAGATTAAGAAGGGAGAGGGAGGAACGGGCGGTGATGGCGGAGGTGGCGGAGGGAGCAGTAGAGGCGGTGGCGGCGGCAGGGGAGGGGAGATGCGGGCGGACGGGGGAGAGATTGGGGGGGAGAGCAGGCGGGTAGCGTTTGCCTCCTCAAGTGGCGGCGCTGGCGGTGGTGGTAGCTTCGGAAGAATAGGGGGAAGCGGAGGAGGGGAAGGCGGAGGCGGAGGCGGAGGGCTCGGGGGAGCAGGCGCTGGTCCGCGGGGCGCAAGCGCACATGGCATGGGCGGCGGCGCTGGCTTCCCTTTCCCTTCGCGCCCCCGTAGCTCCCCCCTAGGAAACAAGCTCATGTCCTACTCCTCTCTGGACCGCCCCTGTAGGCCCGAGGGGGGGACGGGCGCGGAGGGGGACTCGGGGAACGTGAGCTGGCGCCAGCTGGTGGCGCAACTGAAAGAGGGGGAGGAGCTGAAGGAGGGGAAGGAGGGGGAGGAGGGGAGTGACTGGGAGGAACGAGAATGCAGGGCCAGTAGGGCCGGTAGTAGCACCGGTGGTAGAAAAAGCTCTGCTGCTCGCGTTGCTGCTGGTGCCGGTGCTGGTGCGACTGCTGCAGGTGGAGGTGGTTCTGTCAGCAGCAGCACTGGCGGCGGCGGTGGCGGCAGTGGCGGTGGTAGTGCGGGTGGTGAGGGTGGCATGGCAATAGCAGCGGTCAGTGCTCGCCCGAAGCCCAGGCACAGGCGAGGAGCGTCGTTCCACTCCTTCTGTCCACTTGACTCTGCGAGCGGCAACGATACGGCCTTTAGCTCTCTGCAGCAGCAGGCTGCTATCGGGACAGCTCGTAACACGGATCTCTATGGCAGTGCTGCTGGTGCCAGTGGCATCAGTAGGCTATCTGGTGGTGCTGGTGGTGCTTCTGCTGCTGCTGCAGGTACTGGTTCTGGTTCTGCCTGTCCCAAACCAAGGCACAGGCGAGGATCCTCCCTCCACGCCTTCCCCCCTCTTGATACCACAAGCAGCGAAGCTATTTTCGACTCGATTCAACGGGCAGCTGAAAAAGAAGCGGATCGTTCTGGCGACCTTTACGCCCCAGCCAACACTAGGCCGGCCACTGCCGCAGACGTTTCCGGGCAGTTTGACGGGTATTGGGGCAGCGAAGACACGGACACCGGGTCGTTTAATGCGAGAGAGGAGTTACCCAAAGGAAGGCTGCAGAGGCCGTATCTTGGTTCTGCTGATATAAGCGAGTTGCTGGGGTCGAGGATTAGCCGAGTGAAGGAGAGGTCCAAGCCTAGGTCGAAGGAAAGAACAGGGGAGAGAGAGATGGGGATGAGGGAGAGGACGGGCGAGAGGCGAGGGGAGGGGAAAGGGGCAGAGAATGACGTGGTAAAGGGCGAGCAAGAGCACGAGGGGCAGCAGCAGCAGCAGCAGCACCAGCAGCAGCAGCAGCAGCAGCAGGGGAAAGAGAAGCTGAAAAGTCCGAGGGGCAGTTTGGGAATGAAGGGTATATTGCATGCTGCATCCTCCCGCCTCCGCTCCCTCCTCCCAGAGGCCACCTCTCCCACCGGCAGCAGCAGCACCACCACCATAGTCGCCGCTGCTGCCCCTCTCAGCACGGCTCCCAGCAGCAGCAGCCGCCGGGTTGGCATTTCGGGTGGAGACAGCATCAGCAGCAGCAGCAATGCCTTGGGGGGCAGTAGCACCAGCAATAGGCCAGCCTCCCAAGAGGCTCCTGCTGCTCTCGCGTCTTTCTCTCTCAAGTCTGCAGACGCTGCAGGTGGTGGGGAGAATGTCAGGAGGCCGAAAAGTGAGGCTGGTGGACGGGTGGGGGGTATCCGGGGGAGGTTTGGAAGGCGGAAGCAGAGGCATGAGGGGGAGGAGGAGGAGGGGGAGGAGGAGGAAGGGGTGGATAGCCGAGGGGGGAGTCCCTTCGGGAGTGGAGCAAGGGAAGGTAGGGCTGGGGGAGGTGGTATTGGTGGTGGCGCGGGGGGTGGGGTTGGGGATGGCAAGAGTTGGCATCATATGCGCCGCCGCCAGCGCAGCGCTGACGAGATTCCGCGAGTGCCCACGTCACTGCTGGTTACCCCCCCTGTTTCGCCCCCGAACCAGTCAGTGCATGCAGAAGGATCGGTGGCAGGAGGACGAGGAGGAGGAGGAGGAGGAGGAGCAGCAGCAGCAGCAGCAGCGGCAGCTGCAGCAGCAGTTTCAGCAGCTGCGCTTCACGAGCGGCTTGCTCACAGAGACAGGGCACGCAGGGAGGCTGCTGCAGGGGGTGGAGCACGGAGGTCAGTAATTATTTCGGGGGTAGTTGCCCCAAGAGGAGATACAGTGGGCTCCACAGGGCTGCAGGGCAAGGGCGGTGCTGCTCCTGGGCGGGTCATTTTGTCTGATTATGATGTCGAATCGATTCCTCACGGAAAGCTAGCTGAGTTGCTGAATCATAAGCAGGATGCGGAAGAGAGGGGGATCAAAGGGGTAGGTGTGGTGGGAGCGAGTAAGGGAAGGCGAGGAGAGGAACACGCTGGGGAGTATGAAGGGAAAGGGAAGGGCAAGGAACAGGGCAAGGAACAAGGCAAGGTTTTGGAGGGAGAAATAGGGAGCAGCAGCAGCGGCAGCGGCAGCGGCAGAGGTGATAGTGGTCGCGGTGATGGCAGGAAGGTTGTTCCTGGCTGCACCAGCATCGACAGCAGCAGCTTCAACATTAGCACCGGCGGCAGCGGCGGCAGCAGCAGCGGCAGGATGCCAAACCAGCGGCAGCTGCAGCAGCAGCTGCTGCACTCCTCCCTGGCTCTCCAAACGCAGCTGATGACGCAGCAGCAGAAGAAGAAGGGCCCTCTAGGATCAGTTCTCATGCTGGAAAAGGTCTCCACGCACTCGGAATTGGACAAGAAAAAGAAGGCAGCGGGGGCAGGAAAGAAGCAGCAGGCTGACAGCATTCTGGCGCAGCTGGCTAGTCAGGGCAGCAGCGGAGGAGGGGTGGGGTCTGGGCGAAGAGAAAGAGGAGGCGGAGGAGTAGGAGGAGGAGGAGGTGGAGGAGGTGGAGCGGAAAGGAGGCTTGATGCTGCTGGCGGCTCTGGTGCTGCTGCTGCTGCTGCTGCTGCTTCCGCTGCTGCTGGCGCTGCCAGTGGTGCTGGGGGTGCTGCTGCTTCTGCTGCTCCTGGTGTTGCCAGTGCTACAAAGGGTGCGCTCGGTGCTGCTACCAGCAGCAGCAGCGGGTTACCGGTGATGAGGCAGTATGGCAGCATCCGCCCGTCGGACTACATCTTAAAGAAGCCGTACAAGGACCTGGCGGCGCGGTACGTGCTGCACAAGGAGGAGCTGGGCAGCGGCGAGTACGGCGTGATAAGGAAGTGCTTGGAGATCTCGTCAGGGCATGTGCTTGCGTGCAAGACCATCAAGAAGGCCCGCATCAAGGTGGGTGGGTGAAGGGACGGTCAGGATTGAGGTATGGTGGTAGTAGCATGGACGGGCAGGATCGAGGTATTGTGGTGGTACTCTGCCTAGAGATCTCGTCGGGGCATGTTTGGAAATTTCGACCGGGCATGTGGTCGCCTGCAAGACCATCAAGAAGGTCCGTATCATTGTGGGTGGTTGATCGGACGGTCAAGATTGAGGTATAGTCATAGAATGGACGGCTATGATCAAGGTATTCGGTGCCTGGAGATCTTCTTGGGGCATTTGCTAGCCTGCAAGACAATCAATAAGGCCCACATCAAGGTGGGTGGGTGGGCAGGATTGAGGAATACAGCTTGAGAGGGAAGAGAAAGGAAGGAAGAGGGCCGAATGGGCAATATACAAGGCATATTTTTTTCATCCGCCTGTATGCTGATTGGTTGTAGATTTACTCTCAAGAGGCAGCAGAAGACGTCAGAATGGGGGTCTCGAACATGCACAACCCAACTGTCCCCTTCCCCCAACCACGAGGGACCACACCACACTGCACCGCGCTCCATCCATCCCCACTCCCCCCCACCCCCCTATTGCTCAACCCCCACATCAGAATCAAGAAGCAGCAGACAACACCAGAATGGAGGTTGCTAGCATGCACACCCACCCCCTTCTTCCCCTGCCACCTCAACTCACCGTCCTGCACCACACTCCATCCATCCCCACTCCCCCCCAACCCCCAACCTCAGTCCCAAGAGGCAGCTGACGACATTAGAATGGAGGTTGCGAGCATGCTTGTACTGAAGGGGCACCCCTATATAGTCACACTGCACGATGCAGTCGAAGATGCCAAGGTATGCAGCTGTGCTTTGAGAAGACTTTTGAGGCGCATCAAGAGGTTGCGAGCATGCTAGTACTGTGCTGAAGGGGCATCCGTATATTGTCACACTGCATGATGCAGTGGAAGATGAAAAGGTACGGCGCTGAGCTGTGTGTGTGCTGTGAGACGATGCAAAGGTCAACTTCTATGGTCGCCCGCATGCTTGTACTGAAGGGGCATCCGTATATAGTCACACTGCACGATGCACTCGTAGATGAAAGGTATGCTGTTTTGCTGTAAAGATGACTTTGAGTTGACTTGAGACCATGCTTGTACTGAAGGAGCATTCCGATATAGTCACACTCCACGATGCAGTCGAAGATGCAAAGTTATGCTGCTGTGTGGTGAGATGCAAAGGGTGCTGCCTTTATGGTTGCAAGCATGCTTGTACTGAAGGGGCATCCGTATATAGTCACACTGCACGATGCAGTCGAAGATGTAAAGGTATGCTGCTGTGCTGTGGGACGATGCATAGGTGCAGCTGTTATGGTGGCAATTTCACTACTCCGTGTTTTCACAGTTGCATATCAAACAATTGCATGTTTCACTATTTCATTTGATCAGTGCCATTTGTCGCCATTCTCAGTGTGCACGCTACTTGCATGCATCCCTTAACCTGAGTTCTGACCCGCTCCCATGTCTAGTTTTGTTTTGAGGCGCCTCAAAACTGGCACACTCCCCTGTACCCACTTCTCAGCTCCCTTCTCAAAGCCCTTTTTAACCCCCTCCCCCCTTCACTGATGAGGTACATTCACCTGATGAAGCTGGGGCGACGATCGGATCACCAAGGACGGAGTGTACTTGGAGCCTCAAACCCCACCTCTCGCCCCTTCCCTCCTTCTCCAACCCCCGCCCTTCCCTTCCCCTCAGTACGTGCATTTAGTGATGGAGTTCTGTCGCGGCGGCGATCTCTTTGACAGAATCACCAAGGGCGGAGTGTACTCGGAGCCTCTGGGCGCCCACCTGTGCCGCGCCATCACAGAGGCGCTGCTGCACTGCCACCGCCACGGGGTGATTCACCGGGACATCAAGCCCGAGAACATTCTGCTGCTGGAGCCCGGGAGTGACACGCGCATCAAGCTTGTTGACTTCGGTGTTGCAACCTTCTTCCAGGAAGGTACGTTGGTGCATGATTCTTGAAAATGCACTGCCACCGCCACGGGGTGATTCACCGAGACATCAAGCCGGAGAACATGTTACTACATGTTACTACATGTTACTACATGTTACTACATGTTACTTGTCGAGCCCGAGAGCAACACGCGCATCAAGCTTCCCATCTCCCACACTCCCCACACCTACTCTCCCTCACCATTCGCCGTGTCTCCCCATATCCCCCACACTTCCACCACAGCAGGCGTTCTCCTTCACGACTCCATAGGCACGCCCCCGAGTACGGGGCACCGGAGGTGTGGGAAGGGGGGAGTTTTTTCCCCCCTGCTCACACACTTACCCATATCCTCCCATATCTCCCACACACTCCCAATACACCAGGCGTTTTGCTCCACGACACGATCGGCACGCCTGAGTACATGGCACCGGAGGTGTGGGATGGGGCATATGGCCCTGCAGTGGACGTGTGGAGCACGGGAGTCGTCATGTACATTGCCATGTCCGGAGTGCCGCCCTTCTGGGCGGCATCCAAGCAGTCTGTGCAGGAGGCAGTTGCCACCCGCGAGGCGAGCTTCCGGTCGGCAAAATGGGCGCATGTTTCGGATGAGTGCAAGCATCTGATTGGCCGGATGCTTGCGAAGAAGCCTCAGGAGCGAATCACGTGCCTTCAGATTCTTGGTAAGTGCAGTTACCTGGTGGTGAAATTGTTAGTTCCTGGCGATTGAGAGATGTATAGCGTGTTCAAATACAGCGTTCCTCGTTACTTTCCTCATCTCGTTTAGCTTACCGTAACATTCTCCACTGCTGCTTGCTTGCTTGTTTGCAGGGCATCCATGGATACGCATGCATTCGTCCCGCTAACCACCTAACCATTACTAGTTCGCTGACAGTACCCATCAAAACCGTATATAATTCTTCCAGAATTATTTATTGTTGTGTTCTAGGTTGTCTTGAAACCGCAGGTTAGGCGGTCATATTTTTTCCTTTTTGACATAATTTATGTTGTGATTTATATAAACAGACCATGGCATCTAACTGATTCTTAGAGGGCTTTTATTATTATCATGCTGCACTTACCGTGCGCTTCCTAATTACATCAGGTTATCCTTTCCTTCATGCGTTACACTGGCGGGAGATTTCTGAGCTGACTTTGCCGCGTTCCAATGGGACACTGGACAGAAGCTTTCGCGTTGGCCAGCGTAGGTACGTCTAGACCTTTTCACCGCTCTGCATCCTTTTGCAACCTCGCCGATGATGGATGCTTGGGTGGGTGGGTGTGCTGGCGGCGAGATGGGTTGATGGGATGGGCATGGATCACTGGATGTGCTTCCAGCGCAGTTCCTGGGTTCCAGTTCTCTCCCAAGTTTTTGTTGCCTTCAACGTGCATCTGTTTACCTTTCAGAAGACAACTTTGATTCGGTGACAGCACGTGCGATGGCGTTCACAGCTCTTGTTCGTTGTTGAGTGCGAGATTACGTGAAAGCTTTAGTTCTACAAACGACAAAGAACGGATGGATGTGTCGTCCTTTAGGTGTTCCATCCCCATGTGTTGATCGAGGATTCGCTCCGTCACAGAGGACTGAGAACACGGCGTTATCGACACGTTCGGCACAATTTTGGTTTGGATATGTCGACGCCGTGGAGACTGCCTTATACTCCAATTACCACGTCATCACTGTTCCACTCGCCTCCCGATTTGATTGACGATAAGCTGTACTTGGGAAACCTGAATTCAGCCTCTGACAAGTAAGCTGTAAGAAAGAACTACTTTGTGGTTCTGCTGGTTCTCCCTCGTTTTCGAAGTCCTGGTGTTCCCGCCTTGTTCTTGCTTGTGATCTGAAGCTGCCTGGCGCCATCCGTGCAGGGAATTATTGGATGGCCTTGGCATTAAGAGCATTCTGACAATAGCGTCCAACGTAGGCCCTCCTAAGTTCCCTGGCGCATTCAAGTACACTGAGGTGTCAATCATAGATTCGTCTCATGTGAACATAGTTGCACACTTCGAGCTGTGCTTCAAAGCCATTGACGAGGGGATCAAATCAGGCGGCATCCTTGTTCATTGTGTAGCAGGTACGGTACCCACTGTTAGTCTTATCATTTCCTGTCCTCTGTCCTGCGCCTGTTCCTTTTATCCGATTTTTCTGTCTATTTACCTTATTTCCCTCTATTTTTCCATTACAAAAATCTGCTTCACAGGTATGTCCAGAAGTGCAACAGTGGTTATAGCATACTTGATGGCGAGGAAAGGGCTCAGCTTTCAAGAAGCCTTTGCCCACGTTAAGAGGTGCCGACCAATAGCACAACCTAATTATGGCTTCATGAGGCAACTTGAAAAGTTTGAAGCCTATCTCCGTTCAGAGAGGGACAGGGCTGTATCCGTCAAGGCTTGACACAGAATTTTTTTCTTGATACCTCTCACCCATATCTCCCATCCTGCCATGCATGCACTAACCCGCCTTTACTAATCTTAAAGCTCTAGGCCCAAATTGCACAAGATTACTAATCTTGCGTGGTGAGGGGTGGGTTTGGGAACGTGGGGGTCGAGGGGAGTGTTGGGAAGGTGACCTGTCGGATTTCGCCCGTAACACTTGTTTTTTTCGCTGAGTCAGCGAGCTTCCGGGGGAAACGTAAGTTTGGGGACCTCGAGTCCCAAATTGCGGAGTAGTAAAACTCGATGTTTTGGCAGTGAGTTTTGGTTCGACCAATCAAATTGCATCGCACCTACTGTAACCAAATTTTCGCCACACACCAGCACAGAAAACGAGAAGTGTGCAAGATTACTAATCTTGCCCTGCGCGGCCCGCAATTTGGGCCTTGAGCTTTAAAGACGTGCACTAGGTAAAGCTGTCAGCCAAGATATGGGTACTCTGCAGCTTAGTGTATGCCACTTTATAGGGCTGTCATAACAGTGGAATATTCAAGGCTCAGTTTTGTTGCAAGGGAGGTTATATCACTGGCACCTGCTCGGCTACCAGTTTTTGCTGAATGACATGGAATGTTTCACATAATTGTTTTCACTATAGTTGCCTAGGCTTTTTGCTGAGAACGAGCATTTACAAGGTAGATTGCAACCAGTGTGACTCCAGCACCAAAGAACTGAAGAGGGGACAGTGTTTCGCCTAGGAATATGAACCTGCAAGAAAAGTGACAGGCAACATTAAGCGATGCGCAGCCCATGCAATCGACACAGGGAATACGTAAAAAGAGACCAGGCATTGAGCATGAAGTGACACTAGCTTGGAAGAGAAAGTCGGGAGAGCAGCTGTAGTGATTTACCAACCCTGATGGCACATACCCGAAGAATGCAGCAAATGCAGGAGTGAGGAAAGTCAATGAGCTCAGCCTTGTAAGGTTTCCTGCAGTGGAACGAATAAAATACAGATGCAACAGACAGGGAAGTGAAAATCACGATGACAGCCGACTAGACTATGAAAGATGTATAACGGGAGGATAAACGTCAACCCTGATGTGGCGGTACAGGGCTGAAACAAATCAAGCTGGGTACACATGAGTCGCACTCTCACCTTTGTTTGCATTGTAAAAGAACACTCCATAGCTAATTGCACTTCCGAAGACTGAAGTGTACATTAAGGAGGACCAATCGAGCAGGGAAAGGTCAGCAAGACCACCAGAGACTGCTGGATCATGCTGCTGAAAGGAGAGGTAGAGGAGAGGAATGCCTCCCAGCACCATGTGCTGTTATCAGGGCATGTGCGATGGGGAGACAGGGGTTCAAAGAGAAACAGAAAAGAGAACAGGCAAAAGAAGGACCGAACTTAGAGAATCAACTTGTGACATCTGGAATAAGGGCAAGAGCTGAGGAAGACCCCACTACGTGTCAGGTTGGTCATGCCTGCAGCTATTGGCTAAGAGCCAGGGCATCCTTGCCCCTCAACCTTACCACTCCATTCTCCAGTACACACGATTCTCACCATGATCCCAACCACATCCCCCCAATCCCCCGATTCGGTCAGCTCACAACCCGATCCCATACCACCCATTCAGACACATTCGCACCCATCCAGTGGCCATGATGGGATCACAGTGCCTGCAGACCCATCGCACCATCACTGTGCCCACTGCCCATCCCACACGCTTCAATTCGCGCTAATCACGTATTTCTGATTTATTCACACAATCAGTGAAAACATACCCATCCGGAGGCCATGATGGGATCGCAGTGCCTGCAGACCCAGCGCACCACACCATTACTGTGCCCACTGCCCATCCCACACGCTTCAATTCGCACTAATGTCGTCTTCTGATTTATCTACACAAACAGTGAAAACATACCCATCCGGTGGCCATGATGGGATCACAGTGCCTGCAGACCCAGCGCACCATGACTGTTCCGACAGCTGTTCAAAGGGGAGAGGCATAGAAGAGGTGTGGAAGTGATTAGGGGTGAGAAGTGAGAGCAGTAGGAGTGAGACGAGTGAGAAGATTGGGAGGATTGGGAATAGCGAGACAGGGGTGAGGGCGAGAGGAGTGAGAAGAATGAGTGGAGTAAGGGGAGTGAAAAAATGACAGTAACGAGAGGAGCGACAGGATTGAGAGGCAAGCAGAATCCAGCCCCTCCGTACCCATGCTTTGAGCAGCAAGCAGCATCCACCACTCCCCACTTTCCCACAGCTGCCACTCTCCCACACCCACTGCAGCCGCTGCTGATGATGTCAGTGCAATGGCTGTTGATGCTACTGATGTAGCATCAGCTGCTGCTGCTGCTGCTGCTGCTGCTGCTGCTGCTGCTGCTATAGTGACAGTGGAATCAGTGAGGGAAGGGGCGATGTCTGGTAGAGAGAGAGTGCTGTCTAGTGGCAACGTGGCAAGCACTGATTGGCTGGACGCAGTGAGAGAGGAAGTGAAGGAGAGAAGCGCATCCAGAGGGACCTGACAGGTGGTGAGGGGTGGTGAGGGTTGGTGAGGGCAGAAATAGAGCAGATGGTAGACAAAAGAGGAAGATAACAGTAGGAAACACAACGACCTTGCTGTCCTTCCCCTTCTCTACTCACTGCCCTCCTCACCTCAGGCTGTTGCCTAGCTAGGCTGCAACCTAGCAAGGCTGCAATCTAGCACAAGCATCAACGCCTACCACAAGCAGCAAAGTTTCTGGGCTGGAAATGCTATTGATGATTACAGAGCTGGAACTGCACCTCGCTCTGCACAACGCTCACAACAATGAAGTACGTATAGTCTTCAGTTTTTATCTCACCTCAAGCAGCAGCAAGCCTACAACCCCCAGCACAAGCCCCAGCGCCCCTGTTTTGGAAATGGTCTCTCCAAACAGAAGGGCCGCGAGCACAGCCACTGTGAGTGGCTGAGAGTCAATTATAACCTGACAAGGAGGAAAGAGGGATTGGGAGGCAGCAGCAAATTGGGAGATAGAAGATTAGCAAGAACGGCTGAGAGTTAGCAAGAACGGCTGAGAGTTAGCAAGAACGGCTGAGAGTTAGCAAGAACGGCTGAGAGTTAGCAAGAACGGCTGAGAGTTAGCAAGAACGGCTGAGAGTTAGCAAGAACGGCTGAGAGTTAGCAAGAACGGCTGAGAGTTAGCAAGAACGGCTGAGAGTTAGCAAGAACGGCTGAGAGTTAGCAAGAACGGCTGAGAGTTAGCAAGAACGGCTGAGAGTTAGCAAGAACGGCTGAGAGTTAGCAAGAACAGCTGAGAGGTATTGATGACCTGACTGGGGGAAAGGGCAGGGAGGGAAAAAGTGAGGTGTAGGTGTAAATTTTGAGCCGACTCAAAATTCTTGCTGAAAGAAAGACCGCAATAACAGCCACTGGGTGGGAGGGAGGGACAGGAAGAATGCTTACTGATCCAAGGCCGGCTGATGTTCTGCGCAAGCCCTCTGTGAGACAGCCCTGCACAGTGCACAGCCAGGGAAGGGAAGGGAGGAGGAATGAACAGCATGGTAACAAAACGGCGGACTTGCATGTGATGTGATGTAATCCATCAGGATAGCCAGCAGAGGCCGCTAGGAGCCATGTATTAATTAAAAAACTATTTCTTTTGCCCTCATACCTTGACGGCTGTGGCGTCTACGAGTGCAAAGAGGGGGATGGGAAACCACGCAAGGGCGGAACTGGGCATGGCCTACGGCCCTACTGGGATGGGGCCCACTGGCAACAAAGGCAACGAGAGCTACTTCCATTCTGATAAAAGAGATGTTTTGAGACGTCTCAAGGCAACGAGAGCTACTTCCATTCTGATAAAAGAGATGTTTTGAGACGTCTCAAGGCAACGAGAGCTACTTCCATTCTGATAAAAGAGATGTTTTGAGACGTCTCAAGGCAACGAGAGCTACTTCCATTCTGATAAAAGAGATGTTTTGAGACGTCTCAAGGCAACGAGAGCTACTTCCATTCTGATAAAAGAGATGTTTTGAGACGTCTCAAGGCAACGAGAGCTACTTCCATTCTGATAAAAGAGATGTTTTGAGACGTCTCAAGGCAACGAGAGCTACTTCCATTCTGATAAAAGAGATGTTTTGAGACGTCTCAAGGCAACGAGAGCTACTTCCATTCTGATAAAAGAGTTGATTTGAGACGTCTCAAGGCAACGAGAGCTACTTCCATTCTGATAAAAGAGATGTTTTGAGACGTCTCAAGGCAACGAGAGCTACTTCCATTCTGATAAAAGAGATGTTTTGAGACGTCTCAAGGCAACGAGAGCTACTTCCATTCTGATAAAAGAGATGTTTTGAGACGTCTCAAGGCAACGAGAGCTACTTCCATTCTGATAAAAGAGATGTTTTGAGACGTCTCAAGGCAACGAGAGCTACTTCCATTCTGATAAAAGAGATGTTTTGAGACGTCTCAAGGCAACGAGAGCTACTTCCATTCTGATAAAAGAGATGTTTTGAGACGTCTCAAGGCAACGAGAGCTACTTCCATTCTGATAAAAGAGATGTTTTGAGACGTCTCAAGGCAACGAGAGCTACTTCCATTCTGATAAAAGAGATGTTTTGAGACGTCTCAAGGCAACGAGAGCTACTTCCATTCTGATAAAAGAGATGTTTTGAGACGTCTCAAGGCAACGAGAGCTACTTCCATTCTGATAAAAGAGATGTTTTGAGACGTCTCAAGGCAACGAGAGCTACTTCCATTCTGATAAAAGAGATGTTTTGAGACGTCTCAAGGCAACGAGAGCTACTTCCATTCTGATAAAAGAGATGTTTTGAGACGTCTCAAGGCAACGAGAGCTACTTCCATTCTGATAAAAGAGATGTTTTGAGACGTCTCAAGGCAACGAGAGCTACTTCCATTCTGATAAAAGAGTTGATTTGAGACGTCTCAAGGCAACGAGAGCTACTTCCATTCTGATAAAAGAGTTGATTTGAGACGTCTCAAGGCAACGAGAGCTACTTCCATTCTGATAAAAGAGTTGATTTGAGACGTCTCAAGGCAACGAGAGCTACTTCCATTCTGATAAAAGAGTTGATTTGAGACGTCTCAAGGCAACGAGAGCTACTTCCATTCTGATAAAAGAGTTGATTTGAGACGTCTCAAGGCAACGAGAGCTACTTCCATTCTGATAAAAGAGTTGATTTGAGACGTCTCAAGGCAACGAGAGCTACTTCCATTCTGATAAAAGAGATGTTTTGAGACGTCTCAAGGCAACGAGAGCTACTTCCATTCTGATAAAAGAGATGTTTTGAGACGTCTCAAGGCAACGAGAGCTACTTCCATTCTGATAAAAGAGATGTTTTGAGACGTCTCAAGGCAACGAGAGCTACTTCCATTCTGATAAAAGAGATGTTTTGAGACGTCTCAAGGCAACGAGAGCTACTTCCATTCTGATAAAAGAGATGTTTTGAGACGTCTCAAGGCAACGAGAGCTACTTCCATTCTGATAAAAGAGTTGATTTGAGACGTCTCAAGGCAACGAGAGCTACTTCCATTCTGATAAAAGAGATGTTTTGAGACGTCTCAAGGCAACGAGAGCTACTTCCATTCTGATAAAAGAGATGACGTCTCAAGGCAACGAGAGCTACTTCCATTCTGATAAAAGAGATGTTTTGAGACGTCTCAAGGCAACGAGAGCTACTTCCATTCTGATAAAAGAGATGTTTTGAGACGTCTCAAGGCAACGAGAGCTACTTCCATTCTGATAAAAGAGTTGATTTGAGACGTCTCAAGGCAACGAGAGCTACTTCCATTCTGATAAAAGAGATGTTTTGAGACGTCTCAAGGCAACGAGAGCTACTTCCATTCTGATAAAAGAGATGACGTCTCAAGGCAACGAGAGCTACTTCCATTCTGATAAAAGAGATGTTTTGAGACGTCTCAAGGCAACGAGAGCTACTTCCATTCTGATAAAAGAGATGTTTTGAGACGTCTCAAGGCAACGAGAGCTACTTCCATTCTGATAAAAGAGATGTTTTGAGACGTCTCAAGGCAACGAGAGCTACTTCCATTCTGATAAAAGAGATGTTTTGAGACGTCTCAAGGCAACGAGAGCTACTTCCATTCTGATAAAAGAGTTGATTTGAGACGTCTCAAGGCAACGAGAGCTACTTCCATTCTGATAAAAGAGTTGATTTGAGACGTCTCAAGGCAACGAGAGCTACTTCCATTCTGATAAAAGAGTTGATTTGAGACGTCTCAAGGCAACGAGAGCTACTTCCATTCTGATAAAAGAGATGTTTTGAGACGTCTCAAGGCAACGAGAGCTACTTCCATTCTGATAAAAGAGATGTTTTGAGACGTCTCAAGGCAACGAGAGCTACTTCCATTCTGATAAAAGAGATGTTTTGAGACGTCTCAAGGCAACGAGAGCTACTTCCATTCTGATAAAAAGTTGATTTGAGACGTCTCAAGGCAACGAGAGCTACTTCCATTCTGATAAAAGAGTTGATTTGAGACGTCTCAAGGCAACGAGAGCTACTTCCATTCTGATAAAAGAGATGTTTTGAGACGTCTCAAGGCAACGAGAGCTACTTCCATTCTGATAAAAGAGATGTTTTGAGACGTCTCAAGGCAACGAGAGCTACTTCCATTCTGATAAAAGAGATGTTTTGAGACGTCTCAAGGCAACGAGAGCTACTTCCATTCTGATAAAAGAGATGTTTTGAGACGTCTCAAGGCAACGAGAGCTACTTCCATTCTGATAAAAGAGATGTTTTGAGACGTCTCAAGGCAACGAGAGCTACTTCCATTCTGATAAAAGAGATGTTTTGAGACGTCTCAAGGCAACGAGAGCTACTTCCATTCTGATAAAAGAGATGTTTTGAGACGTCTCAAGGCAACGAGAGCTACTTCCATTCTGATAAAAGAGATGTTTTGAGACGTCTCAAGGCAACGAGAGCTACTTCCATTCTGATAAAAGAGATGTTTTGAGACGTCTCAAGGCAACGAGAGCTACTTCCATTCTGATAAAAGAGATGTTTTGAGACGTCTCAAGGCAACGAGAGCTACTTCCATTCTGATAAAAGAGATGTTTTGAGACGTCTCAAGGCAACGAGAGCTACTTCCATTCTGATAAAAGAGATGTTTTGAGACGTCTCAAGGCAACGAGAGCTACTTCCATTCTGATAAAAGAGATGTTTTGAGACGTCTCAAGGCAACGAGAGCTACTTCCATTCTGATAAAAGAGATGTTTTGAGACGTCTCAAGGCAACGAGAGCTACTTCCATTCTGATAAAAGAGTTGATTTGAGACGTCTCAAGGCAACGAGAGCTACTTCCATTCTGATAAAAGAGATGTTTTGAGACGTCTCAAGGCAACGAGAGCTACTTCCATTCTGATAAAAGAGATGACGTCTCAAGGCAACGAGAGCTACTTCCATTCTGATAAAAGAGATGTTTTGAGACGTCTCAAGGCAACGAGAGCTACTTCCATTCTGATAAAAGAGATGTTTTGAGACGTCTCAAGGCAACGAGAGCTACTTCCATTCTGATAAAAGAGATGTTTTGAGACGTCTCAAGGCAACGAGAGCTACTTCCATTCTGATAAAAGAGATGTTTTGAGACGTCTCAAGGCAACGAGAGCTACTTCCATTCTGATAAAAGAGTTGATTTGAGACGTCTCAAGGCAACGAGAGCTACTTCCATTCTGATAAAAGAGTTGATTTGAGACGTCTCAAGGCAACGAGAGCTACTTCCATTCTGATAAAAGAGTTGATTTGAGACGTCTCAAGGCAACGAGAGCTACTTCCATTCTGATAAAAGAGTTGATTTGAGACGTCTCAAGGCAACGAGAGCTACTTCCATTCTGATAAAAGAGTTGATTTGAGACGTCTCAAGGCAACGAGAGCTACTTCCATTCTGATAAAAGAGTTGATTTGAGACGTCTCAAGGCAACGAGAGCTACTTCCATTCTGATAAAAGAGATGTTTTGAGACGTCTCAAGGCAACGAGAGCTACTTCCATTCTGATAAAAGAGATGTTTTGAGACGTCTCAAGGCAACGAGAGCTACTTCCATTCTGATAAAAGAGATGTTTTGAGACGTCTCAAGGCAACGAGAGCTACTTCCATTCTGATAAAAGAGATGTTTTGAGACGTCTCAAGGCAACGAGAGCTACTTCCATTCTGATAAAAGAGATGTTTTGAGACGTCTCAAGGCAACGAGAGCTACTTCCATTCTGATAAAAGAGTTGATTTGAGACGTCTCAAGGCAACGAGAGCTACTTCCATTCTGATAAAAGAGATGTTTTGAGACGTCTCAAGGCAACGAGAGCTACTTCCATTCTGATAAAAGAGATGACGTCTCAAGGCAACGAGAGCTACTTCCATTCTGATAAAAGAGATGTTTTGAGACGTCTCAAGGCAACGAGAGCTACTTCCATTCTGATAAAAGAGATGTTTTGAGACGTCTCAAGGCAACGAGAGCTACTTCCATTCTGATAAAAGAGTTGATTTGAGACGTCTCAAGGCAACGAGAGCTACTTCCATTCTGATAAAAGAGATGTTTTGAGACGTCTCAAGGCAACGAGAGCTACTTCCATTCTGATAAAAGAGATGACGTCTCAAGGCAACGAGAGCTACTTCCATTCTGATAAAAGAGATGTTTTGAGACGTCTCAAGGCAACGAGAGCTACTTCCATTCTGATAAAAGAGATGACGTCTCAAGGCAACGAGAGCTACTTCCATTCTGATAAAAGAGATGTTTTGAGACGTCTCAAGGCAACGAGAGCTACTTCCATTCTGATAAAAGAGATGTTTTGAGACGTCTCAAGGCAACGAGAGCTACTTCCATTCTGATAAAAGAGTTGATTTGAGACGTCTCAAGGCAACGAGAGCTACTTCCATTCTGATAAAAGAGATGTTTTGAGACGTCTCAAGGCAACGAGAGCTACTTCCATTCTGATAAAAGAGATGACGTCTCAAGGCAACGAGAGCTACTTCCATTCTGATAAAAGAGATGTTTTGAGACGTCTCAAGGCAACGAGAGCTACTTCCATTCTGATAAAAGAGATGTTTTGAGACGTCTCAAGGCAACGAGAGCTACTTCCATTCTGATAAAAGAGATGTTTTGAGACGTCTCAAGGCAACGAGAGCTACTTCCATTCTGATAAAAGAGATGTTTTGAGACGTCTCAAGGCAACGAGAGCTACTTCCATTCTGATAAAAGAGTTGATTTGAGACGTCTCAAGGCAACGAGAGCTACTTCCATTCTGATAAAAGAGTTGATTTGAGACGTCTCAAGGCAACGAGAGCTACTTCCATTCTGATAAAAGAGTTGATTTGAGACGTCTCAAGGCAACGAGAGCTACTTCCATTCTGATAAAAGAGATGTTTTGAGACGTCTCAAGGCAACGAGAGCTACTTCCATTCTGATAAAAGAGATGTTTTGAGACGTCTCAAGGCAACGAGAGCTACTTCCATTCTGATAAAAGAGATGTTTTGAGACGTCTCAAGGCAACGAGAGCTACTTCCATTCTGATAAAAAGTTGATTTGAGACGTCTCAAGGCAACGAGAGCTACTTCCATTCTGATAAAAGAGTTGATTTGAGACGTCTCAAGGCAACGAGAGCTACTTCCATTCTGATAAAAGAGATGTTTTGAGACGTCTCAAGGCAACGAGAGCTACTTCCATTCTGATAAAAGAGATGTTTTGAGACGTCTCAAGGCAACGAGAGCTACTTCCATTCTGATAAAAGAGATGTTTTGAGACGTCTCAAGGCAACGAGAGCTACTTCCATTCTGATAAAAGAGATGTTTTGAGACGTCTCAAGGCAACGAGAGCTACTTCCATTCTGATAAAAGAGATGTTTTGAGACGTCTCAAGGCAACGAGAGCTACTTCCATTCTGATAAAAGAGATGTTTTGAGACGTCTCAAGGCAACGAGAGCTACTTCCATTCTGATAAAAGAGATGTTTTGAGACGTCTCAAGGCAACGAGAGCTACTTCCATTCTGATAAAAGAGATGTTTTGAGACGTCTCAAGGCAACGAGAGCTACTTCCATTCTGATAAAAGAGATGTTTTGAGACGTCTCAAGGCAACGAGAGCTACTTCCATTCTGATAAAAGAGATGTTTTGAGACGTCTCAAGGCAACGAGAGCTACTTCCATTCTGATAAAAGAGATGTTTTGAGACGTCTCAAGGCAACGAGAGCTACTTCCATTCTGATAAAAGAGATGTTTTGAGACGTCTCAAGGCAACGAGAGCTACTTCCATTCTGATAAAAGAGATGTTTTGAGACGTCTCAAGGCAACGAGAGCTACTTCCATTCTGATAAAAGAGATGTTTTGAGACGTCTCAAGGCAACGAGAGCTACTTCCATTCTGATAAAAGAGTTGATTTGAGACGTCTCAAGGCAACGAGAGCTACTTCCATTCTGATAAAAGAGATGTTTTGAGACGTCTCAAGGCAACGAGAGCTACTTCCATTCTGATAAAAGAGATGACGTCTCAAGGCAACGAGAGCTACTTCCATTCTGATAAAAGAGATGTTTTGAGACGTCTCAAGGCAACGAGAGCTACTTCCATTCTGATAAAAGAGATGTTTTGAGACGTCTCAAGGCAACGAGAGCTACTTCCATTCTGATAAAAGAGATGTTTTGAGACGTCTCAAGGCAACGAGAGCTACTTCCATTCTGATAAAAGAGATGTTTTGAGACGTCTCAAGGCAACGAGAGCTACTTCCATTCTGATAAAAGAGTTGATTTGAGACGTCTCAAGGCAACGAGAGCTACTTCCATTCTGATAAAAGAGTTGATTTGAGACGTCTCAAGGCAACGAGAGCTACTTCCATTCTGATAAAAGAGTTGATTTGAGACGTCTCAAGGCAACGAGAGCTACTTCCATTCTGATAAAAGAGTTGATTTGAGACGTCTCAAGGCAACGAGAGCTACTTCCATTCTGATAAAAGAGTTGATTTGAGACGTCTCAAGGCAACGAGAGCTACTTCCATTCTGATAAAAGAGTTGATTTGAGACGTCTCAAGGCAACGAGAGCTACTTCCATTCTGATAAAAGAGATGTTTTGAGACGTCTCAAGGCAACGAGAGCTACTTCCATTCTGATAAAAGAGATGTTTTGAGACGTCTCAAGGCAACGAGAGCTACTTCCATTCTGATAAAAGAGATGTTTTGAGACGTCTCAAGGCAACGAGAGCTACTTCCATTCTGATAAAAGAGATGTTTTGAGACGTCTCAAGGCAACGAGAGCTACTTCCATTCTGATAAAAGAGATGTTTTGAGACGTCTCAAGGCAACGAGAGCTACTTCCATTCTGATAAAAAGTTGATTTGAGACGTCTCAAGGCAACGAGAGCTACTTCCATTCTGATAAAAGAGTTGATTTGAGACGTCTCAAGGCAACGAGAGCTACTTCCATTCTGATAAAAGAGTTGATTTGAGACGTCTCAAGGCAACGAGAGCTACTTCCATTCTGATAAAAGAGTTGATTTGAGACGTCTCAAGGCAACGAGAGCTACTTCCATTCTGATAAAAGAGTTGATTTGAGACGTCTCAAGGCAACGAGAGCTACTTCCGATCTGATAAAAGAGTTGATTTGAGACGTCTCAAGGCAACGAGAGCTACTTCCATTCTGATAAAAGAGTTGATTTGAGACGTCTCAAGGCAACGAGAGCTACTTCCGTTCTCCCTCCCACCTGAAAGGCCGTGGCATCCACGAGGGCGAAGAGGAGGATGGAGAACCACGCAACGGCGGACTTGGGCATGGGGCGGCCTCGGCTGGCACTGGCAGCAAAGGCGACGAGGAGCACAGCGCAAACTACAGACTGCGAAGCCTTTCATTTGCCCTCGTACCTGGAAGGCTGTGGCGTCCACGAGGGCAAAGAGGAGAATGGAGAACCACGCAAGGGCGGACTTGGGCATGGGACGGCCGCGGCTGGCTGCAAAGGCAACGAGGAGCAGTCCGGCTGGAATGAGGCGGACTGAGGCGACGAACATGGGACCTGCCTTTGGCAACACGTCCTGATGGGGGGCGAGGGGTGGGGGGAGAGAGAGACAGAGAGGGAGAAAGGGGAAGGGGGGGGGAGAGACAGAGACAGGGAGAAAGGGGAAGGGGAAGGGAGAGACAGAGAGAGGGAGAAAGGGGAGGGGAGAGGGGAGGTGATGAGGGGCAGACCGGCTGGAATGAGGCGGATTGAGGCGACGAACATGGGACCTGCCTTTGGCAACACGTCCTGACGGGGGCGAGGGAGGAGGTGGGGAGAGAGTCAAAGGCGAATGGGAGAGGAGAGTGGGTAGGCGATGAGGAGCAGAATAATTGGAGTGGGGCAAGCAGAGGCGACGAACAAGGTAGGCAATTCTGGTCAACACTGGATGCAACAAACTCCAAATGGAGGTACTATGACTCTGTTCCAGTGCTCCCCTACTCCCCTAATGATTAACGAGTAATGTAGGCAGCTCTAGAGACGAATGTGCTGATTGCTTTGCTTCAATACCTTCATTGCCACCATTGACGATCCCCAGAAAAAGAATGGCGAAATCAGCAACATCGTCTCCAAAATCCCGTCAAAATTCAATGACGAAAGAAACGAGCCAGTTTTGGCGTCTCCTGCTGCTACTGCGACTGACTCCTCCTTCGGCTGCTCCTGCTGTATTGTCTTTCTCCGTTGCTCCTCCTCCCCTTCCTTCTCCTTCTGCTGATCCACCAGCGGCTTCCCTGCAGGTTCCCATTTGTCCCTGTCTTCTGCGAGATTAGGAAGTACACACTCCACGTTAATTCCTGTTAGAACACAATCCAAGTCTGAAATGTCCAATTTGCGAGCCAATGTCTCATTGGTTGACGCTCCGGAGTTGAGATTGCTCGCTCCGTTTGAAGCAGCTCCATTAGATACAGCTCCGTTAGAGGCAGCTCCGTTTGAAGGCTCGTCTCGGCCAGGTTTGGAATCGCTCGCAGCGGTTTCGGCTCCTGAAGGCGATTTCGACGCTGAAGCGATTGATACATTCGGTGATCTGACGCGACGTACGGGTCTATGATTGACACGTGGAACGCGTTGAAACGACGGTTGTGGAGACCTGACTTGGAGCGAGCACTGGCGTGGCGCGGCTTGAAATCTGGAGCACGACCGTTGCGCAGGGGTATTCGGATCAGCGTTTGAACTTGGAACCGAGTATCTAGCAGGTAAAATGGTCAGAGACGCCATGCTTTGTGGTTGGCTAACATGACACTTGAAGGTGCTCGTCATTTGAGACTGTAACGTAGCACCACGCATTCCTGTAAGAACCAGCAATTGTCAAGATGAAGCGATCGCAAGGACAAGTAAAGGACTGCTGGGTTGTGCTTCTATGACGATGGGAGCTCCTTCATTCTAGACAGCGTGGTGCGAAGCTCAGGACGCGTCACATGTCCAACACCGATCCCGTGAAATATCGGTGTGCAGCATCTACAGTGTAGTCGCTATTTCGTGAAAGACATGTATCCCGTTGTCGTTAAGCATGTCGCGAAAATCGTGCACACGCACAAAACCCCTGATCGGATGGCTCAAACTGCCACATCGATCGTGCGATTGACAGAGCGGAAATCAAAATCGCAACACCAGTTCCAGCCACGATCGATCGCCGTCGCATACTGTCGGCCACCTTCGATGTGGTAACTTCGTACCCTGCTTTGTCGCCATCAATTGAGCAAGCAGCTTGGTATTTCTCTCTCGTCACAAGCCATGCGAAATTGTGCTACTCGCCAGCGAAGCACGGCTCCTGCGCTAGTCGCTGGGTGTACAGTTGGCATGGAGATCCCCAACTTGCAAACCCGGTCTTGTCCCACTTGGCTCGGGGAAGCAGCCAACACTGCTCCTGCGGTTTGAATCACGTTTTTCGCAAGTCCAAGCACACATTCTCGGTGTTTGGAGCCGATCTACCGCGGTGTTGCACATGTGACGCGTCCTCAGCACTTCACAGCAGCAACGGGAGTGGCACTGTGTGATTTTTTACCACCAACACTTATGACCGCGAGGACCGCGACCTCAATATCCGTGCAGTGGATGGAGTTGACCAGTGTCCAGATCGGACCGGAACCGTTGCTGTGACATGCGGACGAGAAGCTTCTTTCCGTGGGATGCGTTGGCTCGATTTGATTGGTTTAAAAAGAAGGTTACAGTCAAGAGTCGCCTAAAAACTTCTCTACTAGCCTACGGTGTAAAAAGCATCCTCACACCACTAACAGCCCTAGAGACAAGAGTGGAATTTTAACCAAGCACACTCAAACAGCAGATGAAGCAGCAGCACGAGCAGCTTCTTGCTTCATTTTGACAATAGCACCAGTACCGCGGAAGTAAGCATAAGATCTCTGCCAGGGAGGAAAAACAAAATAAAAAACGAGGAGCAAACAAGCAAAACAATATGAAAATGGTAAATGATCTTTTTTATATGAGAGCAACTGCAAGGAGACTTCCGATGTATGACATAAGGCTATGAGAGAACCACTCCTAAACTGGTCGAGGTTACGTCAGATAGTGACTTACTATGATGAGGATGAAGCTGAAAAAGGCCTCCGCCACGAATAGAACAGCACCGACTGCATAAAAGATCTGCAGCAAAACACGTACAAGTGCAGGTATACAATTCCTCATAATGTAAGTAGTGCACTACCTGAAAAGCAAAGGTGGTTTTATCCTATTACATACCCCAATGACGGTCCATCCATGTGTGAAGACATTTATGGTCGAGATGACGCCGCTGATATAAACCAAAGAAAATTACACATCAGGGTAAAAATGTCAGGGAAGTGAACAAGAAGGTGCACCCGATATGAAATCACTAGTGATTAACTAACTGTGCTGTGTAACGAATATGGTTGACTTACGCAAATGAGCTTCCTTGAAAGGCAGTGCCAATTGTGAATGGAGGTGATACAGCAGCGAATACAAAGAAGATGATGTGGGTCTGCATCAACAAACACACACAAACACACACACACACACACACACACACACACACACACACACACACACACACACACACACACACACACATGCACGCAAGCACGCACACGCACGCGCACGCACGCACACGCACACGCACGCACAGAGAGGAGCGCTGAAACAACATCCAGCTTCATATACAATACCAACTCAAGACTTGCTCACAAACCAGGATTGACATGTGGACTAGATGTCATACCATGAAGCCACAGAAGAAGAAAGCCATGCCAACACCACTGTCCTTGCGCATGGCATAGTACAACCGCGAGTACCAAAAGAAATAGGAGCCGGGCACCCCAATAATAAAGTAAAGTAATGCCATGAAAAAGTTTCCAAATCCTGCAACAAAAGAAGAATCCAAACAAGGCAGTAGAAAGAGAAGAAAGATTGTCATTGCTTCATTTTCAGCGATAGTACATCTTGAGGGTGTCCAATAGACCAAGACCATTTTGCAACTGCAATTGCATGGCTCCTCACTGAGTACATGGTGCACTTCGATCACATACCAGAAGAGTTTTCATAAGCGCCACCAATCCATGCTGCTGTAATGGGGACGAGATTGTAGAAGAGTGACCCCATTGCTCCTGCAGGAACGAAAGATGGAATCGCCGGAAAACAGTAAGTTGATTTAGCTTGCCAATGTGGTGTGATTCGCATGCTATACAGAGATCCCTGTGGAAAGCAAATAGGTTACAGGTGTGTAATTCACCGGACGATGTGGAGGTGCATTGCATCACCATTCTTAATGACCAGCCCGCCCGCTCATAATACCCAACAGCCTCTTTCTGACTGGCAGTTCAGCAAGAACAAACTCATCCATCACAAAGTAACTCACCCATCCAAACCCAGAAGCCAAGGTACATCAAGCCTTGTAGATAGTCCGGCACATCCTCCTTGATGTTGTTACGGACTAAGGGGAAGCATGGTGGGAAATCCTTGGTCATGATGCCGAGTGCTGCAGATAGAGGCAAATTCATTGTGAGATGACACGAGCAAAACTTGCGTAAGAAAGGAGGGCAAGCAAGAGAGAAGCACATGGACGGGTCAAATGCAAGCTATGAAAGTTGAAGCTCATGACACTCAAGTCCCTGATTTTAATACTTTCACTCACATGCTTCCCTCTTCGCTAGCTCCTGTGTTGATACAGCAAGCATCCCGATTCCCATTTGCAGTCACAGGTCAGCGCGGGATGAAGACCCCAGGTGGATGGAATGGAGAGAGAGCAACGCAAGCAGTGGGAGAAAGTAAGTATAAATGAGACGCTTCAAAGAGGCAATCTAGTGGTCGCAAAGTCAGAGAAGAGAATGACTAAGATACTGCTTGTTACGTAGCTTAAAGACACCGTTCAACAATCTCACCTCCTCCTTTTTCCTCAGCATAGCTTCTCGGTTTTGCAACTCTTTCTGTTTCTTCTTCAGTGCCTGAAAAGCAACCATGGTGAGAGAGAAAACTCGAATAAGGCGGTGGCGTGGATTAGACCAAGCCAGCCTATTCAAGCGCAAGTTACGCGGAAATTGTCAAAAGAGCGAATCCATTCACATTTGAGAAACGGAGCTACAAATCATCGCTCAACGAAGGAATACGGAGTCAGAGGAACAAACAGCCAGATTCAGGGGAATAAGCGGGGAAGGCGGGTGTGATGCTGCATTGCCACCAACCATACCCGCGGGCTGAACTGAACATCAGAGGTCACGTCGAAAGTGGATCCGCTGCGGCTTTCTGGAGGCAGAGGTGAGGGCCTGTCGCTCATGCTGGTCATCGGGATGGCAGACCGTTGGCTCTGCAAAAACACGCGGATTCGATTTATGCGTGGTGTTGCTGTAATTCTAAATGGATTGTTTACTGTAATTCAGACTTGAATTGAAGGGCTGTGAGATTTGCTGTTTCACGTGCTACTATCGATTGCTTTCGCAATGCATCGCTGGACAGGACTAGGCTTTGAAGGCATACAGTTCTGAACATCATATGTAAGACCGAATACTCACATCGAAGAACGAACCGCCGCCTTGCCGGCCCGATTGCTGCAGGAAAACGATAGCATGACGAGGATGTGACGTTAAAATCCACGGAGCAGGATAGCAAGTAGACCTCAATACTCGTCTGGCAACGAAAAGTGATGCGACAGAAGAACGAGAAAAACTTTCCAACTTACAGAATAGGGATTATTGTCCGTTTCCTCATCGAACGGATTCTGATCGAATCTACTCATGGTGACTTGGCTAATCCGTCCGCACTAATCGATTTAGGGCAATCTTGTTCCTGATCTCCAAGCTAAGGCCGCAGCAACTGAATATTGCAGAGGTAGCTCCAGAAGCACGCTGAAGTCCTCGAGGAAATAGAGAAACCAGACACCAGCAGCAAAAACAGTTTTAGCAAGCTTGAACTATCTCCAGGCGGGCCCTGTCAAATGACAGTCTTTCTTGTGTTGTCTCTTGTCTAGACTCTGACCAATTGAAGGGTACCCTTTTGCTGAGGATTCAAGACATGAATGTTGGGTTGGGGGCTCCCAGAAGTCCGCACCCTGCCACACACTGGCGGGCGGGGAGCTGCAATTCTGACAGGGAAGCCTTTGCGCATTGTGATTGGCGAGCGACGCCTTGAAAATGACGTAACTGGTGCGAGCCCAGAGATCCGCATCGCGAAGCAGAAGCTCGCGGTTGAAACTGTTCTTCCAGACCAGAGTAACACTTCACAAATCTCTCTGAGCTCCTAAAAACAATGAAAGTGAGAACATGTTTAATGATGGGAACAGGCCTAATCAGCCGAGCTTTAATAGATTCCGAAAAATGTACGCAACCTTGTATGTTTCAAGTTTGTGAAAATCATAAATAATTATTATAGTACATTTAGGTATGTACCTCCAATACTGGTTGAAGCTAGCTTGGCAGGCATATCAATGAGGCATATGAGCCCCACCTCTCACACACGATACAAGAGGCTTCTATGCTCCTCGCAGCACGACATGCTACAATCCCGGGTTGCTGCGTGCGATCAGAGAGCCTGAACAGCAGTACGTTCAAAATCCTCCGGCCTCAGTCCAAGAATAGCGTCTAGCTCAGCTCGAGTTAGCGGCCTGTCAGAAGACTCCGTTGGCGAATTACTCTCAGCACCAATCCCAGACTTGGCACTTTCAGGCATTGCTGCAACGACAGGAGCACCCTCTACAATCGTCACAGCCTCACCAAGCGTCGCTTCGACTTCTTCCACTAGTGTCCCGTCATTGGCTCTGAAGACATGCACGGGCAGCGTGGCTCTTTCAGCTGCCGTCGGTTCTAAGGCGTAAATCTCCTCGACTTGTCTCGTGCCGTCCGCGCGTGCTGCGCGCCGAATGAAGCCGATTTTTATCCGTGCAAAGGTTGGTTGCCACAAAAATGCCGAGAGAGCGAAGAGCACGAGAAGTAGGCGAGATCCTAATCGCGAGAAATACATGATGGGCAACAGATTAAGATGCGAAGGTTGCGATTCCGTGCAACTCCTTCGGCGAGAAGAAATCGAGGTTGTGATTCGGTCTGGCTGCTTGATCCTATGGGGTATGGCCTTGAGAACGAGAAAACCGAGATTGAACAGGAGTTGCTGTGCTGCATAAACAACAGCTTGCTGGGTGCAAGGTTGTTGCAAGCGGAGGAGAGGAGGGGAGGGTTGTGTTGTGCGACTTGGTTTGGGATGAGTGGGTGACTCTAGGCGACATGCTACTACGGGTGCCAGCAAAACCGCCCAGTATAATCTTTTCCCTTTCCTGTAAGCACATGGAGGGAAGGGAGTGTGCGGAGCAGCGGTGACTCTTTCGCGCGAATCGCAGGGTCGCTTGCAGAAAGTGAGGGACCAGGCGGGCGATGAGGACGACACACTCTGCGACAGGAAAACCTGCTTCTGAATCGTACAGAGAGCTTAACGATCCAGCTAGGAGAGAGGTAACGACCGTGCGAAATCGCAGGCGATTGAAACACTTGTATTAAGCACAGGAAACCTGAGCTGATGCGACCAATATTTGCTCCAGGAAAAACGCCTAGTCGCCAGGTGAAAACGAAACTTATTCACAAATGCTAGACTCGATTGCAACCTGTATTGCTCATTCTTCCATCGGATGAATTTTTTTCTTACGTGCACAATTATCCTCTCAAGCAAAATAAATATGTAAATATCCTTCCCAGCAGAATATCTAAATTCATTTCCTCGATACAAGAATGTTTCTCACGTGGACACGTCTCATTGCAACACGTCAACCTCCAAACATATTCCTTTGACCATTTCCTGAACGGCCACATCAGCGGCCCCCGTTCCCCCCACCCCGCCCCCCCCCCCTCCCCCCGATTTTGTGTGCGCGCTTCCTGAGTTTTTACTGTACTGTACTGAGCCGCTTTTCTTCTGGCGCGCCCCGCCCCCCAGACACGTTCCCCCCAATAATGGCGCAATACAGTAGCTGGCACGCATCATTCCCCCAATCAGCCAAGCTCCAGGTGCCACTGCTTTCAGGTCAAAGAACTAACAATTCGTCAGTGTAATCGTGATGGTGGTTTCAAGGGAGCAGAAACTCGAAGCTAGTTACGTATGTTGTCATAATAGAATCCGTTCTGGTACTTCCTGCGCTGGTTAGGCTACCTGTGTTAAGAGTTTTTATCACGCTATTCGAGCGAACCTTCTGCACAAGAGTTCGAATCGGCGCTGTCCAATCCATAAGAACCGAGCTACATAGCGGAATAGGATTGTGACATCCCCCATGTCTGCCCTAGCTGGAGGCAGTGCCGTGACGAGACATCTGGCGAGTACACAATGCTTCAATGCGACTTCGGCAAGACACTGTAACGCCGCCGTTCCGTTGTACGCGTCTCTGCTGCCTATACATTTTAGACCAAACTCAACTCACCAAGGATATGGCTCCAATTTAGTCCTTCGGCGCAAAACTACTTCAAATCAAGCTGCCATTGCTCACCTTAGAACCCTGAAGCAGAATCATCACGGAATTCGCCATCGGAATGGTGTTGCTCGAGCCGCGATTGATAACGAAGCTAGTCCGGAACAGGCCACCACTGATCTTCCCCAACCCTCCTCTGCGACGGCTGTTTCCGAGCCTGCCTCGGCGGCTTCTCCCGAGCCTCCTCTCCCTGGGGAGAAGGTGTACCGAGGCCTGGCGTTAGCTTCGGTATCAGCCGCGGTGGGTCTGTTTGTGCTGACGCGGGTGGCAGGCGCAGGCACGGATCTCTCCGCATTGGCCGCGCGATCGGCTAATTTCGATGAGGTACCTAGACTGGAAAGCCTTGGGACTTACTTAGGCTCTTGCGGCTGGGCCTGTATACGATGAGATATGGGGGACGGATTGGGAACGGAAAGTACGCGGAGGGGGGAGGAGAAAGGGACTGGACAGGGAGGTTGGAAATTTAACTCTTGAACGTATAGACCTCGACTCTTTGCGCATTTCCCCGACGCCGAATTCATATTCCCTGCTGTCTTACCTTCCCCTCGTCACCTCATCCCAGGCAATGGGCAACGGGCGGCCAACCGTGGTTGAATTCTACGCTGATTGGTGTCAGGTACGTCTTCATCACGCCTGTGTCGTTCTAACTGAATCTCATCGCGTCATGCTGAATGCGATCAACTCCGCTGCTTCCCATCGGCCTCAGCAATTTACGATCATCCATACTGCCGGTTCCTCCCATCTCCCTAAGCTGAATTTCATCATTCACAATGGTTCTATCATGGCCTTTGACCCTTCACCCTGATTGATTCCTTCATTCATCCTCCTCTTCCTTCGCTTTCCTCCCTCTCTTACCTTCGCCTGTACCTCCAACTCCTATTCCCCTTCCCCTCCCACTCCTCCTATTCCGCCTCCTCCTCCTCCTCCTCCTCTTCCTCCTCCTCCTCCTCCTCCTCCTCCTCCTCCTCCTCCTCCTCCTCCTCCTCCTCCTCCTCCTCCTCCTCCTCCTCCTCCTCCTCCTCCTCCTCCTCCTCCTCCTCCTCCTCCTCCTCCTCCTCCTCCTCCTCCTCCTCCTCCTCCTCCTCCTCCTCCTCCCCCCTCCCTCGATGCCTGTACTATCGGTGCCTTTGCTGCCTGATGTCAGGTCTGTCGCGAGACTGCCCGGGACACGCTCAAGGTCGAGCAGCAGTTCAGGTGAGGGAGGGTCGGTGTTGCACTGTTGCACTACCATCGTGCTCCTTGACTTCTGAGTCAACTCAGACGTCATTGTGAGACTGCTCGGGACACGCTCAAGGTCGAGCAGCACTTCAGGTGAGAGGGCATCAACTTTCACTTCTTTTCCCAAGACAACAGTCGCTGCCACTCTGGGCTCCTGATGGGTGTTCCCTCGTGAAGCTGCCCCGGACACGCTTAAGGTCGAGCAGCAGTTCAGGTGAGGGAGGAACTCCACTGCACTGCAGTCAGTCGCGCTTCCGTGGCTGCCTTTCCACCCACCACGGAACGGACCCTATCTCCGAATCCTTCTCAGGTCTTCGTGCCTGTTGATTATTCCAACATGTAATGTGGCATTGCCCTCATATCCCCCTCCCCTCCCCTCCCCTCCCCTCCCCTCCCCTGCCCTACCCTCTCGCCTTCCCACTCTGCTCCTCTTAACATGCCTCCTCTTAACATGCCTCCTCTCACCTCTCCCACCTCCCATCCCCCCCTCTTCTCCTCTAACCTCCCATCCCCACCCCTCCCGTCCCGTCTGTTCCCATCCCCTCCTCTCCCCCCCTCCAGAAACAATGTCAATTTCGTGTTTCTCAACATAGACAACGTGAAATGGGCGGCAGAGTTGGACGAGTTTGGGGTGGATGGCATTCCGCACTACACCTTCCTGGACGGCGAGGGCAACGAGATGGCGTACGTGGTGGGGAAGGTGCCCAGGAGAATCCTCCTAGATAATGTGTCTGCTCTTGCAGAAGGCAGGTCGGAGCTTCCGTTCTCGCAGTTCATTTCAGAAGCGTCGGATGCTGCTTTGAGGCAGGCTCCTAGGGTTGTGGATCTGTGAGACCATTTTTGAAGCGTTTTGAGACACCTCAACAATTTGCTTCGAAGCAGGCTACTAGTGTTGTAGGTCCGAGAGACCATGGGCCGTAACTGCTGATTGTGAAGAAATCTATTGAGCGCAAAGGCCTGTGATGTCCCGGACTCACCCCCGGCTCATTTCAGGAGGGCCCAGCCAGATGGTGCCTTGTAGATGCTACTAGGGTCATGGACCTGAGCTGAGAGATCATGGGTCATTTGGTAGAGAAATCGTGTGTCGTGCACAGTGACTCGACTCTAGGGTGACATGAGCAATAATTAGTTATGGAAGTATGAGAGGTGCGGAAAGAGCGAAGGAGGTATGGTGAGTGTGATACAGTGGAATGGAGCTTGCATGGGTGTCAAGGAAGAGAATGATGTAAACAGGACTAGGCAAGAATGATGCATTGAATGAAACAGTTGGGTACAAGTAGCAAACCCTAGTTGGGGTTGTACCCCATATTGGCTACCCCACTACAGCCTACCAACATATAACACATTACAATTTAACACACCCCCATAGGCAAAGTGGGGGAGAACAAAGGGTCACAAGACCAGTCCAGCAAAACAACGCAGTGATCAAAACCTAGCAAGCAAGCAACAAGATATATATAAAGTACAGTACAAAGAAAGTCAAGCAGTAAGCAAATGAGGGAATGTGGACACAAGGCCTAAAGAAGTACAGTGTCGCTGATGATCACTAGGCGGGAGCGCCTTGGTGAAGATATCAGCAGTGTTGGCCTTCGAGTCCACGTACACAAGCCAAAGCTGACCGCGCTGCTGAAGCTCTCGAGCAAGAAAGTAGCGAAGAGCAATGTGCTTCGTCCTGTGCTCCAGTCTGTGCTCCTGACACAAGGCAAGGGCCGCCTTGTTGTCACCGTACAGAACTGGAGGAGAACTAGGCCGCTCTCCCAAGTCAGTCAGCAGGTAGGTGAGCCAGCGTAACTCCTGTGCAGCCATGGCCGTGGCGTAGATCTCAGCCTCACAACTAGAGCCAAGAACAGAGGAAGAGCGGGTGGACCGCCACGAGACAGAACCAGAGCCAAGGCTGAAGGTGTAACCCTGTGACGACCGCTGCGTAGCCAGGTCGTCCACCCAAGAAGCGTCCGAGTGACCAGTGAGGACAACTCTGTCGCGTCCTCCAAGCACCAGCCCCATGCCTGACGTACTGCACAAGTAACGCAGCACCCTCTTAGCAGCCTCCCAGTGCTCTCGCCTGTGTCTCCCAGGCGCAACGTAACGAGCAAGGATGCTAAGAGGGTACGCGAGGTCAGGTCGCGTGCAAGTCATCAGGTACATGAGGCAGCCTACAAGCTCTGGGTACGGGCCACTCGGCTCTACGGACTCGTCCGAAGGTGGAGCTGAGAGCGAGTGGCTGGTAGCCAGAGGTGTGGCCTGTGGTGAGGAGAACTGGAAGCCGAAGCGCTGAAGGACCTGCTGCACCATGTGTGACTGAGTCAGGGTGATGGTGCGGCGTGCTCTGTCCCGGGTGATCTGCAAGCCAAGGTAGCTACGCAGCTCACCCAGGTCAGTGCAGGTGTGTCTCTTCTGCAGCTCCGACTTCACACGAGCGAGTGCCTCAGTGTCAGCAGTAGCAAAAACCAAGTCGTCGACGTACACGAGGATGTAGAACGGCAGCAGCGACGTGTCTGTGCGCAGGAACAGTGACGGGTCAGCAGTGGAAGGAGCAAACCCAAGGGCCGCAAGTGTAGTCCTCAGTGTGTCGTGCCACTCGCGCGGTGCCTGGCGGAGACCGTAGACTGGCCGCCGGAGGCTCCACTGGGTACCAGGAGGAAACGACCCAGTAAAGCCAGGTGGGCGGCGCAGCCAGATCTCCTCGTGCAGGCTGCCCTGCAAGAACGCTGTGCTGAAGTCAAGAGAGTGAAGCTCGTAGTCACGCTGAGCAGCAACGTGCAGCAGAACCCGAAGAGTGGTCATCTTCGGGGTGGGGGAGAAGGTCTGAAAGAAGTCAACCCCCTGACGCTGACTGAAGCCTCTAGCAACGTAACGAGCCTTGAAGACAGGTGGAGAACCTGGCGGCCGCTTCACCCTGAAAATCCACATGCCATCGACGATGTTCGCCCCAGGAGGGGGAACCTCGTCGACGTAGGTGCCTGTGGACTTCCAGGATGCCATCTCTGCGTCCATGGCTGTCTGCCACTGAGAGGAGTAGGGACCCGAGATCGCCTCTGCGTAAGAGCGCGGAGTGGGGATGTCTAGTGCATCCGGGTCTCCCTCAGGGGCAAGCAACCAGGCCACGAGATGAGGTACAGCAGCCGCAAGAGAGTCAAAGTCCTCCTGCCTGTCCTCAAGGACGTCCGTGCCAAGAGCACACTCACTCCCGACGGACGGAGGACAGACAGACTCAGACCCAGCAACAAGACTGGCGGCGTAGTCGAGGCGACAGGCAGCAGCAAAGTCGACAAGCTCAGCGACCAGGGCAGACGCAGCAGAAGACTCAAACGACGGGTCAGTGACAACAGTGGCGAGAAGACGCGTGACAGTAGGGTGGGCAGCACGAACACTGTCAGACTCAGGGTCGGGAACGTCAGGAAGAGAAGACGCAGGTGGAGACGGTAGGGGGACACGCTGTGGACCAGTGGAAGGACGAAGTGCCATAATGTGCGTGCCAGGAACAGGAGGAGGACGCGGACGCGCGACACGACGGCCAGTGGGACCAGTGCGAGCAGTGCGAGCAGCGCGAACAGGCGAGGCAGGACGAGACGTAGGCTCACGACGCTCCGTAAGCGAGTCCGGCTGTGCAGTGTAAGGCACAGGAGCAGGGAGGGGGGAGCCAGGCTGGAGGGGAAGGCCAGTGGAAGACGGGAGGGAAAGAACCTGGCGAAGCACCGTGTCAGGCGGCGGCAAAGCCGACGGCGACGGAGGGGCAAAGAACAGGCGCGACGGCGGAGCTCCGCCAGCACCTCCAACACCCGTAGCACCAGAAGCACCAGGACCAGTACCCTCCGCCGCAGCACCCCCCGAGTCGGCGACGTCAGCACCAGAGGCCCCAGCAGCGTCAGACCTCCCCTCGCCAGCACCTCCAGAACCAGCAGGACCACCGTGTCCAGAACCGTCAGCTCCAGCAGCTCCAGTACCGCCAGGAAGAGCACCCCCAGAGCCGGCAGCTCCAACTCCGCTAGCACCGCCAGCTCCAGAGTCCCCAGCTCCAGCAGCTCCAGTCTCAGTGCTCCCAGAACAACCAGTCCCGGCAGCTCCAGTACCCCAAACTCCAGCAGAGCCACGAGAACGGCGAAAGCGCCGGACGTACCAGTCACGAAGCTGCTGCGGTGTGAGAGACTGCTCAGCACCCCGAACCGGAGCACCCCCAGACGCAGCAACCCCAGGCTCCGTAGGCTCAGTAGCAGCACCCCCAGGCTCAGTACCCTCAGGCGCAGCACCCCCAGGCTCAGCACCCCTAGACTCCGTACACGCAGGCTCAGCACCCCCAGTCGCAGCACCCCCAGGCTCAGCACCCCCAGGCGCCGAACTCTCAGGCACAGTACCCTCAGCTCCAGTACCCGCAGTCCCAGCACCCGCAGCCCCAGCACTCCCAGGCCCAGCACCCGCAGGCTCAGCACCCCCAGGCTCAGCACTCCCAGCAGCACCACCTGCAGCAGCACCTGAGTCACCTGTGACCTCGACAGGCTCAGCGACGGGAGGAGGGTCTACCTGAGAGACACCTGAAGGAGCAGGACCCTGAGGGGGGAGGGGGTCTACCGGAGGGGGACCAGGAGCAAGGAAAAGCGGCGGGGGAGGGAGGGGGGCAGTGCGGTAGGGGAAGAGACGGTAAAAAGGGACCGACTCGTCAAAGGTGACGTCCTGAGAGGCGAAGACCCGGCGCGAGGTGGGATGGTAAAACTGCCAGCCAGGCGCGTCAGGGACAAAGCCAAGGAAGACACAGGGAAGCGTGCGGGAGGAGAGCTTGTCCGCGGACGTATCGCGGACAAGGGCACGAGCACCCCACACCCGGAAGCGCGACGCATCGCCAACCTCCCCCGTCCAACGCAGTGTGGGCGAGGTCTCCGGCAAGGAGACACGGGGCCAGAGGTTGAGCTGATGCGCGGCGTACCGGACAGCAAACGGCCACAGAAAATGGGGAGCCGCCGCGTGGACCAAGGAGGTACGAGCGACCTCCATGACCAGGCCAATGCGGCGCTCACCGCCCTGACCACGAACGCGGGCTGGGCCCCACACGTCCAGGTGGAGGGTCTGCAGAGGAGCCTCTGTCGGGGGGAACGAGGAGGAGTGAGGAGCGGCGCGCTGCCGCCCCTCGACGCAAGGAAGGCAAGGCGGCGCAGGCGAGGCAGGGAGGGGAGGGAGGGACCTGGGAAGACCAGACACAAGGTGGCGACGGTGCATGCCACGGAGGCGTGGCAAGGAGGGGTGACCCAGGCGGTGGTGCCAGAGAAGAGTCTGGTGCGACAGGGAACGACACTCACAGGCGTGGGCCACCAGACCTGACGCGGACACCTGACCGACAGCAGCGACCTGAGGAGACGCAGTGGTCAGTGTGTAGAGACTCGACCCCGGCTGACGGGTAAACGTAGCCAGGTGACGGCCGGACCTGGAGCACGTGAGGATCGCCACACGCTGTCCTCCAGGGGTAAAGGTGTCAACCCACTGATCCTGGATGACAGCGTTGCTCACCAGGTTCGTCGAGAACGAGGGGAGGTGGAAACCCGACAACGAGCCAGACGGAACCGCTGGACACGGGAGCACAGTGGTGGACCGTGCAAGGACTGGGCCCCCAGAGGGGTCAGCCAAGGAGACTGGGACCGGTGCAGGAAGCGGTGTGAGCTCAGTACGGTCACGAAAGAAACAGCGGGAAGCACCTGAGTCAAGGGTGAAGGTGTGACAGGTCTCAGCCGGTGCAGTGCCTGAGAGAGCAGTCTCTGTGGGTGCTGTACCTGAGAGAGCAGACTCACAAGCAGCAGGGACAGTACCGGAGGGAGCAGCCACAGAGGGCACCATACCAGAGAGAGCAGACTCACGAGTACCTAGGGCAGCGGGCTCTATACCTGGGTCAGGCGGCACACACAAGTAACAGTCTCCCTCGGCACTAACAGTCAATGCATACATGGCAGCAATAATAGCATCATAGTCAAGAGCAAAGATATCAACACCAGCCCTCATCAGCTCCGCCCAGCGGGGGCGCTCAACATCCTCGCCCATCTCCTCACGCCAAGCGTCGTCAAGGCGGGAGAAGCAGCGGTACGGGGTGTGGAACTTCCCACACGTCTGTCCCTTGCGGTCACCTGTGCGAATGACATAGGAACAGCGGACACTGCCCCCCGACGTCCCACGCTGAGCACGAAGCTGCTGGGTCGTCTGGGGAAGCTGCAGGGTCGTCTGGGGACGCTGCTGCTGCTGGGAGCTCTGGCCCGAGCCAGTGCCTCCGCCACCACTACTTCCGCTCCGACCGCCACCGCCGCCACCGCCACCGCCGCCACCGCCGCCACTGCTCCCTCCGCCGCCCCCGCCTCCGCTGCCGACCCCACTCCCACCAGCACTCCCGCCACCGCTCCCTCCAGCACCGCCTCCCCCCCCACCTCCCCCACCTCCTCCCCCCCCAGCGCCACCCCCGCCACCCTTGCCCCCCTTGCCCTTGCCGGTGCGGCGCCTCCCACTAGGAGCAGAAGCAGCGCCAGCAGACTCAGCACCAAGGAAGTCAACAGCAGCAGCAGTAGCGTAGGAGGGAGCGAGGGGAGAGGGAGAACACCCCTCAAAGATGGGGGTGCGAGGAGCGCCACGAGCAGCACCGACAGCTACAATGGTCTTCTCGGCCGCTAGCAGCTTCTCCTCTAGGAGGGCGACTGTGAGCTCAGTGGGACAGCGAGCAAGGAAGTGGTCTCGAACTGAGCTGAGGGTGTCAGGGAGACGGGTGACTATGAAGTGGAGTGTCCAGTACAGTGGAGGGGGGTGCTTAGCGCAGAACTCGGTGGGAAGGGCGGCACGCAGGCGAGCATCACTAGTGCGAAGGTGGGTGATAAGATCGGCGACTGTAGCAAAGGTGGACAGGTCAGGGAACAGGTAAGGCAGCATGAGGCGGCTAAGCTCGGCTGTGGCAGGCGAGGAGTAGCGAGTAACAACAGCGTCGTACAGGGCCTTAGCGGATTTGCAGTCGCCAAAATGCTCGAGCTCAGCTAACGGCAGGTGACTGCGAATGGCTAGGCGAGCAGCTGCGTCACGAGTCTGCCAGTGGGAACGAACACTAAGCTCAGCTGTGGCGGGAGGGGCAGGCGCTGCACCAGACGCGTAGTCATAGAGCGACACATGCTCCTTGCTATCGCTCAGGAGGAACAGCTGCAGGTCATCTAGCCAAGTGGTGAACTGCACAGGGCGGCCCTCAGCATCGAACGACAGCACGCGGATGGAAGCCATAGCGACAGTGCGACTGAGCAAAGCAAGCTGCCGCAGCGCTGCAAGCAGGTAGCTCGGTGGGGAGCGCGGCGGGCGGGCGGCGCTCTGAGCGGGCAGCGTGGCAGGTAGCGCGGCGGGCAGGCGGCGCTGTGAGCGGGCAGCGCGGCGGACGGGCGGCGAAGCTGGCAGCGCGGCGGGCAGGCGGCGCTGCAAGCGGGCAGCACGGCGGGCGGGCGGGCGACGCTGCGAGCGGGCAGCGCGGCGGGCGGGCTACGAAGCTGGCAGCGCGGTGGGCAGGCGGCGCTGCAAGCGGGCAGCGCGGCGGGCGGGCGACGCTGCGAGCGGGCAGCGCGGCGGGCGGGCGACGCTGCGAGCGGGCAGCGCGAGCGGATAGCGCGGCGGATGGGCGGCGCTACTGGCGGGCAGCGCGGCGGGCAGCGCAACGGGCAGCGCGACGAGCAGCGCGGCGGACGAGGGCGCAACGAGGGGCGCTAACGAGGGCGCTAACGAGGGCGCTAACGAGAGGCGCACGAGGGCGCTAACGAGAGGCGCACGAGGGCGCTAACGAGAGGCGCACGAGGGCGCTAACGAGAGGCGCACGAGGGCGCTAACGAGGGGCGCGCGAGGGCGCTAACGAGGGCGCGCGAGGGCGCTAACGAGGGCGCACGAGGGCGCTACGAGGCTAGGGCACGGGGTAGCGTGGTAACCGCATGCGAGCGGTGGTGGGCCCTAAAAAAAAACGGTCGGTAGGTCCTAGTAACCTCCTGCTCTGAATACCATGTCAACAGGACTAGGCAAGAATGATGCATTGAATGAAACAGTTGGGTACAAGTAGCAAACCCTAGTTGGGGTTGTACCCCATATTGGCTACCCCACTACAGCCTACCAACATATAACACATTACAATTTAACAAATGAGGTCGGGGGGACAGAAAAGAAAGGGAAAGTATGCCAATGGTAACAAAAAAGGGGCTCTTTAACGCGTACAGTAACTATTACGGTATGTTTTCACGGGTTTGGTAACCCGTTTCACGCATTTGGTAACTTTGCACAGGCGAAGGATCACTTGAACGGTAACTACATGAAACTCCCGCCGAAATGATCCTGACTACGAGAAATTTGATAAACTGAAAGCTTTTATGCACCGTTTTATCTTTTTTCAACGATTGTTGACGTGACTTCAAAGGATCGTGTTTATTCTATTACCACGGACCAAATAGTTTCAGAGCCATTTCATATATGTTTCAAACTCTTACAAATAACAATTCAAATCATATTTTGAAAGTATGATTGCACACTTGCAAAATGGAAAACAATTTCCCGAAAAAAGCATCAGATTTGTTTTTTTAGTAATTACTGCAAGTTTGAATAATTTTTTTCATGCGGGAAAAGGATATATTCTTTTTTACTGGCATGATTTATTTAAAAAAAATAAAAAACAACATGCACGCCTTGTCGCAAGAAGTTAGGGTTGATGCCTTCAAAATCATTTGCCATTTGAAAAGGGTGTAATGTTTGCCCCGGCTGTACGATAGAATGAAGTATGAACAATTTTCCGGAAAAAGCGCCAGAATATTAGCTAAGAAAAAAAACAACTGCTTGTAAAACAGCTATGTTTTTGCACTTCGCCCGAATTTCGGAAAGTGTGTCAGAATTTCGAAGTGTGTCAGAATTTCAGAAAGTGTGTCAGAATTTAGTGCTTCAAGATTCGTCAATTTAGTCTGGCGCGAGCGGGAAAAACAAGAATCAGGGTCATATTGGGCGAGGGTTTCTTCTAATTACCATTCGCGTGATCGGCCGCTAGTGTATAGTTACCAAACGCGTTAAGCGAGTTACCAAACGTGTTAAAACAACGTGTAATTGTTACCGCTCGCGTTATAGTGCTCCATAAAAGTTACCATAGACATATTTTCCCAAAAAGAAATACGGTAGAAAAAAAAGGATCCTGCAAACAATAGGAAAAAATAGAAAAAAAAAAAAAGCAATAGAAGAAGATGGCATCAATAGAATATGCAAACATATATGAAAATGGATACACATGATGCTCACCCCCTGCACGCGAATCTGCCTTGCACGAGTTGGAAACCTCGCACCCGAGGGTGTTTTGCCCACCTGTTGCACCCATGTTTAGGACCCCTTGGACTACTTGCCCAGCAGATGGTTGAGTACAACCAAAAATGAATTCAGGGCACAAAACAAACTCGGTGGACCGGGGTGACCATTTTTCTAGGCCAGAAACAAAGGCTGCGAAGTGTGTGGACGAACCCCCCCCCACGTCGCCTCCACTTTCGCACGCCACGTCGCGCTACGTAAGGTGTTTCATGGTGCGTCAAACAGATTTAGGCCAAATTCACAAGCCCACGTGTACCCCGCCTAACTCCGATACAGACACATTCACAACATCTCGTCCAACTCTAACACGTCATCACTGATGGTGGTGGTTACCAGGTATCACAATGCCTCAAACCAAAGCCCAATGCATGTGATCAGATACATGTTAGCCGCACCCTCGTCAATGCGATCAATCACCCAACGCACGGAGGCGCGTTATCAATGAGATATAAAACCACGACTGAATCTGTTAAGCAAGCATAGTCTCTACTCCCCCCTCTTAGCATCATGCCTCGCCTTTACCACCGTGCGCAGCTCGGCCTGCCTATCAAGAGGGCAATTTGCGCCCACCTCGTTGCTAATCCGCAGCTGCGTCACGTCGACCTTTCTCGGTGGTGCTTCACTCGCTTTGGACTTCGCCCCGACCGCAGCACGATCGGTCGCGTGCTCAAGGGGGCTGACCGTTGGGTGCGCCCTGCAGGTGCCCCCGACGTCATCCGTGTGCGCGGCGGTGCATACCCTGAGCTTGAGCGCGCAATGGCCCGCTGGATCGCCAATGCGGGCCCGGCAGGTATCCCCCTGACTCTCGCCACGATCCGCGAACATGTCGCGGAAACGGCGAGGAATCAGGGGATTCCTCCCACCTTTCGCGCCTCCATCGGATGGGTTCGGCGCGCCTTGCGCCGTCAGGGTGTGCGCTGTATGAGCGCCGTCGGTGAGGCGGCCGACCAGGACATGACTGCCGTCCGGACGACCAAGGAAAAACTGCCGCAGCTGCTCATGCATCTCGCCGTCACCCCGAGCAACACATTCAACTTCGATGAGACGGCGCTATACATTTCGATCCTGCCGCGTAAGACATACGGCAGCATCCGCACGGCGGGTCGGAAGATAGCCAAGCAGCGCTTGACCGTGGGCTTCCTCGTCAACGCTGACGGCTCACGTGTGTTCAGGCCGTATGTGATCTCGAAGTCGAGGCGGCCCCACGACTTTCGCCCCGACTACAACCCGGAGGAGCTCTGCTACTGGCGGCACAACGCCAAGGGTTGGATGACAAGCTCGGTGAGGACCCTGAGCATCACCCACATGCTAGCCGCATTCGTACATCAGCCACGCACATTGGTGTATTTTCTTTTTATTTTGCAGTGAGGGGTGTTTTTTGTATTCCCGAAACGTGTATCTTTTGTCCCCCGTGTCCCTCGACCGCAGTTGTTCACGCACTACATCGAGCAGCTTGATGCTGCTATGTACGCCGAGGGGAGGAAGATTGTTGTGCTGCTCGATAACGCCAGCAGCCACACGCTTAAAACCGAAGGCGCCACGACGGAAGACTGTCAGAGGTCCACTGGAGATCCCCAATGATCCTAGGGAAGGGTTACAGGCATGTTGGCCTGGGGGGTTATGGGCGCACTCACCCGCTACACAAAAAAGCCCTTTTATCCCAGTGGTTAGTGGCTGAGATTCTGACATGGTATCAGAGCGAAGGTCTCGGGTTCGAATCCCGGTGTGTGCACCTCGGGCATCCCAGTGCGGGGGGGTGTCAGAGGTCCACTGGAGATCCCCGATGATCCTAGGGAAGGGTTACAGGCATGTTGGCCTGGGGGGTTATGGGCGCACTCACCCGCTACACAAAAAAGCCCTTTTATCCCAGTGGTTAGTGGCTGGGATTCTGACAAAGACATGTTCGGATTCCGCACGTGCGCGCTCGGGAACGTGCGCCTCGTGTACCTGCCGCCGAATACGACATGCTTCACCCAGCCCCTTGACCAGGGGCTCATTTCAATGGCGAAGGCGCGGTACCGCCAGCACTGGCTTCGCGCCTTCACCCGCACGTGGTCCGCTGACGGCGCAACCTCCGCATCAGCGCGTTACCGGCCGAATATGCGGGACGTTCTGGCTTGGCTCAGTGATGCGTGGATGAACATCCCGCTCCGCGCCATCCAGCGTTGCTGGTGGCGCACGGGATGCCTTCCGCGGGTTTGGGCCATGTCTCTCCCGCACGTGCAGATTGGCAACGGCAACAACGGCGGCACAGGTGGCAACAGCCCCAACGGCGGTACAGGTGGCAACGGCAATAACGGCGGCACCGGCGGCGCCGCCGGGAATGCGGCCGACATCGGCCTCGACGCGGAAGTGAATGGTGTCCGCCAGCTCATTGTCGGACTCGGCCTCGGGTCGAGCGCCATGGAAGCTGGCGATTTCGTCGGCATCGACGACAACCAGCCCACCTGCGCCGAGCCAGGTGTGGATCCGCTTGCGCGGGAGCCTGTAACTGGTGCAACTGCCGAGATGTGGGAGGCGCCTGCTAACATGCAGGCTGTATACGACGACAGCAACCCCGCGTGCCGTGAGGCTCGGCGGACGGCGCGCGCGGCGTGTGAGATGCTGATCGATTACGCACGTGCGACCTGCATCACCCCGCGCGACCTGTGCGCGTTGTTCGACATCCGCAACCCGATAATCGTTGCGCGGATGGAGCGCGCAAGTCCGCCAATCGATCTCAACTCAGCCCCGCCCACTGCTCTCACTCATGCGGACACCCCGCAGCCTGAGACTCCACGTCGCCGTGGTCGGGTGCTGCCGGCGTGGATGACTGTGCCAACCCCTGACTGGGTGGCGCAATCGGCCCGCCGCCAGGAACTTATCGACGCCGGTGCACCCGCCGTCATGAGCGGCTACATAGCCGCAGCCGAGTGGATGAGGCTGTGAGACGGGATTTGTACCCCGTAGAGGATTGCAGGCCTCCTCTACATAGCAAATGTGCACGACTTCTGCACATTTGCAGATCATATGTTCTGTGAGGGGGGGTTTGGTTTGGGTACAGGTGGTGCTGCTTCATTGGGTGGTAGTTTGATGTTGATGTTTGTGACTAGGAGGGGTGTAACATGTAATCGGTACTCAATGTACGGGACGATAAAAGTGGTAACCGTGTTCTTGCACGCGTGCCAAACCATGCCACACCACACTGTTCTGGGAAACGACAATCGTGTTACAAGCTGTGCCATTTAAACACCCCTTATGTCCGTGGCGAAATTCACGAACTGACCGAAATGCCGAAAACGGTTATAAGCCCAGAGCACAAGGCAAGGTTGGGGGACTCTATCGCGCATCAGGCGTACTGCAAAAATGGATACTGCAATAATAGAGACGGAAGAGGAGGGATTTGGTGTGACTTGCAAGAGAAGAGCATTACCAGTCTGATGATATAGTATATATGTTGGAATCAATGTCTTTTTTTTGGGGATGCAACACACTACAATGCATACATCCACAGACGTACCCTGGAACCAATGTCTGTTCGCTGTGTCCTTCTGAAGATGATATGTTGTACCGGTATATCGCTGATTGTATCCTCACATCAAGTATCATCAGACTTGACTCGCAAGAAAAGTGTAGGGCGGCACGGTCAGTTGACAATTGTGGGGTGTGCGCGATTTTTGTGTGCTTCGGTGTCTGTTCACATGGAAGTGATCCAGGGTGATGTGTAACTTGCCTTCGGTTCCTGTTTGTTGCACGAGGTACAGCTGGGTTTCTCTCATGCCTTGGAAGTTGCAACGGTACTGTCATGGGATCTCCAGGGAGGCAGAGTGAAAAAGGGGCAAAAAGCGGTGCCACGCATCACAAGAAGAGTGGTTGGGGAAAGTGGTTTCAACTTTCAAGGGACGATACTGTACTTCGCCTCGTTACATGGTGCTGCGCGCGTGACGTTCAATGCCACGGTGGCGGTACAACTAGCGGAACACGTTACTGCAACGTCAGCACACAGCTGTACCGCCCTCGAATGTCACTCCACATCTGTTCAAGCAAGAAAATGGGTTTTGTTGATTTTGGGAGGAAAGAGAAGAGAGAGAGAGTGCCTAGGCAAAACCTCAACTTCGCACTAGACGCACGCCCACAATGGCAACCATGTTTTGTCAACAGAGACACAGATTTGAGAGAGCGGGATCTGAGCATAATTTGTCGGGGTTCCAGCTTCGCTGAACTGGTGTGCTGTGTGGACGGCACCAGAAGTGAAATACCAGTCTGGGAGGGCAGACTACACAATTCACGTGGTAGACCATCTTCCATCAGTTCCTCATCTCGTGTCGCGAGGAACCAACCACGCACGAAGAAACGAACTTTTAAATTATCACAACCCACACGAACCCAGCCGAACCGAAGCGACAACCGACCAAGAAACCCGCTCGGCGAGTGACAGAACGAGAAGGGCGGTCTCCTGTGGAGGCACGCGAACTATATGGGTGGGTCAGTTCCCAAAAAGGCATCTCGTGCTCTCTTTGGCGATCGTTCCTAATTCATTCAAACAGCAGATTTCCTTAGTCGATCTCCTAGCCACCTCAATCATCATGCTGCGACGAACTGTCAGAGTCCTTTCTCGGGAAGTGTCTCGACCGCATACAGAGAAGAAGGTACGTCAAGTCATGTCCGCCACAGGATGTTTCTGGCCACCGGCACCTCTTAAAAGTCCCCGAGAAGATCTTGGATCTGAAACCAAAGTGGTTGCTTTGTCGCCTGAAGATATGACACCAAGCGAAATAATCAGAACCCCTTCAGAGATCCAGAATCGCGGACCTACTGCCGAAACAAGCCCTCCTGATTCGGGCTGGCGACTGGGAGGCGTCATCCCGATCAGGGTTCTCAGCTCGAATGCAACCGTCATGCGACGCCACAAATCTATGTCGCTGGATATCAGGGATCTGAATTGGGAGGTGTCGCCGGCCGAAGTTTTGCCCGAGAGCCTTACAGAACATGGGCGATCTGCCTCACTGCCAGCTGCTGGTCTAACCAGCTGTCTAACTCCCGTCAGAAGACCCAGACGCTCCCCCGACCGCCACGTGTCGTTCAACCCACTCGTCCGCGTGCGGCCTATTCCGTCACGAAGTTCCACCATCGCCATTGCCGGCGGAATTCTAGCGTCCAACACCGCAAAAGCCGTTCACCCAAGCTCTTCCACATCCGCGAAACCCGCCAGCATTGAACTCCCAGACCTAGATTTGAACTGTGGTACCGCTCAGTGCTCATCGTCTGTGTATACCGAAGACTCCAAGTCATGGCGGACATCGTGGAATTCGCAAATTTCTTAGGAGCCCCTTTGCAATATTCGACCTGCTTGTGGTGCGAACTGGTTGCGCCCTCCGTTTCTATGCTTGTACCGTATCATTCCTTTGCTCTGGTGTGTTGCAAATATTTAGATATGACCCCATATCTGTTGAATGTCAACATGGTTCATACTGGACAGAGCCAACGACTAACACCTGAAGGCCTAAAAATGAATCTGGTACTCGGCACCTGCACAATAACATGGGTCGCACCTGAATAGATTTCCAAGCAAGAGTAGATTGCACCTGAAAATGGCCCTTATTCTGGGTCTAGAATCACACGGACACGAACCACCTGGCAAAAGGTCACGTGTTTTTTGAGTCCCACTTTTGATGTTTCACTGGGCGTATTTGACAAACCCGTAGCAGAGAGTGACCTACGGGTGGAGAGGCAGCTGCCAAGCTTATATCGAGGATTGGAGCTGGGAGAACTTGGAGGACTCAAGGAGGAGAGCTTGTGTACAGCAGGATGATGAGGAGTTCCTGTCTTGTCAATTTCGTGGTGGTTAACCACACATGAATCTTGAACCTCAGTTGTAACCTCCGAACAGCCACCTTCATAACAAGTAGCTTCGACAGCGGTGCTGTAACCCGTTTCGCCACCGCAGCTGCCCCCAGCAGCTGTAACCGCGGGGGGACAGGGAGAAATTTGCCCCACACCAGCAGAAGCGCTCCGGGTGTTTTTATTACTTCCCGGAGAGAGCGGAGGCTTGCGCAATTCCCGTTGTGCTGTTGCCATAGTGAACGGTTGTCTCGCTGCCAAATGATAGTTTGCGCCAGCTGGTACGGTAGACACACTGACAGAAGCGTCCCTTAGAATTGCATCGCCTTCCAAGGCTTCATGCCTGCTGCTACTGACGTCGCGGTTTGCGATTCTGCCACCGCCGCTGACGTCGCACGGGACATTTATATCCTTTGGATCCCGCCTTTCCTCCCTCCCACGACCCTTAGTTTTCCTGACCGAACTTTCGGGTTCGCAGCTACCGCAATGGTCGCCGTCGACAGCTCTGCTCGTCTCAATCGCAGATTCCCAGAATTGAGAGCACCGCCGGCCGTGGATCCAACCATTCAGCCGCCGGCCAATCGAGCCGCTCGATGGGGACTTGGGGGAGTCACAAGGGGAGGCGCAGGGGGAGGTTTTTCCGCCAGGCGCAGATAAGCTGGCCTCTGACGCAGCTGTATGTTGGCGGAACACGGGGGAAGGGAAGGGGAGAGATACCGTGTCGGAGCGATGGGCGGGCGGGGGCGCAGCAGGCGATGGGGCACCATGAAGAGCTGCGGAGGATGCGGACAAGGCGCGGCGGAGAATGCGCGCCGTAGGTGCTGCCAATATGCGCTCAAACCCCCCTGGCGGAGAGTCCGGCGGAGAGCTGGCGCGGCGATAACCGTGCGGCGCTGCCTTCTTCCCCGTTTGCTCGGCGCGCTCTAGCTGTTCCGCCAGCTTCATCCACACGCGGTCCATGTCGGGGGAATCGCGCGACCGTTCCGCAATCACCTCCGCGTTGGGACTGCGCACCACTGCGGGGGTCGGCGGGCGCCATCCCGATGGGGAGGCGGAAGGGGAGGGGGAAGTCTGATCGGAAGCGGACCCAGACCCGCGGAGGCTAGCTGCGAGTCGGGGGCGCACCGCCCTAGTGGATCCGCGGCATTTGCCGCGAAGAGCATGGCACGTCGGTGGCGATACGAGCGCGCCGACATTGGCGGGCGTAGGTGGAGAGAGAGGGGACGCGGCTGGGAACACGCACGAAACTGAACCATTGTTTCTGCTGCTGCCGCCGCTGCTTCCGCTGTCGCTGCTGCTAGTAATGGGATCGGGGCAGCAGCGGCAGGTCGATGCGCGTCGCATCAACGTGGTGATAGTTGTCGTGGTGTCAGCGGCCAAGGCGGCGGGACATCCGGGAGCATGATGACGCGACGAAAAATACGAGCCGGCGGTGGTTTTGAAGGCTTTTAAAGAGGTCGGATGCCCTGCTGGTAGTTTTTCTTGCGGTATCGAGCTGACTCGTATCGAGTACGCCGTCGAGTCTTTAGCAGAATGCGGGGACAGAGAGCTCTCGCGGCATGGCGGCGATGCTGACTGTACTCCCGACACGGAGCCCCCATCCGCCGGAAGGGGCTTTCCGAAGACTGCTGGTGGCGAGTGCTGCTTTGGGATGTGCACTCGAAGTTTCAGTGAGCGCCGGCGCGCGAGGGACTTCGGAGACGATGTCGCAGAGCTCTCGCTAGGTTGGGAACTAGCAGGAGAATCGCTAACTACTGAAGAATACATTGGGCTGGCGGAATAGGATTGCTTGAGAGGAAGCAGGAACTGGGGACGTACGGTCATTGTCAACGGAATTTCAAGCGTACATAAATTAAGGAAATGAGTTGAGATAAGAGGTAAAAGAAGGCATGTTCGCACGCGCGAGACGAGACGACAGATGCCCACGACCAGGAAAGGTGACAAAAGAATAAAGCGAGTTGTTTGCTACGCTGCGTTGGACTTCATCTTTCGCCTGCAGTCCCGCTCTTCGAAAGAGAGAGACCTCCAATGACCATGCAAACATGGAAGGAAAGGTCGCAGCAGCAGCCGTCACCGTCTGTCATGCGCACAGTACAATGCCCTGAGCTGACTTGGCGCACTAGACACCGGGTCAAATATGCAAACAAGGAAATCTCACGTGATTCGTGAACGAGAGATGACGGTGGAGCGGGAAGAAGGGGTGGGTTGGGGTGGAGGGGGGGGGGGGATGGTGTGTGTCGCTTGGGGGGAGCGAAAGGGGGCTGTGGGGGAGGGGGTGCGCAGTCAATGGGATTGAACGGCTGGCGGAAGGTCAAGCTGTACTGTGTCCACGAAAAATATGTTTCCGGACCGGACTTCCGACATTGGCATATGTTTTAGGTCGCACGGTACTGTAACATGGCAGCAAAGCGGTAAATAAGCCTACGCCAAGTAGTGTTGTTTTCCCAAAGAAAGGCAATTTGCGGGGATTGCACTGTACGTAACGGAAACGGGCAGACTCGGGCAGGCGAAAAGCAGTTGTCCAATACACCTAACCACCGCTATTTTCTTTCGGTCTATTTTCAACCACCGCTAAGCAGCTAGGATTTCTGAGAAACCAAGTTGAGGTGGGAATGCAAGAGCGATCGAGGTGAGGAACGGGAGAGGAAATAGCAGCCTTCACACGATTGGCTGCGAAGTTGAATGTTACAGTTCATCTCGTTGGGCGTTCTTGTTTGCCAGCGAGGGTGATCGCTGCTTGGTTACATCACGTCACGTCACCACCATGGTTTGGTTCCCGAAATTACGGCACCACAGCGCCTACACGGCATCCCAAACCAACACCCTCTGATCATCATCTCCAGGGAGAAGCAACAGCACCCCCCAAACTGCCCGAACTGCGTTGCCTGCCACTCGGTTTCATTCGGGTCATCGAGATGTCTAACGGCAGCTGACCTGGCACGCCAAACACTGAGATGTTCTTTTCGTCGTGCGATTCGTGAGGTCATGCCTATCACGCTGAGATTTGAGGCGGGTCCCGAAAATGCGTCTGAATGCGGCTCAATGGGGCTCGATACGGTTTAGTGGCTTCGCTTTGGACCACACACTTCCTGTTCGCGCTAGTGTAGGCTTCGCTTCTAGAACAGGGTGCATGCAGCAATTCGAGCGAGCAGATTAGGGTAACAGTTCACTGAAACCTATATATCCTGCATTTCATGAGTACTCTATCCACATGACGTACACATCATTTTACACACTCTTGAAGCTGACACACACTTCTTCAAAAAGGGCCAGGTCATGGCCACTGTTTAGCCTTAACTGTACAATCAAACAGCCCAGCCTGTGGCCCATAGAAATAATGCAATCGAAAGAGCAAAGCATTTTCCCTCGTGCTCTTGCCACCACAGCACTATGCTGCTTCACTCTTATTTTTTTCCACAACTAATCGAAGGTCAACAAGGGTGTTCTCTATGATTTTGAGACGCCTCAAAGCTCCACTGCTACCCAAATATATTCAAAGCGCAACAGGAGTGCTCTCCTTTGCTCTCTTGTGCCCTTTCCTCTCCTCCCCCCACTCTTTCCCCTCCTCTTGCGATCTGCGTTTGCTGCCACCGTCACCCTGAATGACCCCTCCACCAGTCGTACCTACCGTTTTACCTCCCAACACTCCCTCCCTATTGTCACCCAAGTTAGTGTCAGGAGCATCATTGCCAATGCTGCCACAATCAGCAGCAGGGGCTGCAGCAGCAGGAGAAGCAGCAGCGGGAGTAACAGTAGGAGCAGGAATACGATCAGAGCCAATAGAACCCTTGGCTTCAGGCACACCTACCCCTGTTCCACATCCTTCACTAGTACTGTTTAAGGTGGTGGCTGTTGCAGCATGTGCAGCATCACTGGGCGAAGCGACATGACTAACCGTGCTACTACCGTCCTTCAATTCACCACCATCCTTCGGTTCCTCTCCCTTTCTGACTTCCGCCGCACCAGTTGCTGCTGCTCCTGATTCTCCTGCAGTTTCTGCTGCTCCTGCTCCTCCTGCTCCTCCTGCTCCTCGACGTTGCTGCAGCCATTGGCACTCGTGTTTCTGCCGTTTCTGCTGCTGCTGCTGGTCGCGGGGAAGGAGGGGAAGAGGAAGGCGAGGCAGATCTAGGAGATGCGGGTGGGGATGGGGACAGCGATCGGGATGGAGATTCCAGTGGAGTTGGGGATGCTGCTGGGGATGCTGCTGGGGATGCTGCTGGGGATGCTGCTGGGGATGCTGCTGGGGATGCTGCTGGGGATGGCGATTCCCCTCTAGGCGATCGCGACGGGGAGGATTTGGGGGATTGCGATGGAGATGATTTTGGCGATGAAATGGCTTTAGGCGAGGATGAAGGAGACGACTTGGGAGAGGAGGAAGAGGGGGAAGTGGGGGAAGACGAGGATTTTGGGGATGACAATTGCTCTATGGCCTTGCTGCTGCTCCGATTCGGCCCTCCATTGCTGCCCTTCTCTCCTGCCTTCTCACTCCCCCTCTTTTCCCTGTTCCTCTCCTCTGCATCCCTCTCTTCCCTGTTTCTCTCCTCTGCATCCCTCTCTTCCCTGTTCCTCTCTTCTGCATCCCTCTCTTCCCTGTTCCTCTCCTCTGCATCCCTCTCTTCCCCATCACCCTTTCTTTTATCTCTAGCTTTTTCATCTCCCCTTCCCCCTCCCCCTCCCCCTTTCCCTCCCCCTCCTCCTGCTTCTCCTCCTCCCCCTCCCCTCACGGTCCCCCCACCTCCCCCTCCTCCTTTAACCAGGGCAGATCGAGCTAGCATTGCCCCCAGCTTCCCTCCAACAACTATCTTACCCCCAGATATTCTCCTGAATCCGCCCCCACCATCTGAAGATTTCCGCTTCTTCTGCACACCTTGGGACGGCCCATCCTTCCCTCCCGAACCTGCTCCTCCCGTACCGCTCCGCTTCGGCCCGTTCCGAGCTTCTCCCCGAGCCTCTTCCCGAGGCTCAAAGCCTCTTCCCAAGGCTGGGGAGCCGGTGGAGGGCCGGGGGCTGGGAGGGAAAGGGGAGGAGGAGGGGCGGTCTTCGTCGTCCTCATCCTCGTAATCTACGAGTCCAAATGGCGGCTTCCTGGAAGGTGCCATGACGGGGATGCAGAGAGTGGGGGAGAACACAATGGGAAAAAAGACAAGAACTATAAGAACTATAAAATAAAAGAACCAGGATATGGAAATATTAACACAATGGTAGGAGGGAACTAGAGGACTAGGCGGGTGAAAGGAGTGGGGACGGGGATGAAGCAGGGGGGAACGAGGCAGAACAAGAGGGGCAGAGCGCGCAGAGCGCGGAAACCGCGGGTCAATGAGAAAACAGTGAAACAAAACTTGCCTAGATGGGTCTGGAATGATGCCGTTGGCGAGGGAGCGAGGGGGAGAGGGAGAGCGCGACTTGTGGCGTAGCAGGGGGGGTGTGCCTGACGGGTCGAGCACTGGCAGGCTGTCATCGTGCTCCTCCTCCTGTGCTGCTGGCTCATCCTCGTCACTGAGTGATTCGGTATAAACAGGGTGAGGTGGTGGGAACGTAGCAGGTGAATGGGAAGGAATGGGTGTTCCTGCCGGGTCGAGCACTGGCAGGCTGCTGCTGGCTCATCCTCGTCACTGAGTGATTCGGTATAAACAGGGGGAGGGGTTGGGAGCGTGCACGGCAGGTGAATGGGAAGGACTGGGGTGCCCCTGAAGGGACGAGCACTGGCTGGCAGGCTGCTGCTGTGCTATTGCTCCTGTGGTGCTGGCTCATCCTCATCGTTGAGTGTTTTGATACAAGCATGGGAAAGAATGCAAGCACTTGAAGCCCTGAGAAGAAAGCATGTGACTTTTTTATCCTACAATAGGTGGGGAGGAAGGGGGGTTGGGGGTTAGGCGAATGGGGAGAGGCGGTACAAATAAACAAAACCACACTGCAAGAAGCAGCAGTGAGGGAGGACAAGGAATCTAGTTTTGAGGCGCCTCAAAACTAGAATGCAACAGTGAGGGAGGACAAGGAAACAAGAATGTCAGACACCCTGGGAACACACCACCACCATGGGAACACACCACCACCATGGGAACACACCTGTCCCCTCCACTTTCAAAGTAATCCTCCTCCTCTCTCTCCAACTCCCTCTCCTCCCTCACTCTCCTCTTCTCCGCCCTCACTCGCCCTCCCCGCTCCACCCCCTCCCCACTCCTCCCCCCTTCTCCCCCTGCCGCTCCCCCTCCACCACTCTCGTGCCGCCACCTGTCGCCGCCCGATTGCACACTAACGGCTGTGGCCCGTGGCAGGTGCGAGGGCGGTGGGGCAGCAGAAGGCTCCTCTGCTGGTCGCATTGATTCCAGGTTTTGCTCGTATTTGAGGCGCAGCAGCTTGAAGGAGTCAACGTAGTCAACCGAGTCAAACCAGGAGCCGTATGTCTCCACTAGATGCGTCACCAGCGACTTTATGTTTTCCTGCTCACATGGTGAGATGAGCGAACAAGCACACATGGATGCACAGCCACATGCGCATACGCACACATGCACGCATGGTCACATCATCACATACGGTCGCATGTTCACTCAACAAGGTCCAGCACAGCCGAGTTGAGGAGGCTGTGGCGGCTGCCGTTGGCAATAAGAAGTTAAGAACCCACCCTAACACCCACTGCCCCACACAAAGCCAGAGCCACCACACACACACACACACACACACACACACACACACACACACACACACACACACATACACACACACCTTGCGGATGAATTCGACCAAATCCAGCACCGCGGAGTTGAGGAGGTTGTAGCGACTGCCGTTGGCTCTGAAGGCTGCAATCACCGGCTCAAACAGGCGGTTCTTCACGAGATAGCGCAGGTAGAAATCGTCCTGGATGGGTTGGGAGGTGGGAGGGAAGAGAGGTGTGAGTGATAGGGACAGCTCAAACAAACGGTTCTTCACCAGGTAGCGCAGGTAAAAGTCATCCTGGTGGGAGATGGGAGGGGAAATGAGGGGGAAGAGAGGGCATGAGTGTGCATGTTGGGGGGAGGGGGAGCAGTGCCGTTGGCTCTGAAGGCTGCAATCACCGGCTTGAACAAACGGTTCTTCACGAGATAGCGTAGAGCAGGTAAAAGTCGTCCTGGTTAGCAGTGGGATGGGAGGAGGAAAGAGGGGGAAGAGGAAAGAGGGGGAAGAGAGGGCACGTGTGTGCATGTTGGGGGGGGAAGGGGGGGGGGAGCAGTGCCATTGGCTCTGCAGGCTCCAGTCACCGGCTCAAACAAACGGTTCTTCACGAGATAGCGTAGCGCAGGTAAAAGTCATCCTGGTTAGCAGTGGGATGGGAGGAGGAAAGAGGGGGAAGAGGAAAGAGGGGGAAGAGGAAAGAGGGGGAAGAGGAAAGAGGGGGAAGAGGAAAGAGGGGGAAGAGGGAGCATGGTAGGGGAATGTGGTGGGCTCAGCCGCTGTTGGCTCTAAAATGCATACGTCCCGATCGTTCCACCCACGCATCTGGAATGTTCAGTAGTGTTCTACTTGTGGGGCCATGCCTTTAGAATGTATCATTTCGATCATACCTTGAGGCTGATGCAGGAGCGCAGAAATCTCACAGCCGCCGCCACGAGGTACCTCTCCCTGCGTTTGACCAGCCGCAGCACCTTCTCGACCACGTTGTTTCGCAACACATAGTACCTTGAGAATGGGGGGAGGAAAAGGATGAGGGGGGTAAGTGGGGACAGGTGAGTGTTTCCAAACTTTCTGCACCACCTGTAGCACCTTCTCAACCACGTTGTTTCGCAGCGCGTAGAACCTCGAGAGAGTGGGGGGAGGGGAGGGAGGGGGAGATTTTTGAGACGTCTCAAAAATTCACTTCTTCCACGTGGAAAAGGGGAAGTGAACAGGTAAGGTGAGACACGACTAGCCAGCACTCAGGAGCAGGCAACCCTTCTGCTCCTCGTACAAGCACAAAGCAAAGAGCAACAGGATCGGACTCACTTTTGAGACGTCTCTTGAGACAACTCTTGAGACGTCTCAAAAACCCTTCAGCTCCTACTCGTACAAGCATGAAGCAAGAAGCACAAAGCAAAGAGCAAGGGGATCGGACTCACTTCATTCGGAAGCTGTGGTGCAGCACGCAGAAGCACAGCAGATCGCATATACTCGCCAGCACCTCGGGAGCGGGCGACCCCGCTCCTCCTCCTAACCCCCCCCTCCCGCTCCTCCACCACCTCCTCCCCCCCCTGCCCCCCCTGCTCCCCCTCCTGCGGCAGCAGCGGCGGTGGTTATCCCCTTTACAAGCACATCCACGTACTCCTCATAAAACACGTCGAGAAACTTGTTCTTTTCCGCAGTGTCCATGGTGTCTGTGTCTAGCAACTGCCTCAGTATTTCTAACAGCTGCACGTGAGAACCCGCCTCCCCCTGACTGCGCTCCACCATGCCTTTCACCTGGGAGGGGAGATGGGAAGGGGAAGCACAACAGCTTGTTCTTCCCAGTAGCCAGGGCCCATGGTGTCGGTGTGTAGCAACTGCCTCAGTATTTCTAAGAGCTGTATTGAAATCACTTCTGAGAATTCTCATAAGTGATTTCAATGTGGCTATTCACAATAGCCAGTGTCCATGGTGTCTGTGTCTAGCAACTGCCTCGATATCTCCAATAGCTGCACGTGAGACCCCGCCTCCCCTTGACCGCGCTCCACCATGCCCTTCACCTGCCCAAGGAAACGGCAAGGGAAGGGGAAAGTGGAAGGGAAGGTTGAGCGGAAGCACAGCAACTTGTTCTTCTCGGCAGTGTCCACGGTGTCTGTGTGTAGCAGCTGCCTCGATATCTCTAACAGGAGCAGGAGAACAGAGAGTGTGGCTCGTCACAATAGCCAGTGTCCATGGTGTCGGTGTCTAGCAGCTGCCTCAGTATTTCTAGCAGCTGCACATGAGACCCCGCCTCCCCCTGCCTGCGCTCCACCATGCCCTTCACCTGCCCAGGGAAGGGGAGAGAGGAAGGGGGAAGGGAGGGAGGGCGGCACGGGAGGTTGAGTGGTGGGAAAGGGAATGTAGAAGAGCCTGTACTTCTGTTTTGACACGGAGTACTGAGAAACATTTCTGAGGCGCCTCAAAAGAACAGGGAAAGAAGAACAGATTTCTCTTCTATTCTGACATGGAATCCTGAGAAAATTTTAAGAAAGAGAGTGTGATGTGACGTACAAGGCAGGAGAAGAGTGTGTGGCCGGGTTGTTCCACGAGAAAGGTGCGCAGGGGGGCAGGGTCGGGACTGAGAGAAGACATAAGGATGTCGGTTCTGCAGTGGGGGAATAGTGGAGGGAGAAGGAGCAAAATGAGAAGGCTGGGGGTAAGGGGCAGTGAGTTGAGGAAGGTGCGCGCGCAGGGAGGCAGGGTTGGGACTGATAGCTGACATGAGAATGTCAGTTCTGCAAGGGAGGAGACAGGTGGAGGGACGGGGGAAGACAAGGAAGTAACTGTAGTGAGACAGAGTAAGAGGGAAGGGTCGGGACACGAGTCTGTGGGCAGACATGAGGAGCGAGGAGAGAAGGGCGTGAATGGCATGAGTACGGAAAAGGAGTGGTGCAGAACGACAGGAGGAAGGGTGAGAGATGGAGAGGAAAAGGACAAAGAAACGGGAGGTTGATTAAAAGACGTACCCGCACAGGCGGAGGGAGGCATCACTGTGTTGCAAGATCGTGGTGACGATTTCAAAAAGGCCCAGGCCAATCAGCGCACTGCACGTGGACAGAAGGGTTGAAGAACAAATGGGAATTCAGATATGATACAGTTGCTTGATGTGTACTTATTTTTTGTTCTATTGGAACCTCAAAGGTCTGGTAAACATGTTACAGTATATACATACGTACGCCAACAACTCTCAAGAAGAAAGACTAATAAAGAAAAGCCAGCCAATTCGATTGCAAGACCAGAAGCTGCAGCAAGGTGAGGCGATGATACCTGAAAGACTGGTTTCTCTGTGTTATCTGCAGGTGCTTGTGCAGCGAGCAAAACTCCTGAAGAAACCGGACCTGGTGTGAGGGAGAGCGAAGAGGTGAGAATTGTGGAGGGATTGCAAGGTCACGTGAACAGACCCTTGCTAGATATTCATGTGCAGATCAAATCAAATCAAACCTCACCACCAGCCATGCCAGACAGACTTCACTACTCACACGTGTCAAACCCTAAACACGTCTCATCTCACCCCATCCCACATGTCTCACACCTCATCACGCCCCATCCCATGCCATCTCATTCATTCTCACTCACCAGGTCTCTAAACGCCTGGGAGGAGGGGTCTTTGGTTCGCAGTTGGGAGAATAGGTCCGAGAGGAACGGCTTGTCGCCCTGCAGCGTGGACACCACCTGAAGATAGCGTGTGCGGGAGAGAGAGGAATGCGCAGGGGGGAACTATGAGAAGGAGCTGCTGGTGCTGCTGCTGAGCTGAATGCCCTGCTGAGATAATAGGTCCGAGAGGAACGGCTTGTCGCCCTGCAGCGTGGACACCACCTGAAGATGGTGCGGGGGGAGAGAGAGAGCGGGAGGTGGAGAGGAGAAATGATGAGTAGAGCTGCTGCTGAATGCCCTGCTGAGATAATAGGTCCGAGAGGAACGGCTTGTCACCTTGCAGCGTGGACACCACCTGCGGACGGTGCAGGGGAGAAAGGGAGGGAGGTGGAAGAACTGTTGAGACAGATGGAGGACGAGGAAAGAGAGCCAGCGAACCAAAGCGACAATCACTGAGAGTGATCAATCAACAAGCTCTGCTCTGCTATTCCCACCCACCGCACACCCACCTCCACATTATTGAACAGAATGAGGGAGTTGAAGGTGCCGTATGTCTGGTCATCCAACACCCGCGGTAAAATCACATCCTGCTCGAGAAAGCAAGCAAACAAACACACAAGGAGAGGAGGTGGGGAAAGTGGGAAAGTTTGCGGGTCAATGGGAGGGGAGGGGGGAGAGAAGAAATCAGATGCAAAAAGGGAAACGCTGTGAGGCATCCAAGTCTGTATGCCTGGCAAGACTTGGATGAGGCCATATGACAGCAGCACCCACCTTGATGAGGCACCTTGGCCATAACAGCAGCACCAACCTTGATGTACCTCAGGCTGTACGTCCGGTGGATCTTGGAGCGCAGAGCCGGGCCTTGGATGGGCATCGCATAGCCTCCGTCCCTCACGGCACTCCACTCGCCCCACAGGGAACCAACCAGGTGTGATGTAGCGTACTCAACCAGCCTTGCCAACAGACATGCACGCACCTTGATGTACCTCAGGCGGTACGTCCGGTGGATCTTGGAGCGCAGAGCCGGGCCTTGGATGGGCACAGCACAGCCTCTCTCTCTCGCAGTACAGAAGAATGCAGCAGCCTCCCCGTGCCTTAAAGCCCCAAAGCACGCACCTTAATATAACCTAAGCGGTAAGTCTGGTGGATCTTGGAGCGCAGGGCCGGGTCCTGGATGGGCACGGCCTCGCGATACTCCACCTGCTCCAGCAGGAACTTGCGGTGCTGCTGGCGTGACGGCAGGTCGGGGTCGTCTGGTGGACAGGGTACGAGGCACAGATGGTTGCACATGGATCGAACACAGAAAGCAGATACACGGAATGGGCGCAGGGCATGGGGTATATGGGTGGGGTATGGATGGGGTACAGGGCATAGGGCATGGGTCCTGGGGCATGGGGAACAGAAGAGATGGTCTATGGGACAGGGGTTGTGGGGGAAGGGTTCACAGGAAGAGGTGACTTTTGAGTCGACTCAAAATTCACAGGGGTTGTGGGGAAAGGGTTCACAGGAACACCGCATGCAAAGGGCATGCTTGGAACTGTGACACTAAGATGAGTCTCCATGAGGTCCAGAATGGCACCGATGCTGCTGACATGGCACCGTCAAATACTATGCTGACATGGCATGCCACGTGGCACTCACATTCAAGAGCTCCGACGAGGTCCAGGATGGCGTTGTCGGCAAAGAGCAGGTCGAAGAGGTTGGTGTCGTTCAGAAGGACTGTGGGAGAGAGAGCAAGGGAGGGGGGAGAGAGGGAGGCCGAAAAGGGAGGGGAGAGGGAGGGAGGGAGGAGAAAGAGGAGGTGCCAGAAGGGGGGATGGACAGAGACAGGGCAGACAAAATGCACAAACACATAGAAAAGAAAAGAACCAGAACGAAAAAAGTGAGGCCATTAACCCCCAAAACCCCTCACTGCGCCCTGAAATCCAACCCCTGAAGGTTCAGGCTTTGGCAATGCGTAGAGCTGAAGGAGGTTCAGCAAGTAAAACCCTAAACCCTGACGCCCCACCCAGCCCCTTGGCAATGTAGTAAAGCTGGGGCAACCCGTCTAGATCCTTCAGACCCTCGCACTGCCTTGACTGGTGGTGAAACTTGCCACCCCACATCCCACACCCTACCACCCTCCACCCCACACCATACTTTCTAGATATACCCTACCCCCTAAGCCCCATGCCCCTTACCCAGCCCCTTGGCAATGCAGTAGAGGTGGTGCAGCCTGTCGAGATTCTCCAGATCCTTCTCATACTGCCTTGACTAGTGCTGGCTCCCAAACACCACACCCTCACATACCCTACCACCCTCCACACCGTATACCCTAAACTTCTGTGCCCCTTACCCAGCCCCTTGGCAATGCGGTAGAGGTGGTGCAGCCCGTCTAGATTCTCCAGATCCTCGCACTGGCGGAAGAGGTCCAGCAGCTTGGGCACGTAGCCCTGGGGGGGGGGGGTGGGGGAGGAAAGTTTGAAGTATCCAGGGCAAGAAGGAGAGGAAGCAGGGGACAGTTGAAGCGCCATCACAAGGCAGCAAGGCTCCTCGCACTGGGGGAGGAGGGCGAGCAGCTTGCGCACATAACCCCTGGTGGGAGTGGGGGGGGATGGATGGGATGAGAGGGGGATGGGATGGGGGAATGGGTGACGGGATGGGGGAGTGGAAGGAGGGGGCAGTGGGCAGCTCAAAACACGCACGTTAACACACAGGGAGAGTGGAATGCAAGCGTTGAAGGCCATAGGCCACCTCCCCCTGTGTAATGCAAGCGTTGAAGGCCATAGGCCACCTCCCCCTGCTGCTCGCACATTCTTCCAATCACCACCCACCCCACGTGTTCCCCCCATATGCCTTCCATGTCCCCCCCTGCCCATTCCTTTTCCCTCTCACAGCCCCATACCTCTCTAAGGACGAGTGAGGCGATGCGGTCTTTGTGGAACAATGGCACGTCTGTTAGCATCTGCAGGGGTGGGAGGGCGAGGGGGGAGCGTGGAAGACGAGAGGAGGGGGTTGGCACGGGGCAGAGGGAAGAGACGAGTGAGGCGATGCGGTCTTTGTGGAACAATGGGACGTCTGTTAGCATCTGCAGGGGTGGGGGAAGAGGGAGGGGGGCGGGGGGAGGAGAGGGGGAAGTGGGGGGGTGGGGGCTTTGAAGTCACTTTTGAGAATTCTCAAAAGTTGAAATCACTTTTAAGAAGAACGAGGAGCACGGCGGGTAGAGTGGCGGCAGGTCTAGTTTTGAGGCGCCTCAAAACTGAAAAACGAGGAGCACGGCGGGTAGAGTGGCGGCAGGTATGAAAAGGAGAGGGGAGAAGGAGATGGGGGGGGTAGGAGGTTGGCGGGGGGACAGCTGAAGGGCTGGTAAGAGGGGGCATAGAGTCACTGAGGGACAAGTCCTTATAAGAAACATAATTGGGTGGGCAGGGAAGGAGAGGATGGGAGAGGAGAGGAGGGGGGGAAGGGTGGTGGGTGTAACGCAAGAACATATTATCTACCTCTCACAGATTAAAGTAATGACAGGAAGGTTTCTTTGCGAAATCACTCTGGTCTCACAGGAAGATTCCTCTCGTCTCACCTTGGCAATGACAGGAAGGTTCCTGAGCTCCACTGCAGGTAACTCAGACATGTCTGTTGCTGCTTCAAGGGCTGATCGCGCACACAGGGAGAGGAAAGCAGGGAGAGCAAGAAAAAGACAAGACTTATTTGACCAAACGAGCAATCAGCAAGGAACAACTTTTTTACCAAACTACAACCATTCTTATAACAAATCATTTATGTAAGTAACCCACCATTCTCTGTGTATGCCTCGTGTATTGCAATCTCGTCCCTTGCGCCTGCCCCTCCTCCCTCTGCATTTCCACCCAAGCATAGCATCGCACCATACAGCACAGCACCACAGGGGACAGGCAGCACCGCACCGCACCGCACCGCACAAAACACACAGCACAAAACACACAGCACAACAAAACACACAGCACAAAACACAAAGTACAGCACAACACATGCAGCAAGGCAGGAAACACAAATATCTCTCTGCATGCATCCTACAGCACAGCACAATGACAAAGGACAAAGGACGAAGACAACCAATGACGCTACAGAACTTATCACTTGCACGCTGTAATAAAACCAAGGGCGTGGGAGGAGGAGTGTGAGACACACACACAGACACAACCCAATTAGAGAGAGCGAGTCGTGAGGGCAAGTCACCACGATGACAAAGGACGAAGACAACCAATGACGCTACAGAACTTATCACTTGCACGCTGTAATAAAACCAAGGGCGTGGGAGGAGTGTGAGACACACACACAGACACAACCCCCCCACTCCCCTCAGACACACACACACACACATACACACACACACACACACACACACACACACTCTCTCACACACACTCACTCACTCACCAGTGCCTGGAGGCACCTGCACTTGACGCTGCACGTTGCATATTTGCTCCCTGCGGGTGAGGAGGAGAGGAGCGAACGGGAAATGAAAGGGTCAAGGACGATTAAACAAAAGAGGCTATAAGAGCAACAAAAGAGCACGACTGTGGGAAAAAAAAAAAAAAAAAGATTTGGCATGTGATAGCAACCATTGAACAGCAGCGTACACAAGCACGCACAGCTGTTAACAGCGCAGGGTGTATTGGATGCACACGGAATGCATAGGCACACGGAGTGTAGAGCACAGAGCAAGCACAACGGAGTATCGCCATGCAGCAAGTCACACACGGGTGGCACTCACCATATGTAGGAGCACCCCATGCTTTCTTGGAAGCTCAGCGCCAAATCTGTTGCTACCTCGGGGTCCGTCCATGAGATGATGGTGTCTGCGGGAGAGAAAGGGTGAGCCACGGATATGCACCCGAGGGTGCACATGCGTGTGCGAGGGACGGGAGGAGGAGGGCAGCACAGCAGCAAGGAAGATGGAAGCTTATCGGTGCACCAGCAGCAGTGAGTGATGGAGCCTCCCTTCCCCTCTCCTCCTCCCCCCTCCCCCTCCCTCCTTCTAGCCACGGGTAAATATCATGATGAGATGCGGTGCACCAGCAGCGGCAGTGCATGAGCAGCAGCAAGTGACGGGACCACACATATCTCGACACATGCCACTGTGTCATGGTGCCACACACGAGCTTTACCTTCTTGCCGCTGGTAAATGTCATCTGCTGATATGCGGTGCACCAGCAGTGTCGCATTGTCCTCCTCGTCTATCACCACCAGCCCTATGGCGTCCGACCTCTGCAGCAAGGGGGGGTGGCAGGAGGACGGGCAGAAAGACGAGTCTTCAACTTGTGCAGTGTGTACTGAATAAACCACAGCAGCGTGGCGTTGTCCTCCGCGTCGATCACCACCAGCCCTATGGCGTCCGACCTCTGCACCATGGGATGGAATTGAAGGAGGCATGAGGGCCGAAACACAAGTATTCAACTTTCTAGTGTCTAAAACACAGGGGGGTGTGTTGTCCTCCTCGTCTATCACCACCACCAGCCCTATGGCGTCCGACCTCTGCACCATGGAAAATGAAGGAGGCATGAGGGCCGAAACACGAGTATTCAACTTTCTAGTGTCTAAAACACAGGGGGGTGTGTTGTCCTCCTCGTCTATCACCACCAACCTATGGCGTCCGACCTCTGCACCATGGGATGAAAAATACATCAAGGAAGGGGAAAAACAGCACACATGGGTATGTTCAAAGCGCCTGGTAAAAACAGTATTTGTGTGTTGCCCACCACCAGGCATTTGCAGCAGGGGATGGGGGCATGGGATGGCAGCACTAACCATAGCCTGTCTGTTACCTTGCTGGATAAATAACTTCCTTCATACAACCAAATGCAATTCAGGCTGACGTACTCAACTGGCAGGGACCTGTCTGTCCTCTCTGTTCCCGCAAAACATCCAGGAATGCAAAACCCTACCTCGAGGTATTCCACTGACACGTGGCCTGTTCCCTTGTCGTCCCACTTCCCATCGTCGTTCAGCCGATACACCTTCACTCGCTGTTTAGGGGGGAGGGAGACACAGCCGCAAACGAGAGAAAGGTTACGACTGAGTGAGTAATAAGTTGTCTGGGAGCTTGCGAGGGGTTGAAGTATCGGACAGGTGGCAGGTAGCTCCACGTGGCAGTGACAGTGCCTTCATGCAAGGAGAGAGCCGTTCGCGAAATTAGACGGCCACAAATTTCCCAGGCAGGGGGGGGAAGGCGGCAAGTGGTCGAACCGAATAACATGGTACCGAAACCTGTTTGGAGTGTATTAAGAATAATCTCCACAAAAACTCGAAAAGGAAGCATCTGGTATTCAGACGTCTCAAAACTGGAAAGACAGTTGACAAGGAGGCATGAGGCATCTGACAAAGCGGTCTTAGAGACACGGAAAATCGCTAGTAACAAGAACCTTGAAGGAAAATACGGATCGGGAACGCGAAACGCGGGGAAATTAAGTGAAAGGAATGGCGTGTGGTAACGGCTTTGGAGGTTTTTAAGCGGCTTCTGAAAGGGCTTTTAAGTCGACTCAAAAGACAGCTCGACTAAGAAACGGATCTGCACGCGCATCCACGCGCATCCACGTGCATCCACGTGCGTGCACGTGCCTGAAGGTGGTTGTACTCCATCTTTCCCGCCTGTTGGCCTTGTTGCTGCTGACCCGCCGCTGCTGATGCCGCTGGTTGTTGCTGTTGCTTTTGCTCTTGCTGCTGTTGCTGTTGTGGTGGTGGTGGTGGTGGTGACGCCGGTGGCTGTGGTTGTGATGACTGTTGCTCATGCTTGGTCGTTGCTTTACTGGCGTGCTGCTCTTGCGGTTCCGAATCGTCTTCAGGCATCCTTAAGAATAGGCCTGAACAGTCTAAAAGAGTTAACCTTGTTTAAGATGCTCAACTGATGAATCTTCGTTACTAGATGGAATCGGAGCGGTTCTTCGAAAGCTACAATGGTCTTCCGTTAAGCCTCGTTATTTTTTAATAAATCGTCAGAGATACTTAAGCCGCTAACGCCATGGATGCGACATTTAACTGCACACAGCGCAATGTACAACAGAAACCGTCGAAACTCGCTGCAAATACCAGATCCCTTTTGCCCTCACTACACGGACAACAGCCGCTTCTAACCCCACGCGAACAGTCAAATCGATACCGTTAGCATCTAGACCTAATTGGTGCATGCACCGAGTAATTCACTAGCCCAAGGGTCAGAGGGAGCACGATCAAGCCGTCAGAGGCAGGACTGGATAAGCACACACGCTGAATAGTAAACTAAAACAAGAGCACGCGGTAGGTCAGCGACTCAGCGCTCCAAGGTGATTGACTGGATTCACTATTCTGTATCTGCCACCAATAAAGTGGTCAGAAAAGGTGAACAGTTTATTGAATTTCGGGTGATGTGACTGCGAACGGTAACCCGACGGCTGACCAATCTCGTTGTACCTACTACTGGTGACGATCCCAGAGTGGTAACACTAACCAAGGAGGAGGGGAGTGGTTGAAGCGTGGTCATCCTGCCCTGCGAAGTACTCCGAAACGCGAACTCGCGAAGATATGGCGGGAAAGTGAACGGCTCAAATCAACCGGGCACAACAAGGACAAACTCGACATTCTACAAGAATATACAATCTAATACTACATGAAAAGAAACAACACAAACAATGCAAATCTGCAAAACTAAGGGAAACAAACAAAAGTGTGCTGACTCAATTTTGTAAGCGCTTTATGCAAGCTAGCACACCCTGCATTGTCGTTGCAACCTATCTGGCGCTATATGGAGCTTGCAATACCTCTTCTGATATATGCCCCTTTCAATATTTCTTAGATCCACCCCCGCCGAAAATGGATTTTCGAATGAGATGTCCGATGGAACCGCCACTGCTGCCACTGCTACTTTCTCCTGTTCCAATCGCAGAGCCTATTACAAGTGAGGATGGCGGGACGCCTTTCAAGCATCCGTCCAAAGTTGAGAGTATCTGAATCGCAACAGGGGTGACAATGAGGGAGAGAGGCAAGAAAGAGTTCAAGGTTAATGATGTAGAATAAAAACAATGTACACCACTCTTGGCACAATGCAAACACAAGTGGAGTGCGTGAGAGTGCCCTACCAAAACATGATCACAAGGAAAAAAGTGGTTACCTCTATGAATTCAGGTCTAACAGCAGGGTCGGCAGCCCAGCAGCGTGTGATCAGACTGCTGATGCGAGATGGCAGGCCGGGTGGGAGAGGCGGGCGTAGGTTCCTGCCAGATGGACAGAAATAAATATTTATGTATAAAACAAAAGAATCGTGAGGGACAAACACACAACCATGATATTCAGAAGCAAAAACATGGAACCACTGCCAGAAGCTATTGTGCAGCAGGGCACCCTGAAAAAAAGGAAAAAAACTCCACATAGCAGTACCATACACCGACAAAGGTGTGAATACTCGGAGAGATTTCACCGAGACTCTAGCCGAGAGCGATATGATACCTTTGCAAGACTCCTATGGCTGCTTGAAGGGGCGTGAGGCCAGTGTAGGGGAGATCGCCTGTGATGACCTCCCTGGTGAGACAGCACATGAGGGAGACGACGGGAGAGAATGGGAGGAGATGGAAAGATGGGCGAGAATGGATGAGAATCCTAGAGGCAGTGTAGGGCAGGTCGCCTGTGGTGACGTCCCTGGTGAGACAGCTCACCATGGGATGGGAGGGGGATGCAAGGTGAGGGGAGGAGATCGGAGGAGAGGGGAGGAGATCGGAGGAGAGGGGAGGAGATCGGAGGAGAGGGGAGGAGATCGGAGGAGAGGGAGGAGATCGGAGGAGAGGGGAGGAGATCGGAGGAGAGGGGAGGAGATCGGAGGAGAGGGGAGACCATGGGAGAAGAAGATGGACGAGGACGGGAGACGATGGATGAAAATTCTTGAGGCACCTCACTAAGAGTAGGGCAGATCGCCTGTGATGACCTCCCTGGTGAGACAGCACACCACGGGAGGCGGATGGGAGGAGAGGGGAGGAGAGGGAGGAGAGGGGAGGAGAGGGGAGGAGAGGGGAGGAGAGGGGAGGAGGGGGAGGAGAGGGGAGGAGAGGGGAGGAGAGGGGAGGAGAGGGGA